CGAAGTCTGATGCGCTATCCATTGCGCCACGTCTCCTGGGATGATGGCCTTTGCAGGGAATTGCTAACATATATTAGGGTAGGCAGGACACGCTAAAAGTAACCTAACACGCGTATACACGCACACACCCACGTGGTTTGTATAAGCCACGTAATGGCGCCATAAACTGCTGTACATGCTGCCACATAAGCTGCATGCACACATGTGCGCACACACTACCCAATTGCACTCACAAGTGCCGGTGGGGCCGCCCCTAGTTCATTACACACAGTCGAGCCCTTCGCCCCAACAGTCTTCCCTCCCTCCTCCTCTTCCTTTCCATTCCAGCACTCAGCAAGCTTCGCCCCCGGAGGCGCGGGCAAGAAGACGTGGGCAAAGCGACGGAAAAACCGCCGATGCTGCTGCGGCTGTAAGCAGAACTCCAGCTAACGCCGGCGTTGCCACTTCTGATGCTGACGGCGCCGCTGAAGGCGACACCGCAGACCGTGGAGGTGCTTGCACTGCCTTCCCTGATGTCCCAGCTGTGAGTGACAACGGTGCTACTATCAATACCGGTAACGGCCACGGCCACGCCATTGCAGCCAGTCCTCCAGCAAAGCGCATTGGAGCCATCGTCACCCGCGGAGAAAGCGCCAGCGGCGTGGCTTCTGATGCTGCCGGTACGGGCGAGGTGGAGAGCGCGGAGGGGCGCGATGCTGACGGGGGCTACGTGAGGTGCTTCGACGGCCACAAGAACATCATGACCATCAAGGAGGTAGGTTCGGGCCGTCTTGGGCTCAAGTTGGCCGGGGAACCCGTGTGAGCCTCGACCCACCAGCTTCCACCAGCGTCCTGCACACCGCATGCCAGGGTCATCGCCACGTACCTTTGCACGGAGTGATCGTAGCTGCCACCGCAGCCCAATAGCGTGCAGACCCTCATGTGCAAGCCGCTGACGAATTAAGCAATCAGTAATGAGTGCAAGACTGCCCCTTGAGGCTATCATGTTAAGTGTTCCGGTGCCTGGCGCTTTTGTTTGTTGCTTCCGGCCGTTTCAGGTCGCATGGATGGGCGGCTCAGGCTTCGGTCCCTCCTACGTGGCTTCTGGATCCGATGAGGGCCACGTGTTCATTTGGGAGTACGACACGGGGGCCATTGTACGGATGCTGCCAGCGGCGCAAGAGCACCTGATACCCACGTGTTTAGCGGTAGGTGGTAGCTGTGGCGGCGGCGGTGGTGGCGGTAGCGACGGAGTGCTGCAGGATGCGGCGGCACAAACCCGCTCCTATCTAACAGTACATGCGAGTGTCGGAGGGCGGGGACGCGGGGTTGCTGGGGACGAGTGAGGTACCCAGTGGAGGGTACTTGCGACCGCATACCCGCACCTTGGCTGCTTCGGATGCTGGTATGCCGCCGCCGTACCACCCGCACCCCCACACGCTATTAGTCTGCAGCAACCCCGCTCCCGGTGTGGCCACTGTGCTGCCCCCAACGCAATCCCTCCACCCCTCCACCCCCTCTCAGGTCCATCCCTTTGAGCCCATGCTGGCCACATGTGGCAACGGAACCGTTGTCAAGATGTGGGCGCCGGGAGGCGGTGGCCCTGTTGCCGCGGCCACTGGCGCAGCAACCGCGGCAACTGCGGCGGCGGCGGCGGCACGGCAGGAACCAGAGCCGCTTGATTCGGAGAGGATGGCTGCGTTGGTGGCGGCGAATCGGGCGGACCTGCAGCGGCGCCAGGCGGAGGCAGCAGCGGCGGCAGCAGGGCAGCGAGCGGCGGCAGGACGGGGACTGCGGCCTGTGGGAACTGGGTGGGCTACCTTTGCTGCGGTACGATTGGGAATGCGGCTAGGATACAACAACACGACACGACGTTTATGGAAAGGAACCCTGTCGCCGTACCTCCTTCCTCCGGTGCCAATCGTCTTTCGTGGCTATCCTGCCCTTTTATTTTGCACAGGCGATCCGGGAGCGCTCTAATGACCTGGCCACAGCAGCTTTGGCCGCCGCCGCTGCCAACACGCCCATCCGCGCCGCCGCTGCTGCTGCTGTTGCCAGTGCCCAAGGAGGTGCCACTACCGCCAATGGATCCCGTGAAGACGACGCCAACGGCCTTCCCGACAGCGATGCGGCGGCTGATCCACGGGTCCGTCCGCAGCGGAATCAGCAACAACAACAGCAGCAGCGACAGCAGGCGACGGCTGGAGAAGCCCCAGAGGGTGGCAATGGCGATGCTGATGATGGCGGCTTGCCGTCGCGGCGCGTGTTGAGATTGAATACGGCACTCGAGCGGCAACGACGACGAAGTGGCACTCCGGAGGAGACATTCCCCGCTTTTGGACCGACTCCTAGGCGGCCTTTGGCGGGTGGCCTTGCGGGCCGCAGACCCACGGGTCAGCAGGGTGATGGCGTAACGGACGGCGAGGCGGAAGACGGAAATGGGGACGAGGATGCAGCTGGAGGCGGTAGCGGCGGGCGGTTTGGACGTATGGATTTGGATTTTGGCTCCTCGCCCAGGAATTGTACTGTAATGTAGTGTACCGGTACTGCTGGTAAAGTTGGGAAGGTTAATATAGAACCGGTAACGCTCGGAAACAACACGCGGTGACGAATTGGGGCGCTGTGACGCGTGGTACCGGTACTGCTTGTATATTGTTGGGGTACGGCATCAGACGGCATAGCTCGTGGTTTTTACGTGCACCACATTTAGGCTCATTGCGGCATGCAGGGAAGCGTGCAAAGTTGTTCTTGTTTTGCTGTAGGAGCTTGGCTGCCATTTTAGGAACAGTATGATTCCTTTCTTACAAGCAACACCAAACGCCTCAGGGAAGACGTGAGGTCGGCAGGATTTGCCGCATGGCTTGGTACGTTGTTGGTGCGCCATAGCTGCATAGTTCACATGGCGAAACAACAGCAAAAATGAAGTCGTGTGAAGCCAACAACCGGCAGACAACCACTTCACCCCTGTTGTGTCGCCGACACCCATCCCTGCCACCACCGCACCCAACCGTGTTTGTTCTTCCCGCAAAAGCATCAACAGCGCCATTTCAAGGAAAGTCGCAGGCGCGTTTAAGCTTGTCCACAGCCTCTGCCATCCCAAGCCCAAACTCAAATCACGCTTCTTTGTCCAGCCTCTCCATTCCCAGCCCACTTGAACCACCACTACCACTACAAACACCACCACCACTACCACCGCTCCCAACAGCAGCGGCGGCGGCGGCGGGCCTGCCAGCATGCTGATGTTGCTCACCCTCACATCCGCGACATCTGTTCCCTCTATTGTACCGGTACCCATGCGCCCTGCACCCCCGCACACGCAGGCCTCTTGCACCTTCAAACCACGTTCACCTCCGGACAGCCGACCACCCTGGAGCACCACAACAAGAAAACAGACACAGCGACTCAGTCCGCAGCAGCATTCGCCTGGTAGAGGTGGCAGTAGATGTCCTGGAAGGGGTCCCGGAAGAGGAATCAACACCATCATCTCTGCTGCTGCTGCTGCCGCCGCTGTAGCCGCAACCATGCCGGAACCATCCACACCCCGCACTTCCTTCCCGCTCCTTGGGACGCCTCATTTCAACTTGGCAGCGAAGGAGCTGCCGCAGCCGCAGGAGGCCTCCGCATTGGGGTTCTTGCTAATCTACAGGGGGGGGTAGATGGGTGGGTGGGAGGGAACATGGAGCAAATATCACATGTCTCAATATCTGGGGGTGCCAGTTTCGGCGGCAGGGAATGTTGTCCTCGCCCCTTTCCTTCCTCTCCCTGCCCCCTACCGAGAACGCCTCCCCTTCCTGTCTAGCGCCCCTGCTGACCCGTGCGGGGCCATGCCTTGGCTGTGTAGCCCCTGCCTAGGCTCCCCCTGCTGCCCCATGCCCTAGCCTCAGAATCCCTGCTGGCCCCCGCCCCATTCCTACCCCCTGCCCCTGCCCCCGTCCCCTGCCCCCTGCCCCCGTCCCCATGGTGAAGCCTTGTCAAGTTGTCATACAGCTCGGCAGTTGCATCGTCAGTGTCTCATTATATATATTGTTTGCCCCCGTCCCCTGCCTCCTGCCCCACTCCCCTGCCCCCCCTGCTCCCACCGAGAACGCCGCCCGCATGAGGGTGTCCTCGAACTCCAGGGTGGCGCCACGGAGGAACTCCAGCGAGATGACGTCACACACCACCCGCCCGCCCTCCGACTCAAACACACTGCAGGGACGCCGGGGCAGCGGGGGAGCGGGGCAGCGGGGGAGCGGGGCAGCGGGGGAGCGGGGGAGCGGGGCAGCGGGCAGGCGGACAGGGCTAGGAATCTAAGATGTAAGGGAGGCGCTTGAGGTTGGGGGTGGCAGCAATGGTGGTGGCGGTGAGAGGAGTTCAGGAGTTAACCGCGTGCACGTAGTCCTCTGCCACGACATTTCTATCTCACGATTCTCTTTTATTCGCTTCCGTTGCCTTGCCAGGATGCATTGGAGGGACGATTGTGAGGTAGGCAGACTGTCCCATGGGTCACCACCATTTCACACGGGGGCCAACCGGAATGCTCTCGAGCCAATGCAAATCGAGCCGTTGTGCCCAAAGCTGATGATTACAGTACTGCATGCGCCACCGTAAGAAACAGCAACCAACCAACCGTCCCAACCGCCACCACCACCCACATGTCGTCCTCCTTGATGGGTTGCTCGTCCAATTTGAATTTGTACTGGAAACCGGAGCAGCCGCCGCCCTCCACCTCGATGCGCAGGGCCAGCGGGGACCCGGCGGGCTTCTCCGCGGCGAGCTCACGAAGCCGCTGGAAAGGCAAGGTGGAGGAGCGGGTGGAGAAAAAGAAATTCCAATGGGTGGCGGAGGGCGGGAGGGCGGGAAGGAGTGGGGGCAAAACGTGCTTAATGAGGCAAGCCAAAGGAGCGACGGGTGGGATGGGCCAAGGTGGGTGTCTGTTGAGGGTCGGAGTGATAGCCTGGTAAGAGGACAGCTAAGGCGACGGATAGCATGCCGTACCGTCCATGCGTGTTTCACAGGGCCTGACAACTCAGATGAGACTTTCAAGCGCTGAATGACAAGACAAGCTACAGATCGCTGTGGTACAATGGAGAGCCGGTCGCACCGCAGCGGTCCATGGAACCAACCCAAGGCGACATGATGGCCGTACTGGCAGCCCCAGCGTTCTTAGGTCCCACGCACCGCAGCTGCCGAGGGATGAATTATTAGCCCAGAAGCCTCCTGTGCAGCTGCTGAGCTGTATGCCGCGAACACGGATGGCAGGGTGCGGAAGGCGTGACGTTGCCCAGCAAGCAGCGCCGCGGATGAAACTATTGTGCACGCAACCGTATGCGATGTTGTTTGCGCAAGTGAGCCGCTAAGAACGCGTTCGGCAAGGGCCGCAGCTTGAAAGACTCGAGAAAGCATGGGTTGTAGACTTTGCACACGAGTGTAACTGATAGGTTGTCTACAGGTCAGTGAAGTATAAAGGACCAGTCGCAACCACTAAGACTGCTAGAAGGATAATTCAGTGTCCTTATGTCGTAAAGCCGAGTCTCGTTAAACAATCGCGATTTGGGTTAGGAGCTTGTTTGTTGCTGTGTAGAACAGACAATTCCTCTATTAATGTGTATAAGGTGCTGATAAGGTGGATGTCCCTTAATAAAGGTCTTGGCCCGTCCTGGGTTGACGTATGCAGATGTGGGTCGCCACGTACATGCAGGCTCAGCAACAGCATGCTTTGGCATAGCGAAAAATGTTTATAAGCAATACTCGTCACGCTGGAAGGCGTGGGCTAGTTAGCCAACGCAGTGCCATGGAGCTGCTAGGATGACGAGCGAGCGTGCCCGTCATCTTTTGGTTGGCCGAATGCATTAATCCACCGGTCTTAGAACGTTGAAAAGCAGCTTGCTATCCCTCTTCCGCCTTACTGCTTGTTATCTTGTTGTCTTGTGCTGAACGTGAAGGACAAGCCAGGCTACCATACTGACGGGGCATTCGAGGATCGGGTTACATATGTACAAAGCGCTGACATTACCCAAACGGTGTGCAAAGCGATCGACTCTTGTCGAGGGGTCCGCACTCAAAGGGCGCGAACCATTATAGCTGCTTCGGCCCAAGCAACACCTATCACTCCTCCCGTGCAAAGGCTAAACATCGTAGATTCCCAAGTTGCTCCATGCCAACGCTTCTGTTCGTCCCGTTTGGGCGGATGCCACACACAGCCATTCAGAATCGCTCCTGGAAAGCTGAAATACTATCCGAGCTTACTCCACAAAGGCATGCTTGTTCTCCTTGGCCTTTTCCCCTGGTGCCCGCTTGCAAGTGGACCTGCAGAGACGCCAAACAGTGTAATGGCTCAGCATCCAGAGAAACCAAAGAGCATGGACAATAGCCTCAGCAGCAAAGATCACAGGCACGTTGAAGATAATCTAATAACCGGGGGCCTAGCGCGTAAGCCGCTGTCTGGAGCGCACTCACTTGGCGGCGCCCATGTTAGCACCTCCGCTGACAGCCAGGAATGACCGGAACAGGTGCGAGTTGACGTCGTAGATCATTTTAGACTATAGTAATTGTTCGAGCGGCCGGTAAAGTTGTCCCAGGAATGCCTTCCTTTCACTTGTGTACACGCGCGTGATTCGTTCCTCTTGTGTAAATTGGGCGCTTGTGAGAAGCTCAGATGTAATGTGGATATAGCGACGGGTCAAGCTATCGTTACAAACAACTTTGCAATCAACGAGCCTAACGGCGTCCGTACAACGCGCGAGTAGATACCACGAGGGATAGCGAAGTACGTGCGACCTAGCTGCCAAAGTAATTCGTGCGCTCTCACGGCATCATAACTTAATGGGTCCCCGGAGCATAATGTCCAGCACTTTCTCGCCCCGCACGCAACATCCATTGCTATACGGGACAATGCCGCGTTCGGCATATTCTTCCATCCCGCATGTCAGCCACAGTCATCATTATCATCATCATCATCACTATTTCCATATCACGAAAATGCTCAAAACCAACATAGTCAGCAACCTGTATCCATCCCTCCATCCTACATCCCACCTACCCACTTGCCAATCACAGTCGTACCAGACCAGCCGCACGCAGCCATTCAGTCGCGCCCTGCAGTGCTCCCACAACCTCCGCCAAACCCTTCTCATCTATGCGACACGCCTCCAACGGCGCCCAGAAGAGCTCCGCGCTCAGCAGCACCGCCGCCAGCGTCGTGATACGGTGCACCGCCTGCCCCACCCAGCTGCTGCTGCTGCTGCCGTACTTCTCGCTGTCCGGCAGCAGCTTGTACTGAGCCATGATCAGCGCGGGCTGCAGCGCGAAGAAGCCCAGCATGCGGAAACTGCCCTCCAGGCGCCCACCGCACATGAAGCTGGGGAGCAGGAAGAGGAAGAGGAGGAGGAGGAGGAGGAGGAAGAGGAGGAGGAAGAGGAGGAGACGGAAGAGGAGGAGGAGGGCGGAGGCCATTCAGGTGCGGACCAGAGGAGGAGGCGGGGGAGAGGGCAAGAAAGCCGACAGGTGTGTAAGTGGCATGCAGCATTCCTGACCCATGGGAACGCCCCAGGCTAGCCGTCCGGTTATACCCTGCACGGCAAAACCGCAACAAAAGCAGACAACCAACGAACCAAGGCCCCTCGGTCCCCTGTCCCCTCCCATCCACTCACGCCTCCCCCCCCATCCACTCACGCGACGCAGATCTCGTGCATGATTCCACTGACCAGGAAGGAGGCCGTCAGCGCCGTCGTTCCACGCAACCAGCTGGGGGGCTGCTGGTGCTGCTGCTCCGGCGCCGTAGCAGCACCTGCATCGGCTGGTGGCGCCGCACCCTTGCTAGCTGCCACAGCCGCATGTACACCCTCATCACCACCCCCTCCACCGCTGCCGCTGCGGCTACTGTGATCGGCCTCTCCCTCATCCACACCAACACCGCTGCTGCTGACAGTGCTCTTGTTACCTGGATTGCTACCTTTGCCCTTGCTGTAGCAGCGGTTCCTGGCAGCATCCATGGCCCCAACGCTGCCGCCGTCTTTCGTCGCGCCCTCCGCCTTCGCTGCCACTGCACGACACGACGACGACGACGGCGGCAGCGGCGGCCTGCCGCTGCCATCGGCGGACTTCAGCCCCGCCGGCATCACCATACTGTCACCGCTCAGCGCTGACGGGGAAGCGGAGGCGCAGCACCCACATGCCAGCACACGTCGCTGCACCTCCGTCTCCGCCTGTGCCGTGTTGCTGTTGTTGTTGCTGCCCTCGTCCTCCTCCTCAAGGCTACCAGCGGTGGGTCGCTTCCTCGCCGCCGCCGCCTCCAGCGGCGAATCCGGCCGTGGCAACGGCGGCAAAGCCAGCCACCGTCCCTGCAAGATGGGCTTGTACACGGTTTCAAGCTGCGTCGCGGACACGATCTGGTTGTACCGCCGGCCCCAGAACTCCCGTACGGACGTGGCGGCGTACGGCGCGTCCATGGCTGGTTGCAGCGGCAGGTGGGGTCCCAGCAGGCGGCCGCTGAGGGGCGAGGCGGCGTCCAGACATAGCCCCACGAACATCCACATGTACAGCGCTGTTGCGTTAACAAGGGGGGAGGAGGAGGCGACAGGGAAGGCGGCTGAGTCATCAGGTGTATGCGTGGTTGCAATTGAGAAGAACGTGGTTGTTTGCAAGTGCAACAGGAGCGCCTGTTGGGCGACTCAAAAACGCAGGACAACACCAAGAGACGTGGCGTCGTTGAATCTCACGTGTCGATGTACCCCGTTGTACGGCAAGTGCCGTACAGATGAATCCCCTCAAACCCCCAGCCAGCAAACTGCAAGCCAGCCCAAGTACTGAATTCCCGCCCAAACCCCGCCTCCCAAGGACCCCAACCCCAACCCGCGTACCCGCCCGCTCACCGTAGCACACGTGCCGCAGTCCCCGGTGCATGTCCTGCCCCGGCCCCTGCAGCATCACGCTGAGGGCCAGCCACACGCCCAGCCGCAGCAGCACTCCCAACAGCGCGGCGCGGCTGGAGGCGCTGCAGGGCTTACGGCCGGCTGTGGGGTCGGGGGAGTGGCGGGGAGTGGAGTAAGGGCGGAGTGGAGGGCGGAAAGGGGGGCGGGCGAGTTGGAGGGACATGCAAGCCGTGGGAGGTGGGGATGGAATAAGACACGCAAGGCCCGTGGAGAGGGGTTTCAGGACATGTAGGTTGTACGACATGTGGTACGACAGATGCCGTGGCAGCGGTGGCGTCCCTGTGATGTGGACCGACCAAGTGGGGTTGTCGACTCGTTGGCATGTCGGCACGCCATGCAAGCAAGCAAGCAGGCGGTGCTAGGCATCCTCCTCCACACCCCACACCTACACTTTGTGGGGAAGAAGGGCAGCAGCAGCAGTGCGCCCCACTGCACGCCGTTGGTGACTCCCGGATGCGCCAGCGCGCCGCGGTTGCCTGAGTAGGCTAGCAGCTTAAAGTTGGCGACCCACATCAGGGTAAGGCCCAGGCAGCCGGAGAGGACCATGCTCTGTGGGAGGGAAGGAAGGGAGGTTGCAGAATGAAGGGGAAGAAGGTGTTCAGGGACCTTGTGTGCAAAGGGCCTAAGGAAAGCGTGATGAGGGAAACAGTATGCGGGATATTCAATATGAGTGTAATAAAATGAGCGGAAAAGGGGAGGCTTAGCGGGCGCAGGTGGACAGTCGTGGAGCGTGACATGGAGGGCCGGAGGGCGCCGCATGCCGGTTACTGGATAAACTTAATAATATTAAAGGTCTTTAATAGGATTATTGAAGTGTAGTTATGCAGTACAGACCCAAACCGCCTAGGCGTTTCGGCTAGTCTCGGCGATGGTTACTTTCATAACGGCACGTTTCGGCACCTAGCTCAGGCAGCACGAACCAAGACGAATACGCAAATAACCCATCAGGATGTACCTCTCTAACATACACAGGACTGAGGCCAAAGACGATGAAAGCTGGAAGGCTAGCCAGCAGGCGCGGGAGCCCGGGCTGACGAGGCCGCACAGCCAGCACGCAGTATACCAGGGCGGCAGAGACAAGGGCTAGAAGGTGTGAGCATTTTGCTACCAAGTGAGGGGATTCCGTGCTCATCTTTAGGCCTACTTATGAAGGTGCACCTGGAATATATAATGCGGCGACATTTCGACCTAAACTAATTTGCCATACCGATCCTATACATTTAAGCTAGACCTAACGCCTATGTCAAAAACTAAGATTTTCGGAAGGAAACGGTGTATGCCAGGAGGCTGTACGCGCATTCGCCAGGTTGACTATCATGGCAACAAAATGACGCCACCCGCATCACCAGGAATGCCGACCAACGTTGTTCTAAAAGTGATTTGTCTATTTAGAAGTGAAGGAGATAACCTGATGTAAACGGGCAAGACAGCAATAGACACGACATTAAAGCAATGGAAAACCCTAACTGCCGGTGTGTAGTTGAGCGGAAACAAGAGCAAGCATTTGGGATGCCGGTGTGTGGTGCGCAACATACGCCTAACTCTCAGAGCCATGCGTAGCACGACATGACTAACCCTATCGCCAGCAGACCAACTGGCGGGCAGCACCAGAGCCAAGGCGAGGCCCAGCATGCAAAGTTCCATGACCCCCCCATGGGGAATTGGCTGTCTAAATTCCCATCCAAACCGCTCACGCATGGCTTACCCAACCCCCAGCCCTCCGACATGCTTAAAATGCCTTGACCACCGCCAACATCCTCGTCCTCTTGCTCTCCCTACAAGGCCAGCGACAGCAAGCGCACATCCGCAGCGCGCATTTGCCTGCCGCCCGGCCGGCATCAGGTGTAGGCGTTGAGGAGGCAGCACCACCTACATTTAATATGCATGTTAGAAGGTCAGGGTAGGGCAGAGCCTACCATGCACCCTTTGTCGTACCAGTACCCTTGCTTCAATTGCAGAATGCCGCACTGAAGAAAGGGATCTTCTGCGCCCGAACACAGCCCCACGTGCCCCCCCCCCTTTCTTACGCGACTTTTCAACCCTTTTCCCCTTTTTCGCCCTCGCTTCCATGCACCTCCACCTGCGGCTGCCCCCACTTACCGTACCCAACGGATGAGGCCCCTGGCCAGAAAGGAAACCGCAACAGTCCCGCCACCGCCCGCCCGCCTGTCTCTTCCCCTTTATCCTGAGGTTCCTGACACGCCGGATGCCACAGCCGCCTTCCCGCCGAAAAGCATAACCATATGCCCACATCATCGGACCGTACTCCCTTTGCCCACGCTTCATCTCCGCTTCACAGGATAGTACGGCAGCAGGAGCAGCATTAGCCACTGTACGGCAGTTAAGCCGGGGTACGCCAGCGGTCCGCGATTGGCTGAGAAGGCTAGGAGCTGCGGTGAGCAGAGCAGTGGGCAGTGGCGTCGGGGAGCGAACGAGGGAATGAACAACGGAATGTTGCCATCTCATAGCCCTGTCGTACAGATCCATGAGCAGCCCGGTGCCGTACCTTCAAGTTTCCCAACAAGGTAATTGTGAAGGCCAGGGAGCCCGATACGAGGATGCTCTCGTGCTGTGCAGCAGATAGAAAGGGAGTGAGAGATAGTGGAAGTCGAAGGGAAGAGAGAACAAGAGTAAGCTGGGCGGTACTGCAGGGGAATGCATAGGATGGGCTAGGCGAGAACCAACAACGTTTCATCGTTGGCATTGTATCAGAGTTAAGGCCCTGCGGTATCTGTGCGTGCCTGGGCTCCTAGCACAGGCATGTCATGAGGGATACAGACACCCTGACCCTCCCCCAAACCCGTCCCAAAGACGGGTTCACTTGCTTGGCCATGAGGCCATAAAAGTGTTTCAACATGCCTTCCCGAAGTCGAGCCTTTTCTGCGCCGCAACGAACACGGGCAAAGGGGCAATGCCTTTGATCCACCCTTGGCCTTACCCCAAATAGCTGCATGGGCCCCATCGAGAAGAGCAGGACGACCGGCAAGCTCATGAGCAGCCTTGCGACGCCTGGAGGCTTTGTACGAATGCTGATGGTTGCATATGTGAGAGCTAGTGCCAAAAGGGCGGCGAAACGGGCAACTGGAGGTAGGAAAAGAGGCATGGTATTTCGCGCGCGACTTATGATGGCATGGACTGTATAAAAGATCGAAACAATGGCACAAGAAGAGAAACGTCAATCCACTCGCGAAGTCACACAGATGTGTACAGCTTGGTGGTTGGTCGTTGATTATCAATGACAATCCGCACGTTTGAGCGTTGGGTGATGTACTTATGTGGTGATGCCTCAGTCCTCTTCCTGCTTGACGTGGTCTCCTTTCCCTTCAGAACGCTTGCGCGTGAGGCAACACCCAAAGTAGACATTATCGCGGCTGGTTGCCAATACCTTACCTGAAGGTGCATTATGTCGGATAGCGAAGAAGAATGGATTACAGTGCGTCGCAGGAGGGGCAACCGGGGCGCAATGTCGGTAAGTTCAGATCATGTCTCATCCCAGACCAACGCCTTGACTAACGCGGTTAGAATCTCTCTTAACAGCTATCAGGCAAACGCGCTGCATTATCCCCCATCCCCATACATTTTGCAGAAACAACTGAAGGCACTAGCAATCCCTGTGGTGCCGCTGGCTTTCGATGCGCTAGCAGAACCTGAGGAGAAGCCCAGCAACGAGCAAGCGAAGCCAAAGAAGAAGAAAAAGAAAGCCAAAAAGGTGAACACGCCTCCTGCCACGTGTGCCTGGATCTCTCCGCCAAGCGTGCCTGGCGGGTTCCCGTCCCCCAACCCCCACACCAAGCATGGCGTCCCTCGCATCCCTTGCACTCATAACACCCTTTCGAACTCAGAGCCTTCCTCTTCGCCTTTACACAGGTTGGCGACGGCAGCGATGAGGGCGAGGAAGAGCAAGCGCCCGCTGCCGCCGCAAGCAACAAAGCGACCAGCAAGCCGAGCGCAGTCGCCTCCAAATCCTCCTCAGCCGCAGCGGCTGTCACCAGACAACAATCCCTTTTCGGCTGGCTGCTAAGTCGCTTGGTTGCCGTACTCGTTTTCTTGGGCCTCATGAGGGCTGCAGGCGGCAAGAGGAAGCGAAAGACGCAGAAAGCCGCTCAAAAGGCCGCTGCCGCCACGTCACCACCTGCCGTACAGCAAGTAGCAGCAGGTACGGCAGCAGCAGCAGCAGCCAAGCCTTCGGCGGTGCCAGCGGCCGAGTCCAAGCCCAAGGGAGCAGCTGCAGCTGCTGCTGCTCCTTCCTCCACATCGCAACCTGCCAGCAGCACAGCAGCTAAAGCGGTGCCGTCAGCGCCCAGCAGCAAGAAGGAAGCAGCTGCCGCTGCTGCAGCCGCGACCGCCGCTGCTTCCAACAGCAAGCCAACTGCAGCGGCGGCTGCGGCGCCGCCAGCCAAGCCCAAGCCCCCGGCTGCACCCACCGCAGTAACCCCAGTCTCTCCCACCCCCACTCCGGCACCTCCTGCCGCCGCCGCCAAGCCAACCACCACCTTCCCCACCTCCCCCACCAACCTGGCAGCGGCCCCCAAGCCCCCTTCTTCCGAGCCCGTCGCGCCCGCCGCCGCCTCAGCCCCGGCACCTGCGGTAGCCCCCTCACGCCCAGCAGCAGCAGCTGCTCCCCCGCCACCGCCTCCCCCGCCAGCTCCTCCCTCCGTGCGTTGCGACGCGGACTGGGGTCGCGGCAAGCTGGTGCTGCGGTGGCTGCCGGGCGCGCATGCTGACGTGGTGTCGGCGGTGGCGCTGGCGGGTGACGTGGCGGTGTCGGCGGGGTACGACGGAGCGGTCAAGGTGGGGTGGGGGGTGGGAGGTGGGAGGTGGGAGGTGGGAGGTGGGAGGTGGGAGGTGGGAGGTGGGAGGTGGGAGGTGGGAGGTGGGAGGTGGAATAATTGAAAATAAATGAAAAGTGCAGCAACGGATTCCCAATCCCAGGTCCCGAACCACGCAGTGAGGTGGGGGGAGATGGGGGTGGAGGGGGAAGTGGGAGGGTGGAGAGGCGCGTGGTTGCCCTGGCGCGCATGTGGGGTAGGAGTGATGCTGAAGGACGTCGTTGACGGTTGGTTGTCACCATGATCACCTCATGAACACTCGCGCCTCCCACCTCCCTTCCCTCCCCTCCTCCCCTCCGTTACATGCAGCTCTGGCACTGGGGCACCTCCTCCTCCTCCTCCTCCTCCTCCCCCTCCTGCGTGCCCCGCCTGGCCCCCGTGCGCAGCCTGGCGGGTCACAGCGGGCGGGTGGAGGCGCTGGCGGCGCATGCGGGCTGGCGGCGGCTGATCAGCAGCGGCAGGGACTCCAGCCTCAAGGTGGGGGTGAAGGGGGGGGAATCAATAGATAAGTGCGTCAACTGGAGTCCCAATCCCGAATCCGGACTCATGCAGTGAGCGCATGGGGGGGTGGGGGCGGGGGGGCTGTTGGGGAGGTGGTGAGGGGGAGCTGCAATGGGCTGCTGGGGCCGGGGGGACGGGGAGGCGTGGAGGCTGGCTGCATGGAAAGACGGAGGTCCCCAGCCCTGGTTGCAAACGGCCCGCCCCTGCACTCCCTCCCTCCCTCCCGCTGTCATCAGCCCACCCCCCTCCTCTGCCTCACCACTTCTCGCCAACCCTGTCCCACCCCTGTCCACTCATTCCTGTTGCTGCACTTCTCGTGTATGCACTGCCCCCCGCCCCGTATTGGCTTGGCTAATTCGGGCTGTGGGCGGGTTGGGCTGGCTCACATGATGTTGCAAACCATGGTGATGCCTTATCACACGGTCAGTTGGTTGTTTCCTCTTTACCCCCCCCCCGCCCCCCCCTGCCCCTTCAGGTGTGGGACCTAGGCTCGGAGCCGGGCGGTGCGGCCGCGGGCGAGCTGGGTAGCACCTACGTGTACGAGAGCGTGCGGAGCCTTGCAGCGGACTGGCGGGAGCAGGGTGGCAGGGTGGCGCTGGGGGCCAGGTGGGGTTTTTTTGGGGGGGGGAAGGGAAGGGGAGAGGTTTGAGGAGGGGGGGATTATATAATAAATGCAAACAACTAGAGTCCCAATCCCATATCCCGACTCATGCAGTGAGTGCATTCGGAGACACTATCCTCGAAACACGCAAAGAAACGTAACTTACCGAAGGCTTGCTTACCAGAACCTTTGGCGGCGTGCGGGAGGAGCCGCCTTGCGTAGGAAAACATGTGCCGCGCCGCCGGGGGGGGGGGGTAAAAGGGGGAGGAAATGGGGATGCAGCAGTACCGTGTATGCCGCTCTGTAAACATGTCAGCACCTCAGCCCGCAGCAGCAACAACTGGAGCTGCTGCGCTCCGTGTCAGGAGGTGTGTCACCCAACGGACCCCTGCTAGCCCGGATGCTGCGGTGGGGGTGCCGACGGGGGCGCCTGTCCCCTACGTCCTAACCCTGCCAGTTGCCACCTAGGTCCCGACCTTGCCACCTAATCTTCCCACCTCCCTCCTCCGCCCTCCTCCTGCCCCCCACCTCCCTCCTCCTCCTCCTCCTCCCCCCTCAGGTCCGGCACTGTGCTGCTCTACTCGCTGAGCGCCCCCGGTTTGGCAGGGGCAGCGGGGGCAGGAGGGGCAGGTGCAGGAGGGGGCGGAGGGTGCCGGAAGGTGGCGGTGCTGCGGGGCCATGAGGACGAGGTGACAGCGCTGAGGGTGAGTGATGGTGATAGTCTCTGAGAGGGAGGGGGTCAGAGGAGGAGAGGAGGGGCTGGTGGGGCTGGTGTCCCCCTCCTCCTCCCCCTCCTCACCCCCCTGGCCCTCCTCCCCCCCTCCTTCCTGCCCCCCACCCCCCGCAGTTCCACGCGCCCCTCAGCGCCCTCATTAGCGGCTCCAGGGACGGCTGCGTGCGGCTGTGGGACCTGCGCGCCGCGGATAACAACAACAACAGCGGCAGCGGGGGCAGCAGCAGCAGGGCGGCCACAGCGGTGCTGGGCGGGCTCAGGTGGGGCAGGCTCGGGTGGAGGGAGGGCGGGGAAGACGAGAAGCGGCAACACTCGCTACGGTCGTTAGCACCGCGTTCCCCTCTCCTCGCAGCCCGCTGCCCTCCCCAATTTGGACCTATTTCTCTCGCCCTCCCCGCCTTCCTCTCCAACCCTGTTCTCCCCTCTTCCCTGGAGAAACCTCGTCGTACTGTTCGCCAGTTTCTTTAATCCTCCCCCCACGCGCCCCTCCTTTCCCTCCCCCCCTCCCTCCCCGGCTTCCCAGCGGTCGTGTGTGCTCCCTGGCAGTGGTGGGGGAGCACACGCTGGTGGCTGGGGACTGCTCCTCCTCGCTCAAGACATGGGTGGGTTGGGAGGGGGGGGGAGGGGAAAAAGAAGTTCCACAATGTGTGGTGTGTTAGGGGGGAGGGAGGGACGAGGGGTGAGGGGTGAGAGAGCATGAAACCCTGCCCTCCCCCCCTTTGCGGTTGTGTGGGTGTGAGGGTACGCTCGAGAGATGCACACGGTGCTGCATGGAACTGCATGATGTGCAGAGCGCGTGTGAGCGAGGCGTATGATGGAACGGAACTCGTGTGGTTGAATAGGCGACAACATGCGAGGACGAGGAAGCCCTTTACTTACCTTTCTTGTTTTTGGAAGTCCTATGAAGCTCATAAGTGTTCCTCTTACCTATTCCTCCTCCTCCCGCTCCGCTCCCGCGTCCATAACAGGATCTGCGCATGCTGCCTGCCAGCAGCCGGGTGACCCACGGGTCGTTCGCGCCCCGCCGGCTGCCCAACGCGCCTGCCTTTGCGGGCGACAGCTGCCCCACCGCGGGTCTGTGGGTGGGCGGCCGCAGCGGCGTGATGCTGTCGAGCAGCATCGCCTGGTGGACTCCCAACAAGCAGGTGGGGGTGGGGGTGACGGGGGGTTGGGGTGGCGGGGGTTGCTTTGCCCTAACCTGAGGCTTCCTATGGTATGGCCTGGTCTTTGACACCCCGCCCCCAAACACACACACCCACAGGCCACTCTTCTTACATCCAGCAACAGCCATTTAAGCAGTTTTCTGTATTACGGTTCAGGTTCGGTCAACTTTGTTTTGCCTGTACTCGCGGTTCACATGCGAACCTCTCCCCATTGCTTGCTCCTGTCCTACTCAACTACACACACCCACAGGCCCTGGAGGAGGCTCCCCCCAGCGCCAAGCTGCCCCAGGCCTGCCTCAACGTCTCCGCTGTGGGCACCTCCTCCTCCTCCTCCTCCTCCTCCACCGCCACCTCCACCTCCTCGGCCCCCTCGCTGCTGTGCCAGTACCAATACACGCTGCGTTTGGGTCCGGGGGTGGTTACGTGCATGGCAGGTGGGGGAGGCGGCAGCGGTACTGCTGCGGACGAGGAGGGAGGAGGTGATGAGGGATCGGTGCTGGTGGGTGGGGCTTCGGGGACCTTATGGGGACTGCGGCTGGTGAGAGGCGGGTCGGCGGCGGTGGCGGCGGCGGAACGAGCTGCAGCGGCGGCAGCGGCGGAGGCGGAGGCGGGTGGGGAGGAGGAGGGAGAGGAGGTGGAGGAGGTGGAGGGTGGGAAGGGCAGGAGGGGCGGCTGTGAGGTGTTGGATGCGGTGGTGGTGGGGGTGGAGGAGTTTTCGGATGATGAGTATGAGGGGGATGGGGATGAGGAGGAGGAGGGCGAGGAGGAGGAGGAGGAGGCCGAAGAGGAGGAAGAGGATTAGGGGTAAAGAGGCAAAGGTGTGTCGCATGTTATGCGCTGCGTGTGCGTGCGGATGGTGGTGATTGTGGAAGGCCATGTCCCCATGTGGGAGTCGGGAGGAGGGCGTAGAATGTGACAGAGCCGATGGCTAGCCGCTTTCGTTTCGGGCCGCCCCATGAGTGACTTGTAGTGTATGCAGGTGATATAGGAGCTTAGGCAGGGTACGGGGTGTTGTGTTGAGGCGGCAATGCAGATGAGCATGGAGTAGAATCTACAAGGAGATGGGCTAGGAGGGAGGGGCTAGGCACCTGGCTTGATAACTCCGGTCGAGTCCCGATGGCTTAGTTCAGTTAGGCAACGTGACGGTAGTGTGCACGGATAGACTGTGACCCAGCCGTAAGGGAAAGCTTGGATGTACCTGATACATGTGTGTTCTAAGGCGGGCGTCAGTAGAGAGAGTGCAGGCCGCGAGTCGGACGTCGAGGAAGGTAAATGGGAATCACGAAGTACACGGAATGTGTTTATGTGTTTAGGAACCTGGTCACGCGCTTTGGCGCCGGTAGCGCGAAAATGGACCGGATGTATGGAAGACGCTTGGGCCCTCAATTTGTAAACAGGTGATACTTGAACGATACAAAACATTGACTTCTCACATGTAAGCAGATGGGCTGTACACGATGCCCCAGAAAATTGCAGGAAAAATGCTTTTGGAAGAATTCGAAGGGCCACTTTCTCACACGTACCTGAGATCACGACTGGCAGAGCCATTTGTCATTGGCAAATGCACTGTAACACATGTACAATTGTCTGTTTAGCATCATACTAGGGAACATTCAAGGAAGCTCGGTCCCTTAAACTTACAGTTGGAAGGCCAACCGTCATTCAACAATTTTACAGCATAGGGGCTCGCAACCCCACCATACACAGAACATGGAGCGTGTTAACATCTTAAGCAAAAGTCCCTTGTCATCTCTGGGGCACGACCTTCCCGCTGCCGAGTCGTCGTCACATAATAGCTCTACTGGAAGAGGCCTGCCCAGCTCCTTACTAGACAATCCTCTATACCTGTCGCATTCAATAGCCATAGGAGAGAGACTAAGCAACGTGGTACACGGTTTCACTGCGCCGCGCGAGAACCCATTGTTTTCACCAATGATGTCCGCTGGGGTTCCTCGCAGCGGTCTGGAGCCTAGTGGCTCATTGCAGCTTCTAGCTCCCGAAGATCTGGCCATTATCATGATGGTGCGATCCGCTGTCCGCCTGGGCCTCTCGCAGCTGGCACCCAACAGCATAACCGGCTCATTAACTTCCTACCAGTCAGCCCCGGGAGCTCAGCGCAGCTACAGCATCCCAAGCGAGCGTATCGGCGATCAAATATCCGCCGTAAGTCCGCTTCAAGTCAACGCCAGCCAGCCGCGTGCAGTCGCTGGGCATCACTCATCGGAAGTCCTGCATCTTCAACCGGAGCAGCAGATGCTGGAGCGGCACCGGGCGCCTTCCACAAACAACGTGATCAAGGTAACGGCGACTGCTTCGGCGCCGTCGCCTGGGGTGATCAACTCTGCGCGAGCCATGACAGCCCCTGATCGGCCGTCCGCAGGAATGGTGACCACATTGTCGCCGCGAGGAGTAGCTGCAGCGACATCAGCACCCGCCACATCACCAGCAAGTAGCAAGACGTCGCGCCAAGATACAGAACCCAACTTAGCAACTCCGGAGCTTGGGCCGGTTAGGACAGCAGCACATGTCTACCTATCGACGACATTCGGAGCAACTGCAGCCGAAGTTGCCTCGGCCCCTGCTCCTTTCGTAGGCAGGGAATTTTCTTTTAGTCAGTTACCGCCCGAATTCTTCCACTCGGCGCAGTCGGCGCGCGAGAAGGCCACGCGCTTTGGAGACCGCAATCAGGAGCGAGAAGAAGACCAACGACAACAACAACGCCAACAGCAGCCCCCCAAGCACCCGGCTGACGCCGTGCCCCCGAGCCCTCAGCTGGAAAGCGAGCCCAAGGACCGTACCCAAGTACCGAAGCAGGAGCAGCAACCGCCAACTGCAAGTACGCCGCCGCAGCAACCCCAGCTCAAGCAGCCGCAGCAGACCCCGCCGTCGCCTTCGATGCCCTCGCAGCCGAAACCAAAGCCCACCCAGCCGGTTCATCCCTGCTACGCCAACCAAGCCGCCTACAGCAACAAGCCCCTTCCTAGTGGCTACAAGCCCGCAGGGCCGCTCCGTGCCGTACATCGCCCTACCACCAGCTCCGGCGGCAGCTCCGTCGCCTCCGTCGGCTCATCCTGCGGTACGGCAAGGACGGCGACGACGGCGGCGACCTCGATGACGGCAGCGACGGCGGCAACAGCGTCCACAACAACGGCGGCGGCGGTGACGGCGGTGACGGCGACAGCTTCCATCTACGACGCACGACCTGGAGAACCGACCACACCTACCAAAAAGGAGCAGCCGCCAACGGCCGTCGCCAGCGCCGCCGCTGCCGCCGCCAGCGCCGCCGCTGCCGCCGCCACCGCCGCTGCGGAGGCTTCTGATGCCGCCAGGAGCGTACCCGACGGCGGCGCCGCCACGAGTGCTCCGCTAGAGGTTCCCCTGGCTGCCCCTCCTTCAGGATCCTGCTCGCTTCCCTCCGGTTCCAGCCGCCACCTGACGGGCTCACTTTCGGACGTCGACGTCGCCGCTTTTGAAGCGCAGTTCATCGACCTCAACTCGTCCGTTCACTTGTCTCGAGATCTGGAGAGCGTCGTTGATATCGAGCGCCTGGCGGCGGAGGCTGCCGCCGCCGCCGCGGCCGTCATGGGATGTGGCGGCGGCGCCGGCGGCGGCCGAGCTGGCGGAAGAGGCGGCGAGAGCGGCAAGCGGAGGCGGAGCCGGGAACGTCGTACGGCAGAGTCCGGAAGCGGCAGCGGTGGGTACGGCGGCTTCGTCGCCAGCGGCGGCGGCGCCGTCGGCGCGTCTTCGCTTGGGAGCGGCAGCGTTGTCAGCGGCGGCGGCAGCAATAGCAGTGGCAGGAATACCAGCGGCGGCGGCGCCTGCTGCAACCTCAGTCCCAGCGGATCGGGTGTCGACAGTAGCAGCAACGGCAGCGACGCAAATGCAGAAGTGCGCATTCTATGCAGTAGTGCTGCTGCCGGCGCCGCTGCTGCCGCCACTGCCGCCGCTGCTTCAAATGGCGCTCCCACTGCCGATGCGGCGCCGACGCCTCACAGCAGCATGGCTGAACGTCCTCCCAGTGTCAGCACTCCGCAGCCCTGGTCACCCAACCCCTTCGCGTCAGCGCTGCCACAAACGGCTGTCGTACTCGAGGTGTTTGACCGTTGGCAGTCGTACATGGGCGACTCGTACGCAACCGTCGCCATGCCGCTGTCGCAAGGTACCGCGTCGGCGTCGTCGTCGCTAATGGCTATGACGGCGGCCGCATTCGCTCCGCTGTCGGCGGTGGCGGCGGCGGTGGCGGCGACGACGGCGGCGGCGACGCCGACCTGCAGCCCTATGATCAGCCGTGATGCCCAATGGGCGGCCGGCGGCGGTGCCGCCGCCGCCGCCGGCGGCAACGGAAGCCAGTGCCGTACAGTGGCGCTTTACAATCGTGGTAGCGCCGCCGCCGCGGCGTCGGCGTCGGTGGCCTTGGCGGCGACGGCGATGGTCGCCTCCGCCGGTGCCGCCGCCGCCGCCGACATGGCGACGGCAGCCGCCATTCGCGATGCTGGCGGCGCCGCCGACGCCTTCATTGAGTCGTACCATGCTTCACGCGACTGCTCAGAGCGAGCGGGTGCGCCGTTGCTGATCGGAGGAGGTGCGTTGTAGGGGCTGGTTGTTGTATCGACGAAGAAGTTGGGCTGGAGGGCTGTGTGCAGAGGAGGCATAAACTGTGTTGTACGGCCAATCTAGGTGGGCTGAGCTCCTTACATACCGGTAGAACGCTGCTTTGCGTGCGTGGGTGCGGATGCGGTAGTTGTCATTGTTGTTTATCTTGCTGCTGATGGAAGGAGGAAAGGAAAGGGGCGCTTCCCAAAAGTGTGTCCTGGCTGCTGCTGTTGATGGGGGGGGGCGCAGCAGACAACAGCAATGTACCTGCGGGGCTTGACACGGAGACTAAATGACGGGTGGCATGGATGCGTGCTGCTATTGTTAGTTGTTGCAGTGGACGTTGCTGCTGTTCCGAGCACCGTAGCTGCTGTACAAGAGGGGCTCACATGCAGGGGGCAGTACGGCCTGCGAGATGTGACTTGTGTCGAGATGGTGTCTGCAGAGCAAGGAGGGCGGGAAGAAGGAGCGGACCTCTTACATTGTGTATTGGCTGTACGTCTATGATTGGGTAGCAGCAGGTTGAGCGGCAGGATGGGGAGGGGCAATGAACTGGCGCATTGCATATGCACGTGTAGGGCGGATGTTGCGTGGCAGGTTACAGCGAAATGCAGTCTCTTGCATTTGGATGGATTATTGCGTGCTTTAGCGTGCCGTACATACATGTTCTGTGTTTTGACTTTGCTTACGTCCAAACGTCGTCTCCAGCGGCTGACCTTTTTTGGCGGCATCGCTTTGCCCCTCCGGGCTTGTATGCGGGCCAGGGAAATTAATGACATATAGTAAAGAGGTGCGTGTTCAATAGCTGCCGTTTACACCGACCCTTGGGTCAAACCTTGCCATGCAGAGTGTATCTGGGAAAGGTGGTGGCGCCATAACTCACAAGTCTGTGTGAATGTATAGTGGTCAAGGCACAGCAGGCGGGTGAATAAATCAATGCTATAACGGTGGTTACTATCGGGCTTGGCCCGGTAAGCCGTACCTTCGTACGATCCCGTTCTATGTCAGTTATTAATCAATATCTACCCGTCAGTAAATGGCCTTCATTCGAAAGCGTGTGTTTTGCCACACGATAGGCAACTAACCTTGTTCGACACCTTGATGTGTAAAAGCTGCAGCTATGAGCAGCGCTCTTCTAAACCTCGGCATGCCCCCAAGTGGCATGACCAGCGAGCTATCTGTACCGTTAGCGTCCATCTCTAGAGTTACTTGTCAGCACTGTTAGCACTCAAGTCAGCTCGTTCGTTCACGTCAAATCCCTCAGCACTGTTGGTCCAAAAGAAACTCCACATCAATGAAACAACCATTATCTAAGCAACGGAACTCAACGCCACGTACAAGGCCCTAGGATTGAGGCGCCCATACGCAACAACAACAGCCCGTAGCAACGTTTCCAATACTTGTTCGCAAGTAGACCCACAGCTAGTACCAGCACACACCCCTTCGGCGGCGCTTATCAACAGATTAATCAATCAACCAACCGCCATCTCAACCGTATCCATCGTACATTGTACAGCTCCACGGCAATGTCTCACGTGCGTGCGACCTTATTCATGCCAACCTTAAAGCTGTGAAACCATACGGAGCGCTTGGCCGGCCCGTTAAAAAACGTAAGCTACAGTAGCTAACAAGAATTAGTCCTAGACAGAGCCCCTCCTGCGTTAACATCGTCTTAAGGAAACACAAGAAGGGACAGGGAAACCAACCACCACAGGAGGAACCCTCACACCACCGGCACAAGTTGCTCTTGTACGTACATACGCAGTACGACAGACATTCTGAGGGGCCTGTGTAATGGTTGTTCACAGCACGTACAATACCACACGCCAATTAATTGCTAAACGGCACCGTGGCCCCTCCGCACGCACACTTCCAAGCATGCCAATCACCAAGGTGACCCATGGGCCATAGTGCCCACTCCGTTTATCCAACGGCAACACCTCGTTCCCTGCCTTGTCAGCAGTCTCCCGAATGCACCCACATGCGCACTGGTGGGAAGCACAGGCCCGCAAAGGGACCCTGCCGGAGGACTCCGGGGCTCCGACTGCTTGCCATCCATTGCACCGATAGCTGCAAAGCCAAATTGCCACCAGGGTTTTGAGGGGAAGCTGGCGTGTACGTCATTTTGACGGTTGGGCAGTGGAGGTGGGGAAGGAGCTTGACTCGGCATTGTGGGGGAGGCTCTTCAGCCCGCGGTGTTCGAGACAGCTGGAGGGTAGCGTGAACGGCGCCGGCCCATAAACGTGTGCAGGGTGAGTGTGGAAGGGCCACGGCTCCGTACGCTACGCCTGCTGCTGCTTATGCTACGCCAAAGAAACCTGCTGCGCCTGCGCTCCCGACTAGACACGGCTGCGCATGCTTGCTAAAGGTAACCTCCGGGGCGGAGGTTCCTGTTAGGAAAGCTAGCAGCAGCCTATAACCGCCGCAGGGCTCTCCCGCATTGCGTCACTTCGGCGAGTAGAGTCTCGGTCTGGGATTGGCAAGTCTGCAGCGCCATAGCCTTCTCGGCGAGCGCGAGTTGCGCCTTGCTGCGGCTCTGCTTGGCTGCCTCCTCGCGCTCCCGTAGCGACTGAATCATGATTTCGGCAGACCTTATTGAATCCTCCTTAAGTTGGCTAGCCTTCACGGCGGATTCCAGCTGAGCGCGCAGTAGCTTGACCTCATTGTCCTTGTCGCGTAGCTGTGCGTTAAGGAGGCGATGTCGGTAATTCCGGCCAAAATACTGTGCTTCGGCTGGTGTATAAACGGCTTCAGCAGCTGATGCCTGCAGGCGCATGGCAAGGAAAGACATCAATTGTCAATGTTCATTGGCAAGCGAGCTGGGTCACCGACAAAACCGAGGCTGGCACGGAGTAACAAAAACTATACAAAATTGACATGTCTTATCTTCCTATCCGGCCCCACCTTGATAGCCTCGTCGGTCGCGTTGTAGCCGTGTGAAAGCCATCGCAGGCCTTGGAGGCTGGTAGAAGGCATATGCACGAGTGTAACTTGTTACTAGAAGTTAATAGCAATAGATACGCTTGCTGGTAGCGTGGCCAACACTCCCCGTCCGACTAAGGCTGAGCAATGTGGGTAGCAGCAGACCCAACTTCCGCACTCACCATGCTATTGCAGCCATCACAAGAACTGCCAGTGCAACTTTCTGCGAAGTTTGGTGGCCTGAAGACCGCTTGCTGGGTTCCCCGCCAAGGCAGGGAAAACTTCGTTGTTGGCACGGCGATGACATTCCGTGGTGCGCGCCGAACATGGTTTATTGTGTGTCAATATGGATGTAATTTGTGAGGTTATTTAGGAACACCGTATTAGCTTCGCGGTATAGCGCACTTCGAGGGATATGAGCAAGGGAGTACCGTGATGGCGACAGCTGGTACTAGAGCGAAAGGTTGCCGGGAATAGGAGCCACGTCAGGTGGTATGTTGGTTTGGGAGTTTAAGAACGTCACGTATGAGTTTACCTTGCATCATTACGGGCTTGGTTCCATAGCACAACTGCAAGCGTACGGAAGCTCAGTAGCGCGAAGGGCAGATGCAGCATGCCCCACATGGTTGTTTGCAAGAACATTGCACAGACATTGGGCACACTTAGCATATGGGTACATCCAGCATGCCTTACGCTCAATGTGTCGGTTCAGGTCAAGGCTCGCAATACCGAAGATTCTCAATGCAAAAGCCGTCTGCATACCGCGGTAATGATTTGCCAGGTCAGGCTAACTAGACCCACCAAAAAACTGTGTTATGATATGCTCGAATTGTAGAAAGGTCCCGCGCCACACACTTTCGCCCCGCGAACTCTTCTTCGGCATCTGAGGCCTTTACTATTGCACCAGTTACTGGGCATGTGACAAAGCTGAGTGGCTTCGCACTGAAGCCCATTTTGGCCTCACGCGCAGGTTGTAGACTCTCTAGGCAGTCCAATGTGAAGGTCCGTGCCTCCTTCTCACCAGTTAGCCTGGGAGATAGTAAAGTCCTCGTAGCGGGCGCGACCGGTGGCACCGGCAAGTGAGTTCCCTAGGCGACGGGTGGTATCGCTATTGGCCCACCCAGGGGCTTCCAGACATCTCTATGGCGCCTTTGATGGTCATACAAGATCGGGGCCAATTCTGTGGAAGTCGGTGCCCATGGTGTTCTTCACTCCCAAAATCCGTCCCACTTTCCTTGCACATCGGCACCTTGCGCGGCCCTTCAGCCACCCACGCGGCACTCCATCTACCTCATAAGCTTCTGCATTCCAGCCTTCACACACTCTCCGTTATCATAGCCTCACTCCAACCTGCACTCAACAACATGGCGCGACCCATCCAACTCCCGTCTCCATGTTAGGGCCGTGGTGGAGCTTCTGGTTGCAAAGGGCGTACCTGTTCGCGCCCTCGTCCGCGACCCAGCCAAAAAGAAGCAGCCCTCATTCCCCTCCAGCAACCTCCCTGTCACATGCACCGATCGCACCAACCATACCAACCGCAGCACCAGCACCACCACCAACAACACCACCCCCGTCACCCCTATCAGCAATGGAGCTGGCGGTACCACCCACTCCACCGCAGCGCCCACGGGCCCCCTAGCGGCCGAGGTGGAGGAGGTGTGGGGCGATGTGACGCAGTACGGCAGTCTGCCTCCCGCAATGGAGGGTTGTACGGCAGTGGTGTGCTGCACGGGAGCGCGGGACGCGAGTGACCCGCTGGGTCCCTTCAATGTGGATTACCAGGTGGGGGGTGAAGGGGGGAGGAGAGGGGAGGAAAGGTTGGGGAGAGGGCACGGTTAGGGAAAGGTGCCGAGGGCATGGAGGGAGGTAGGATTTAGGGAGGGGAGCGTGTGCCGGCTTGTAGGTACTGTAAGCGGTGGCCGGTGGGGCAGAGCGACCGTTTTGTGTTTTGCACAGACCCGGACGCGCACCCTACATGCTCCCTCAACCCCTTATTCACTTCCCTCAACCCCCCACCCCGTCCAGCTATCCACTTCATTCGTCCCTTTCTTCCCCCACCCCTTCACCCCTTTCTCGTCCCTTGCTCAACCCTCCTCCGCCAACAAACAACCCAATAGGGCACCCTCAACCTTATTGCAGCCGCCAAGCAGCTCGGTGTACGACACTTCGTGCTGGTCAGCAGCATTGGTGCGGACGACCTGCTGAACCCGCTGAACCTGTTCTGGGGCGTGCTGTTCTGGAAGAAGCGCGCAGAGGCGGAGCTGCAGCGCAGCGGACTGCCGTACACGATTGTACGGCCGGGCGGGCTGAAGAGCAAGCTGAAGCAGGTGAGGCGCTTTTGCTGCAGGCGCGCATGTGTAAAGAAGATGATGATAAAAGTGGACTGAGTCGGAATACCGGTACCATAATCTTGCCGGAGGGTATGATGATGCGGGTGGGTAATGCCGGAAGGTGTGTATGTGGGGGGGTGAAAGGATGCGAAATGGGGTGGCGGATAGGGATAGGTCGTTAGCTACCCTCACGTTCCGCTTTCTCCCCTCCCTCCTCCGCCCCCAGTTGCTTCACTTTTCACCTGTTTTGTCCCTCCTTCATCTCTGCTAGGGCTCCTGCGTGTTTACGTGCTGACACGCTCCCTCCCGTGCTTATATGACGTGCTCCCCAGGGTGAGTCAGCGGGCAGCATCGTGATGGCAGCTCCCGGCACATTCGGCTTCCCGCCCGGCAAGAAGAGCGGCAGCATCCTACGAAGCCAGGTGGGCCCCGTACGGCCGTGCTTAGAGCCGGCCCCTTTACTTCGCCGGCAGCCGCAACAAGCATGTGGGGCATAACCGACCCACGGGTCACATACGACGACAAACCCTCGACTACGCACCCTTGCCATCCTTCCCAGGCTCCTAGCGATCTCTTCCACGCAGCATCGCCCCAATTCACACATGCCGCCTGCTGCGTAATCCTCACCCTGCAGCCCCATGATGATGCCTTATCACACGACCCTCTTTACCACGTTTCCTCTTAACTACCCTGCGGGCCCCACCCTGTGCAGGTGGCGGAGGTGTGTGTGGCGGCGCTCAGCGAGCCCGCCGCAGCCAACAAGGTGGTGGAGGTGGTGGCGGAGCGGGGGGCGCCGGTCAGGAGCGCGGGGGAGCTGTTCGGGGGGGTGGACTGGTACTAGGTAGAGGTGGGGCATGGATGGGTGGTACTAGGGGCCTGAATGGGTGGATGGTTGGGGAGGGATGATGGATGGTGCTGAGAGGCGGATTCGGTCGGTATCAACCGAGGGGTTTTGGAGAGGGACGTGGGAGCTGCCGCAGCAGGCAGAGGTGTGTAAAGTTCACGTGAGGTGCGGAAGGAGAGAGGGAGTGTGGAAAATTGAACATGCTGTCTGTGAGTTGGGCAGGTTTAGAGAATTGTAGTGGGCGCTTATGGGTGCCATCGCGCAGTGTGAGTGTACGACTGCAGCATGAGAGCAGTGAGTTAATGACGACCACTGTTAATTTACTGCTTGCTTCTTTCTTTCATTGTGCAGCAGGAGGGATGTGAGATTCGGCATGCAGACATCAGGATCTATAAATGGAGAGCTCTGGTAGCTCTACTTAGCAGCATTTCGTTATTCGACCATGTTACGTTGGGGCGCTGCCGCAGTGTTGTTGTTTGCGGCGTACGACAAGTGGGTTTAGAGGGAGGGGTGGGTCCGTGTACGGGCAAGCATAGAATGCTCTCCAATGCTCAACAGTAGTTAGGCTGCGTTTATAGTGGCAGGCAGGGGGAGTTTGAAGCCACTGGGAATAAGGCCCTTACGCACGGCAGCAGTGCCGGCAGTTCTCTTGGTGTAACAGAGAACGGACGGCGTCACATGCCTCTTTGCATACACCTGCCAGGTACAATGTAGGCTAGGCCTGGCCGAACACCTATCTTCGCATGTCGCCAAGTGTGGTGCGCTTTGGGATGGCTGCGAAAAGGACGTGAAGCAAGCAAACGGCGAACACATCAAGCAGGACCCATGGGCTCCACGCAAGGGCTCCACCGCCCAACGCTCAAGACTTGTCTTCCATGTCACATGTAGGAAAGGGAGCCACCTCAGCGCCCGCACCAAAACCTGCTGCATGGCACATGGAAGTCGTCGCCTCCGTATGTGCAAGAAGAGGCGCGAGGCCAAGCCGCAAGCCGCCACACAAGGGGGACGCGACGCGACTACGTTTCTGCGCAAAGCTGGAGAGCTTCGCTGCCCCGCTGGGGACTGCTGTGCGCTGGTGTTGACACCCGACCCCTCTCGCACCCAACTTGCCACACCTGCATCCACCTCAATACGTCGTGTACCACCCAACCACCACTACTGCTACCGCTACTGATAGCCCCCCCCCTGACACACCCTCCTGGAGGGACAGGCCACCCACCGCTCTACTTTCGCGACCCCAATACACGCGCTCATCCAAGTTTCAACACCCGCTACACACGTTCGCGGCCAGCTTCCTGAACACACGCGTGCACCCCCTCCGCACCCCCTCCGTTAGAAGCCTGTTACCCTCCTCCCCCGTCTCCCGCTCCGCCTCCCATGCACAACCCGCACCCCTCCCACCCACCCACTGCAATAACCCGCCCTCTCCCTCTCCCTCCCGCGCTGTCGCACTCCTCCTGCTCATATCAGCATGGCTGGCAGCAGCTGCGGCTGCGGCAGCCACGCCAGGAAGGGCGGCCCGAACACCGCCACCAGCGCCCACACCACCTCCCCCAAGTCCGCGTCCTCGCGCCAGCTCTCTGCCAGGATGGCGCGGGGGGAGCGTCCGGACAGGGAGGACAGCGGAGCCGCCTCGGCGCCCGGCTGCAGCTGCTGAGGGGAGGAGGAGGTGGAGGTTATGGTATGATGGTGATGGTGATGGAGGGGGGTGATGGTGATGGTGATGGCAGCAGTTAGGCGTTGCACATGCAGGCATGAACAGAGGGGGAGGGAAAAAATTAAATAAGTGAAACAACGAGTCCCAATCCCATATCCCGACTCATGCAGTGAGCGCATTCGAAGACACTAAGGGCGGGGATGCGGGTAAACGTCGAGGGCAGGTGGAAACTGGGTGCTTGTATAGACACACAGGACACGGCTTGGGACAGATGAGCTGCACGCCCAGCTGACCACACGAAACCACTAGGCGGCCCCCATGCGGCCCTAGGCAAGAGCACCCCTATCCATCCGGCTCATAGAGCCATGCGGCAGCAGCGCACTCCCCACCACCTCACTCCCTCACCTTTCCTTGCAATGCCGCACCGCCCACAACGCCCCCTCCGGCCGCTTCCCCTCCGGCCGCTTGTCGCCCGGTTGCTTCCCCCCCAACCGCGGCCTCCGCTGATGCATGCATCCTCATCTCCACACCATCCCCTTTTGCAGACGGCGGCGCCCCACTGCCATTTAAAACCGCTCCCCCCGCCCCTCCCGCTGCCGCCCCTGCTCCCGGCTGCTGCTGCTTCTGGGGCTGCTGCCGCTGCTGCTGCAAGAGTGGAGGCGGCTGCACAATGCCTAGCCTTGCAAGCTGGTGCAGCGCGGCCAGCGCAGTTTCCCGTAGCGCGTTAGCGGGGTCGGCTGCGATGCCTCGTAGGTTGGCAAGCTGGGAGAGGGAGGTGGGCGCGGAGGGGTTTGACACGATTGCGTCAAAGATGTTGCGCAGGGCGGGGTTGTCGCGAGTGGTCTGTTGCCACAGCACTTCAAGCCGTGCAGCATTTGTGGAGGCGGCAGACGCGGCGTTGGGGGCTTGGGACAAGGGGTTGCTGTTGCTGGCTTCTGCTGTTGGGCTTTTACTGTGCTGTGGGGTGTCATTGGTGGCGACGTTGGCGGGGGTGGGGGTGGGGTTGGAGGGCTTGTGGGTGGCAGCTGCGTTGGCGTTGGATGGGGCGGGCGAGGAAGGCGAGGTGGGCGCTGCGGCGGCTACGATGGGCCCCGGCGAGGTGAATCCTTGAAGGGCCAGAACGGTGGCACGACGGGACCTGTTGAAGGAAAGGGAGCAGGGCAGGAAAGGCAGAACCGGTATTTTCGGTAGGTGCAGGAGGTAGCAGTGTACTGGGCAAACACGCCACTCGCGTGGGCAAGATGATGACCGGCCCCACCGGTGCCGCTATGGTGTCAGAGGTCTGACATACGTGCACGCATGCCCCTTTGTTACCAGTACCCTCCCCTCTTCTTCTTCTTCCTCCTTCCTTACCTCGCCGCCGCCCGAAACAGGTGCACCGGCAACAACCCATCCGCCGCCGTACCAACCAACTTGTCGTACATCGCTGCACCCGCCGCCCTCAGCAAAGCGCCGTACACTTTAGTCGCCTCGTACTGCCGTACACCCTCTTTGCGAGCATTGAGCGCCGGCTGTAGCTTGGCTAGGTACGGCTCTAGCTGCGGCAGCAGTAGCAGCCGTACGGTGCTGTGGCCCATGGCTGCCAGTCCTGCTACTGCGCCGTAGTGGCTGGTGAGGGGCTTGGAGCCATCCAGCATGGTGCGCAGGAGCTGCTTGGAGATCTTGACCTGCGGGGCGGGGCGGGGCGGGGTCAGGGCGGGGTGGGGTGGGGGCCGGAAACGAGGTTGGATTTGCAGCGAGGGATGTACGGCAAGGGCCGCCACGGGGGCACAGCCGCACATGCGGCCCCTCTAACAGCCCCAACAGCCAAACCCATACCCCACCACCAAGAACCAGCACCGTCAACATCCACAGCACATCCCCTCCACACCACCCCCGCACCCCCCTTCTCACCTGCAGACTGTAGAAGGGCTCCCCGAACCGGCCGCACAGCCGCGTCAGCAGCGCCGCCGCCGCGTCCCGCAGCGCCCAGTGGTCTGCTGCGGGGCCGGGTCCCAGGCTCTTGGCCATGAGGCTGGTGAGCAGCGGCGGCATGAGCTGGTGCAGGTAGGGCTCCAACTGCACGTGCGGGTTGAGCAGCAGAGCCTGGGGGGGCGGAGGGAGGTGGGTGGAAAGGAGGTGGGTTAAGGAGGAGCAGGTGAGGGCAGGTGGTTAAGATGTGCTATGCAAAGGGGTGGACCTTTGTGAAAGCTCCCGGTGAATGGTAAAGGTTGAACAACAGCAGGGAAGCAGCCAGACACCGTGGTATGGTGTCACATAGCCCTGCCGTACACAGAACACACCCTGCCGTGCACAGCACACACCTGCATGACGCGTATGACGAGGTGCAGCCGCGGCAGCTGCCTCAGCCCGCCCGCCACCTCGTCCGCCACGTGTTTGACCAGGTAGGGCAGCAGCTGCTGCATGCCTGGGCAGGCCGAGCGGGGCAGGTAGGGAAGGTTACGGGGGGGGGGCAGGATGGGTGAGGTTGTTTAGGGCGTGTGTGTTTGGAAGTTTGGGCAGCACGGGGCCTGGACGCATGGCGGGAGGAATGAGCCCTGGCAGGAGTGTTGGTGGCGGGGCACACGCAAACACACAAACCCGCCTTCTTCCGCTCTCCTCTTCCCGCTTGCCGCCCGCTCCTTGGCTCTCCCTCTCCCTCCCGCATGGCTATTTGTCTCCTCCCCCGCCCCCCCCCACCTGGGTCGGATTGCATGGTCACCAGCACCGCCCGCTGCATGGGTGTGAGCACCAGCTCCGAGGGGGGCAGCAGCAGCGACAGGGAGGAAGAGGAGGCGCCGCCACCCGCAGCAGCGGCAGCAGCAGCAGCGGTGGCGGGGTCATCCAGGGTGCCCCACAGGGAGCACGGCTGGCCACCCGCAGCAGCGGTGGAGGGAGGGGGAGCGGCGCTGCAGACGGTGCCCAGCACCTGCTTTATCTGTTGGGTGGGTTGGGGCGAGGGGGGGGGTGTTCACAGGGGGCGTGTAAAGGCGGGCAGGGTTTAAGCGCGCAATGCTATGGGGTTTAATAGGGATGCATATTCCGCATTAGGCTGGATAGTGTCATGGGGTGCGGATGGGGATCCTCATCATGGCACCATCGCCCGCACCCCGCCCGGTCCAGAAGCCACACCACCCTCCTCCCTATCACGGCACTGGGTGCTACAACCACAACGTTTCTCCATCCCATGCGCCCCACCTGCGCTCCCCCATGACAACCACGCCCCCGTCCCCGTCCCCACCTTCCTCCGCCGCCGCCTATCCATCCTCCCCCCATTGCTTTGCCCTAACCTTGCGAATTCCCATCAATCCCCTGCTTTGGTCGCTCTTTGTGGATTCCCATGCCTCGGTCGCTCCCTGCCCCCACCGCGCCCTGCCCCCACCTGGTCCAGCAGCCGCTGCATTTCGTCCGACAGGATGTGCTGCACCGGCAGCAGCACCCGCTCGCCGCCACCCGACCCCACCAGCCCGCCGCCCTCGCCACCTGCACCACCACCTCCGCCACCTGGGGATGCGGGTGACGCGACCCCGCCCGCTGCTGCTGCTGCAGTGCCGTCTGTGCGCGACACGCACGGCACATGGGCAGGGGAAGGGGGCAGGGGATCACGATAGTTGATGTGTATGTCAGACAGAGGGTGTGTTACGAAAACTGGCCACGATGTTGCATGTTCAAAGCTTCTGCGACTGTAGACTGCGGCCACCACCTACCTCCTCTTCTTCTCCCTCCGGGGCCCTGCTCCGCTGCCTGCCCCCTGCCGGCCCCCGCAGCAGCCGCCCCTGCTGCTGACGCGCCCGCAGCCGCCGCCCCGCCGGCTGCCCCGGTGGATGCCAGGCGCTGGCGCTTGGGTGCCGGCTGTGGTCGGTCTACTGCCGCGTTTTCCTCCGTTTGCGGCTGCACCCCATCAATGAAGAGCCAGTGGGGCATAACGGTGGTGTGGTTGGGCGCCTTGGGAAGCGCGGAGCATGTAATCTGAGGAAGGAAGGGTAAGGCAGGGGTGGTGGGAAGGGGTGGGGTAGGAGGAGGAGTTGAGTCAGGGGGGTCGGAAGGCATGCCCCGGGTTGGGGGCGGGTCAACTGGGCGGCATCACATCATACCTGCTCTAGAGGCACCGTGGCATCCCGGACAAAGTACACGTCCGGGTGACCGGTCGCCCGTACGAACTTGGCGGGGTCGTTATTCCCCAGGAAGCCGTACATGGGCTGCAAGTGGAAGGAAAGGGAGACGCCAGGTGGCATCCAGGATGGATTGGCTGACAGTTAGTCCGACGGCCCCCGAAGCGGTCTTCGTCCTCCAGTTGCAAAACAATTTCCTTAAGCACCCATAACACACCGCATCCAGTTAATAGTCACCTCGTTTCACAGGATTCTAACATGCAATACGTCCGACCTACCTCAATGTTACGCAAGCGCATTGCATTGTTAACATCCTGTGTTGTTAGCTTTGTCCGCTTGCTGTGCCTGGCAAACTTGAGTGCATCCTGTCGACAATATTTTCGCGCGAACCGCCGAGAACTCAGTACAACAGTAAACAGCGCGAAACTATAAGTGCTCCTTAAATGATCACCTGGATGACTTCCCGTAGCCGGTACTCCACGTCGGGAGCAAGGGCCTTGGCAGCCTCATCGGTCAAGTGTGTGACGTCTACGCTCAGTGCGATTGCCTTAATCGCTGCAGGCTGTATGAGATTCATCTTTCCGTCAGCATCTAAAAGCGCTATCGTTGGGTCATGTTAACGCGCCAGCGTTGCAAGGATGCTTAAAGTCGCGCAGATAACATGATGCAACGCACCATGTGCCAGTTCATTAGAGGCTTTGGATAGATGCGTCTGCCAAGACGTATACCAAGGATTTGACAAAGGCACGACCCGGAGGTCAGTAATGCTTGTCGTACAGCGGCAAAGTATTAAAGCCGCCAGAAAGCCATGCATCAAAGGAGGCGTCAAAGCGGGACAAGTAATCCTGCAAGTCAATGGGCCCTCGCGTGTTCGGGGTTTGCTAGAAGGACGAAAGCGAGGCCCCTTCACTCTCTGCAGGGAGGTCAGCCGTGGGTTTGGACGAATAGTACCATACTTTGGCGGTGGCTGGTCCCAGCGGACCCATGTCAAAGTAATCGATAACACGTTTCACCAGCGTCCTTTCCACGCCAACTCGCACAACCGATTAGCATTTACCACAACCCTGCAACACCCATGTAACGTACAACCCTGGCGGCCCGAGGGCATCCCTCCCACAACTCTCCCCATCCCTCCTTGGCTGCATAGCGGTATAATAGTTCGCCTCATCTCGGACTGCTGGCATACACGTATACACGTCGGGCTCAACTCTGAATAGCCTGAACTTTGACAACAAGCCCTTCCAAAGCTGCATGCAAACACCGCTGCACGGCTGCCACATGCCGGCAGTGCTAAACGAGAAAACGACACACAGCATGCCTTGCGTCTCACGCGGCCCAAGTATTGAGTCCCCTCACGTTTACCGGTATGCACAAAGGCCACGACAGGGGCGCATCAAGCCAGGCCGCACTGGCAGCCACCAGCCACATTCCACTACAGTGCCACACCCTCCACAACGAACATACCGGTGTCTCCCTAACCCCTACACCACCATCAGCATCGTCATCATCATCATCATCACGCCTTGAACGGCGCGCTGACCGCTGCCAGCAGCGGCCCCAGCTGCTGCCCCACCTGCGAGGCCAGAGGCCCCAGCAGCGGCCCCAGCGGCTCCAACAAGGCCCGGTAGTTGGCACTGATGGCCTGCAGCATCCGGTCACCCAGGTCGCTGTCCCTCTCAATGGGCGCGAAAAACAGCCGGTCGGCGGTCTCCTGTGGCGGCGGCAGGGGGCGGCGGCAGGGGGCAGGTGCGGAGTGGCGGCGTCAGCATCCAGATACAAACAGGCGGTGGCAACGATGGCGGTGGTGGAAGCGGAACAGCGGCAGCAGCGTGGTCCAGACGTGAAGGCGTGTAGGCGTGTATGCGCAGAGGCAGTGTGAGCAGGGGTGGTTATGGCCTAACGTTTTGGCTGGGTACATGCATGCACGGTACGGCACATGCCGGTTTACACATACACATACACACACCCCTCTTCCGACCATATCAGTACGTTCCTACTCGCGGCCAGTTTTCTTAACACACACCCCTACCAGTCGCGGCCAGTTATTTTAACACACACCCTCCCCCTTACCTCCAGCACCGCGTGCGTGAGTGCGATCCGCAGCAGCAGCGGCGCGTGCAGCCCCGCCCGCCGCATGAGCCGCCCCAGGTAGGCCTCAGCGGTCATGAGGGGCGCCTGCAGGTACAAGAACAGACACAACTTCCAGCCCCACTTGCCGCTGCCGGGAAGGGGAGAGGACAAGACGAGGGAAGGAGGAGGGAAGGAGGAGGGGAGCAGGCGGAGGAAGACGCAAGCTGCCCCGCTCAGAGCTTGGTGTGGGGGTACCGGTAAGATGTGGTGGTGTTGGGGTTTGTGTACCGGTTTAAACGCCTGGCCCAGTTCCTTTTTACGATCCCCAACTAACCCTGCACCCCTTCCTTACTTGCGGCTAACACTCCAGCTCAAGTACTCGTGAATGATGCCACTAGTCAGGAAGGCGGCGTGCAGCCCCAGCTGCCTCCGAAACATGCTGCCGGGCTTCGTCCCACGACCCGCCACTGCCCCCGCCCCCTGCTGCTGCCCCCCCTGCCCCTCCTGCTGCGCCGCTGCTGCTGCAGTGGCATCCCCGCCCTTGGAATCCGCCCTCAGTGGCTTGGCGGCGGGGCCGGCGGGTTCCGTCGCCGCCGCCGCAGCAGCATCATGAGGTAGTAGCCCGACGGACGGCTCTGTCTCTCCGCTAGCCGCAGCGGCGCTGCTCCCCAGCAGGGACCCCGCCCGCCTGCTTCTCCGTGGGTTGATCGGCGCCCCGTCCACGATGCAATCGTACACCAGCACCCGCAGCATGGAGGAGGTGGTGACGTTCCAGCGGCGGCCCCACCAGTCTGCCAGGGAGGAGCTCTTCCAGGGCTCGTCGAAGGTAGGCACCAGCGGCAGCCCCAGCGCCTCCACCGCCAGGGCGGCGGGACCGTCCATCAGGGACCCAATGAAAGCATACAGCGCGAGGGCTGCATGACGTACCAGATAGTGGCGCGGGACAGAAAAGGAAAAGGGAAAGGAAGAGGGCGGCAAGCACAGTGGGAAGGACCTTGGATGCCCGTTACCGAGAGGAAGGGAGCAGGGCCGGCAGCTGGGTGCTGTGTGCCGGCCGCGGGGGCCGGCCGGACCGCTCCCTACACACACAATGCCCCACCACCCATGCACACCCCCAAACCCACCTTGCCCACACTGGAATTCCTTCTTTTGCACCACCTCCATGCACCCCCTTCCCTTCTGATCTAGAACCCACCATGCACGTAGTGCCGCAGCACGCGGGGCATTCGGTCCGCGTAGGTCACCATGATGTAGGCGACCAGACCCAGCATCCCTGCACGCAGCGGCATACCGGTTAGCTGGTCAGCAGTGGCGGTATTGGGTGGGAATGCGGGATTAGAAAGCTGAGACGCGGTGGGAGTGCTGCCACATACCGCCATCAATCCAATCGAGCGACACCCCCGTCGTTCCGTGCTACCGGTATCGCGAGATTCGTGTTAAACAATTGCAACTGGTGTGCTTGAGATGCTGGTTGTGGGAAGCTTGGAAGAGGGTTTCCGCTGGTGACCCGCGGGTCAGTCCGTGCGACAACGTACCGACTTTGCCCATCCATCTGCCTGCCAGCACCCAGCCCGTCCCCGCGGTGTCATGCAGGCGGCCCTCGGGACCCGTCTTGGCGCGCTCAGCTGCGGAGAGGGTGAGGGATGACGTGAATAGGGTTAACGTCTTACCGAAACCGACTGGTGCAAGTAGGGAGTAGGAATGGGATGGGAGCACGAAGGATATGACGGTTATCCAAGCATACGGCCGCAAGGGCTGACCACGTGAAAGGCCGATGACAACGTGTCTTCGCTGTTTTAAAGGCTGCTTACGTGGCTTGGGGAAGACGGGCAGCATCATGACTGCCGCGATCTGGGGAGCGGTCATGTCCTCCTGCGCGTGCGGGGCGACAGGGACAGACGGGAAGCTGGGTTAGGACGCAGCAGCAGGGGGTTTGCGAAGCCTACCTAAGTCGTCATATGACCCATTGAGGGGTAAAGCATGGATGGCAAGCAAGGACCGGGGCATTGACGAGTGGTGAATCAGTTGGCACTGTCAAGGAACGGCATGCACCCGGGGATATCGGTAGGTGCGGGTGAATATCGGTAGGAGCCGACGAAGACGGCTCTCCTCAACCCCTCGCACCAAACATGCCACACACACAGCTTTCCGCAGAGCCTACCCGCAGTGGGTGCCTCCCAAGGCAGAAGGCCAGCACCTTCGTGAGAGAGGGCAACATGGGGACGGATTAGGCAGGCAGGGGACATTAGCGTTTCAGAGACGAAGCTCCCTTCGAAGCTCCCTGTCGGACCCAGCCATAATCCGTAACAAGTCGCATTGCTGTCGAAGTAAACCGGTTGCGTCGCTGTCGGCAACCAACCGCTGCCGCGCATACAATAGTCAGATCAGTCGCCAACTTGCGGCCGCAAACGTACCTTGAAAGTGCACAGCCATGAGAAAATGAAAGCAGACGATGCACGTGTAAGCAGCTCGTCTTCCAGGTTGAACAGCCAAGGGGAACCGATGTTTGCAACGAAGATCGGCAGGCAGAGCGTGAACCGCCCGATGCCGACAGGCGCCCGCCCTGCAACATGCTTCACCCAAAAGGCAAAGCCAGCATACAGGACGCCTAGTAGCAAGATGCGCAGCCCGAACGGCGCGTCAGTTTGGAAATACGGAGCCTGCATGGTTGATCAGTCAAGTGCTAGACCCTCAGGTATGTTAGCGGTGGCACCGACTTGGCAGTAGGATGCAAAGGTACCACGAGAACAGAGGGAGACAAGATTAAAGAAAACTAGTGCGAACAAGGCAGCCTTGTTGGCGAGACGCGAACCACCGATCCGACTCAGACAAACACGATTCCACGTTTTCTTCTCGAAGTCTTGGACTAACTTGTGAACATTCATAACCTATTCTCCTCTGACAAGGCACGTGCTCAGCGAAAGCCGTTTGGCCACCCGCGCGCGGTCCAACGTACTCCAGCTAGGCCGTTACTGGTCCCCGTAGCTCGATTCCGAGAAAACGTATACGCAGTATGCGGTTTCGGAGGAGCGAAGCGAAGGGATGCATACCCGGTTCCGCTGACGCTCAACGGGATCCTTTTAGCCGGCTTGTTCACGGCTCGGCGTTCATGCTGCACCGCTCAGCGTAGCCCGCAATTGCTGTCACGCTCACTTAACGAACGTTTAACGGCATTATCGCTCTTCCTAGATCGCGCTGTTTAAAGCGTCCTTTAATTTAAGACATTCAAGGCTATTGCTTAAGCGGTGAATTATGGAGGGCAGATCTTGGCGCTCGTCCCGTCCATAGACCCACGGGTCAGTATAGCTTCCAAAGCGCTGCTGCCGGTCACCGCTTCGCAGGCTTCTAATTGTGCAGCGCATAGTGGCTCCTCTTTTTTGTAGGTAAAAAAGAAAAGGGATCGCTAGCGTCGCTAACCTCGCTATACTCGAAAAAGCAGAGTGCCACGTATCGTGCAGGCCAGCAGCTTTTGGGCTCGCGGTGCAAGGTATGTCGCTTCGGCGGTTCAATCATCATCGGTTTGTCTGCACATCGGCATCCTTAGGCTCAGCCACGTAAATTGGTTTGTAGTAAAGGCAGGATTATGGATGTCGCACGTTGTGTTGCACATTCATACGTATGATGTCGCGCTTGCTACCCCCCAGTCTCCACGTCTGCTTCTCGCTTCTCACTTACCTGCCATGAGAGCAGCCGTCTTTGCTTGGGCTTCAGGAAACGTAGCATGGTGCGTACGCACGTGCCGTCATTAAGCCATTTACCGGGTCTTCACCTTCTTATGTAGACGTAGATCCGTCGCTTTTCAACGCCAAGTGATAACCTTCCCATGCTCTTTCCCGCGCGGCGCGTGCCTCCGTTGTTGCCTGTTCCTTGAATGGTGAATGTAATGGCTCTTGCCCGCCTGCCTAATATTTTCTTCAGCGTGTATTGCCTGCCTCTCCATGCCCTTCCCGTGCTTGGCCTACCTCTAATGCCCTTCAACGTGCGGCGCCAGCCTCCCCAAGTCTGTCCCATTCTTTCGTTCTGTGGGCCTCTTGCGGCCTTGCGTGGGGCCTCGCTGCCCTTCCCCGCGCTGTACCTACCTGTCTCCCCTGCTCCCCGTGCCCTCCTCATGCGGCTTTCCTTACTCGCGCAGCGCACGCTTGCCTCCCCCAACCCTTCCCCAATGGCGGCTGCCTCCCAATGGTTAGGTTAGGTTAAAGCCCTAACCATTGCAGCTGCCCTTCCCCACGCTGCGCCGGCCTCCCCGTGTGCTTTCCCGTGCAGCGCACTTGCAGGCTTCTTGCGGCCTACCGTGCTGCCATACCATGTGCCGTCTGCCATCCCATGCCCTCCCCATGTGGCTGTACTTACCCGCGCGGCCCTGCCTCCTTATGCCCTTCTCCGTGCGGCGCCCTTGCGGCCTCCAGCGGGCCTCTCTGTCCTTCCCCGTGAAATTTGTCTCCAGGTGCCCTCATTCCTGCACGGATATGTGCAAGGTTATGAGCAGCAGGGGGGCATGGCGGGTATGCATGTTTATAGTGGTGCCAGTTGATGGGCTTGATGCGCGGGTGGGTGCGGACGGAGATGCCTGGGTGCAGGTCCTTGGGAAGGGTGGTGATGCTTGCACGCATGGGTGCCGGTTTCTGGCAGGACGAGAGGATGCCTGTACGCAGGAGCACTGATGGCCGGGAGGGGCGGGGATGCATGTGCATGTGGGTGCCGGTGACAAGCAGGGCGGGATACCTACATGCATGAGCGGCATTTTTGCAAGAAGGCGATGGCTGCACACACGGGGAGACATCATTTTGGTATTGTGATGGTGCATGCCTCAGCACATACGCGTGTTCTGCACAATGTTGCTTAGCGGAGTGGATTAGGAAGCCGTGCGGTGAGAAGGCAGCTACATGATGAGGAGCGTTGACTTTGAGGATAGGTGGAGTAGGCTTATCGAGTAGGGGCCGGAAGCAGGGAAGGTGGAGACGGGCCCTGGAGACTGCAGCAGTGGAGGATATAGAAGGTACAAAAACGTGGGGATCTGTCCCGCGGTTTAAAAGCCTGTCGTGTCGCAAGGCTTTGAACATCCGAGCTTTGAGGACGGGGCGTTGGCCTGCGCAGCAGCGGCGGCAATACCACTTATAGCGCGCTTGCGGCGTACGAGGATGGGGCCTTTGGCATCTGCCGCAGGTCCGGAGGGTATCCCTGCTCGCATGCACGGTGATGGCTGCACACCCGGGGCACCCGTAATTTGGTACGGCCTCTCCTCCTGTGTCTACGCGCATGGGTGTGTCATGCACACTATGGATAGCCTTAGCAGCATTAGTAGCATTAGCAGCCTTCGCAGCCTGAGCGCTAGCGGCGGACGGTTGGGGCCTTGGGCATTCGCCGCACATCCGGAGGGCATGCCTTCTCGCATGCACGCTTGCAGGTCGGGGCGCGCCGGGCTTTGGGCAGGGCGTGTGGAAGCGTGCAGGCGCCGGTAGTTGGACAAAGCAGTGACATAACTCGAACGGGGCAGGAACGTTGGTGCATTTGCACACATACTTGGGCACGGCGGAATTGCTAGTTCCAGTTCCAGCATGGCACAGGTGGTCTGGTAGGGTGGCAGGGTACATGCATGGCGGCGCGGGTTTGTCTGCAAGCAACTGAGCTGCGTAACTGTACGGTTGCTGTGTGGCTGACTGGTGACGACGGGGAGTTGTGCAGTAGTGCAGTGGTAGTAGGACCTGTACTCTGTGCGAAACGCACAGGTGCCAGTACTGGTACTTCGGCAGGGCACGGCACAGCCTGCGCACCAGTATTCGGGCGGGTAGGGCGGGGTTTTGACACTCACACCACCTGTACGCTTTGACTTAATGCGTGTTTCCTTGGCATCCTCAAGCCGCTTGCGCATCGTAATCGTTGGATTGCTAGCAGCCTTGGCGACAATCGCTGCCATTCCTTTTGTGCTTTAAACATCCTTCTGCATCCTCACGCCCTATATGCATACGTGCAACCGCATTTCCTCGACATCACCTCCCTCCCGCGAGCTACGGGCAGCTCCCGCCGAAGGCGGGCCTTACTAGTAGTTAACGTGTCATCGATACAGGGCGCTCTATTGTTTGCCAGTCGCGCCAATGGCACGCCGGTAAAGTAAAAGCAACTGAGCTCGTGAGGCTAGGAGTCTATGCGAAGTGCCGAGTTCGGACTGTATATGGCAGCGAGCTTAAATGCTGTGCCCCGCGGGTCGGCAGAAGCCTGCTACTAAGGAAACCCGATGATGCTAAGGTCTGAAATGTTAAGATAAAGCCTTGTAGGTGAAAAGGCTTAGGATCACACAGGGGTTACAAAAACTAAAAAATACAACAACACCCGGTTCCACCTGTACGGCAGTACCCTATCCTCCTAACAGGCCCTTGAGAGAAGCACACACCCGTCTGCCTTTGTAGCATACTACGTAACAGCCTATGGGCCTCATTCCTGCATTACGTCCAGCACGAGTAAGCTGACCGTTAGCAGATGTCGCATCTCGCATGACTTGACGAAGCTTGTTTTCCTGACAAACTAAAAGCATAACATTTTAGCATTTTATCTACCTATGTACTGGTAGGTACCCCGGAACGGTTAACAAAGTCTTGACTGAGAAGGGTTCCATCGGTACTTGTTGGCGTTGTCAAGCTGCACTTCACCAGGAAGTAGGGCTTTTACTCACTGTCCTTGCCCGTTTTCCCTTGCTTGCTTTTAGGCACAAATCAGGCCACTAGGACGGGCCTTGAAGAACTTTCGAACATGGCCGCATGTGGCGCCTGCCTCGACAGCTTTGGCGTCGGGGAGCGGCTGCCTATTGTTTCGCCATGTGGCCACACCATATGCAGGATGTGCATGACCGACCCGCAGCTGGTTGCGTGCCCCTTCTGCAGCGTGCCGCTGCCGCCCGCCGCTGAGGACCGCGACATCCTGCCATTCAACAGGGGCCTATTCGAAATCTTAAATCTTGGCCAGCAACAGCGAGTGCTTGACATACCCTTTCAGGAGCTGCGGCTGACGGATGAAGAGCTTGGCGGAGGCGGCCTGGGCCGTGTGGTCGTTGGGCAATGGGGAATGCGCGAGGTGGGCTGGGCTCCGAAGAGGCCACCCGATCTGGGTCGGGCTCACCTTGGTCCACGCAATATAGTTTCTGCTTGCAAGCTGAGCTTCAGCAGCACACAGGCTGTCTTGCCGTTCCCTCCTCATCGTTCGATGATACAAGTTGCTGATGCAGGTCCTGCTGTTCCTGCATGGTGCCTGTGAACACTTCTTCACCACGTCACAGAACCCAGTTTAATAGCCGGCTCCATCGTTTCCCACATACATCATACAGGTGGCCGTCAAGATGTTACACCTGCCGCCTGCATGCCACGGATTTTCCCGCTCCGCACTTCAGCAGCAGTTGCAGCTGCTGGTGCACATCTCCGCCGCCTGTCGCCACACCGCCCGGCTGCTCGGCGTCAGCCTGAACGACAAACACGACAGACTGGCGCTAGTCATGAGGCGCTATCCGGCCAACTTGGAGCAGGTGCTGCAGCAGCGGCGAGGTGGGTGCTGCAGTGCCTGCTGCTACGCCTCCTGTTGCTCCCTAGGGGCTTGTCGTCTTGTTTGCCATCCTCTTTTCGACACACTGGGTGTAGTTCTTTTCCCTCATGCATGTTTACCCGGAAAACAGGGACCTTGATGCATGGCGGCAGGCTCACCGTGTCTTTAAACCCCTGTCCATCTCCCCAGCCACGGCATGGTCACGCATGCTGTGTTTTTCCACGTTTGCCGGCCCGAAACAGGTGTCTGTCTGCCCCCGTCTGCCGCGCTACTGCTGGCTCGCGACTTGCTGCGCGGCTTGTGTGAGCTGCACGCGCTCGGCTTGGTGGCTGGCGACTTGAAGCCCAGCAACGTGCTGATGGATGGGGGCACAGCGGCGGCGGCAGTGCATGGAAACAGGGCAGCAGCAGGCGCGTCAGTTGGCATGCAGCCGCTGCTTGCGGACGTTGGATTGCGGCGCGCGTTTGCGGCTACTGTGGGCGGGCACTTGGCCGCTCTGCCGCAGGGCACCTTGAGCTATATGTGCGTTGATGTGGAGGGGGGTTGATGTGGATGAGCCGGGCGGGTGGCTCGTCTACACAAGTCAAGTAGTCAATGCATGCTGCCCCCTCCCACACCTCTGATGTCCATGCCGCTGCTTTGCTGCTGCAGGGCTCCGGAACAGTTCTCACTGGAGGAGCCAGACCGGGTGGTCCGTCCGCAGAGCGACGTGTGGGCGTTCGGAGCCACCTTGTTGCATGCACTCAGTGGTCAGCCGCCCTGGCCGGGACTCAACGCAGCGCAGGTTACCATGCAGGTTGGCGTGCGGCGCTGTTCTCCCGACCTCCCTGCCGACCTACCCGCGCCGCTCCGGAACCTGCTGCACTGGTGTCTCCGCCCCGACCCGCACCACCGCCCCTCCGCCGCGGGTGCGCTAGCACTGGTTGAGTCGGCGCTGGGAGCGGCACTGCAGCGGGGACTGGTCCCGCAGCCGCAAGCAGAGGCGCAGCAGGGGGAAGCTGGAGGAGAAGGAGCATCCTCCTCAGCAGCAGCAGTGGCCGGAAACGCGGCGGGGGCTGACGACGGCGTTGTAGCCGTCCAAGAGCCCATGTCGTTCATGGAACGGGCCATGTGGCGGGCGAGGACTGCCCGCAGGCAGCCCCGTGTGGCCCATGTGCTCCTGATAGAGGGGCTGCGGGTGCGGCGGCAGGCGGTTGCAGAGGTTGCGATGGAGCGGGAGGGGGAGGCGCCGCTGAGGGAGTGCTGGCGGCTGCTGCCCTGGGTGTTTCGTGAGGCCATGGCTGGGTTGTTGCCGGGCATCCCGGAGGCGCGGAGGCGGTACCTGCAGGGGGCAGTTGGGACTGTGGAACTGCGGGACGTGACGACGGAGTTGCTGAGCAGGGGCTTGGTCGGTGTGTGGGACATGGTGAGCTGGTCGCGGGTGCTGAGGAGGGAGGAGGAGGAGGGGTGCGGCGAGTGGGAACGAACATGTCATGTGGCCATGCTTGCAGTCTTGCACAATGCACATCATGCAGCCCAGTTTTGCTGCTACACATGCGCAAGACCACGCACCCAACACTTGCTGCTGCTAGCGGTGGTACGACTGCTGCTGCTGCTGGTGCTTCTGCTGCGTATGCTGCCCTTGTGCTGTCCTGGACGTTTGACTGGGGATACCGTACTACCGTACTTTCGACTGGGTAAAAGCTTTCGTCGCATTAGTTCCGAACAGGACGACCTGAAGTCCACCTGAAGTTAATCCGAGGCCAATCCCCTTAACCCGCTGCAGACCCTCTACGTGTACGACTCGCAAGCTCCCCGAAGCGGTAAGCTGCAAGTGGTCGTGCGGGACTACGACGAGGATGAAGACGTGGTGATGAATGTCGTTGTCAGCCACAACGGCACGTACAGAGACCTTCGGGTGCGTTTCCACGGGATGGCGTGAAGACCCGTGGGTCGTTTTAGGTTGAGGGACGGTCCCGAATTCTGCCTTAGCAGCTGCATCTACGCGCTGGCCATGCGCTCTTGCAAGGATCGTGTGCATCGTACGAACCCAAAGCTGTGCTCTTTTTAGAAACCGACTGGCCTCTAGGCGAGCACAACAAGCTGCATGGATGTGGCCACTCGGCTCCACTTTTGCTTTTTACCAGAAAATGTAGGGATGCCGTATTGAAACTGGGTATCTGTGGTGGCGCAGGACCACGTGCTTTCAAGGCTGCGTCCCCTGCCCGACCAGCTATACTTGTTGGCGGATGGCGTTCCGGCTTACTGTGGCCAGCAGCGGCTTTTGGGTTCGGCGATTGCCGAGGTAGAGTTCGCCCGTTTCAGCGCTGCGCATCTAGAGCTGCTGGACATAACCATAAAGACGATGACGGGCAAGACCATTAAGCTACAAGTGCACCCATCTTGGTCCGTGGACGACGTAATGAACATGGTGAGTGGCGCAGCTCTAAGTGTTGAGCTGACATGTGCTTAGTGGACTGACCTTGTGTGCATGGAGATTTGGGTTGGCCATGGTGGGTGCCGGTAGATGCATGGAAGACCCTGCTAGGGTTGGAGAGGTTTTCGGGGATCCAGTTGAGCGCGCATCGAACAGGAGGCCTCCCCTGGAGCTCATCAGCTTGTCTCCTGCTGAGTCCCACCCTACCTCTTTGCTCACGTAAAGGCGCACGTGTGCTGAAGAATGTACGCCCTGATTGTTTCTCCCTTTCAGATACAAGATAAAGAGGGTATCCCGCCTGATCACCAGCGGCTCATCTTTGCTGGTAGACAGCTGGAGGCGAACGCACACTTGAGCATAGCGCAGCAGGGCATTTCCTCAGGGAGCATCATTCACTTGACTCTGCGGCTGAAAGGCGGAAAGCCCGTCATCTGCATGTGGCCCGCCGCCCCCACCGACGCCACCGTCCGCCTCCAGCTTTCCCCCCGCTGGGCCTTCAGCAGCCTGGTGCCGCGGCCCGATTGTACGACAGGTGATGCGGGGTTGGTGGGCGGCCGCAGCGTGGAGTGGCGAGTGAGGGCGCAGCCTGACGGCACCCTGACGCATGATGCCAGCGGCGGCCGACAGTACGCCTACCTGTTTTGGGAGGCGTTGACGGAGGGGACGGCGAGGGAGGGGGTGGCGGGGGCAGGGCTGCAGAGGGCAGGCAGCGGAGCCAGCAGCAGCAGTGCAGTTGGGTGGGAGGTGGAGGGTGGAAGGGGCGGCGGCCAGGAGGAGAGACAGCAGAGCTTGCTGCCGGTAGCGGCTGCAGAGGAGCAGCAAGGGCATGACAACGTCAACATCGGCCGGCTGCCCGCACCTGCCAACCCCATCCCCGGCTTGGGCCCCACGCCGCCTGACCTGCCGCTGCCCGACTTTGACGCCGCACACTCGTTTTGTGTGGCGGGTGCTGACGTGGAGGCCTGGCTGTACGGCGCCCTGGCTGCCTTCGGCCTGCCCGTACGAGAGAGGACGGACTTCCTGACGTACTGGCTGCCGTACATGGAGGGCGCCGCCTGGCTGCTCATCAGCTTCGCCGACCCACGGGTCTACCAGGCGGCCGCGGCGCTGCATGTGGTTCCGGAGCCCGACGTGCTGGTACGGCTGTTCATGATGTTTGAGCGGCTGAGTGCGCCGGTGGCGGTGCGGGGGGAGCTTGCGGGGGAGGTGGCGCGGGTGGGAGTGCTGCGGCGCGAGGGGGCGCGCATGGCAGTGCTGGAATGGGGGGGCATGGAGGTGGTGAGGTAAGGACGCTGCTGCATTGTTAGCTGAGGTGTGGGTTGACAGCTGAAAGAATTGGCAGCTGACCGAAGTAGGTAGCCTGCTGGCGGGCTGGCTTTGCATATAATGGGTTGCTACTGTGTTCCACAGTGCGCATGCACCGGTGTTACAGTATGTTACTCATGAACAGTATGTTACTCATGGAAGAGGACTGCCTGATCGTTGTTTTGGCATGGATCAACCTCAGTATGCATCCACTGATGGTCTGGCGGGCTTTGGCAAGTGCGCATGGAGTGTGTTGTCTGCCTCTGTTGCTGCATGATGCAAAGGGCGCGCCTACCTTTGTCGTGAAGAACCTGTCGCAGTTGCATCTTTGTTGCTCAGGTTGTGGAGCCAGCTGTTAGCGTTGTCTAAAGTTCCACACAAACCTGCCAAGGGCCCTTACACCCATGTCATGTGGTTCCGAAACCGGTCTGGATCTTTAAGTTTCTCTTTACTCTTGTGCGCCGCCAATGCGATGCCATGTGAGGCAACTTGGTGCGCATGTCCCTGCCAGCATCCCTTCCTCTCCAACTTGGACCATGCAACAACTACGAACGCTGGGGACAGCACAACTATGGGTCGCGGGTCCTCCTACACTGGTGACACTGCTACGGACCGCACACTGGCCCATGACCACCAAACGTACAGGTACAACCAAGCGCAAACCAAACGTTTTGTGCCATGCATGGTGAACGCATGCATGGCACGTAACGGAACGTAAGCTATCTTATGCCTGCAAAGTACCGAGTGTCACATATGACGGAACACATCGCAGACCACAACGCGCAACACAACGCTTTGGCACCCGAAATTCGAGTACCGGTGCCGCTTCTGACTAAAGCCGCATCCCTCCAGCAGGTCTCAGCGCTTGCCCAGCGCACTGTTCCTGCCACTCCGCATGACCGATTACCATGCATGGCTGCACAGCCTGGAAGGCACCCTAACGCTCCCCCCACACAACCTAACCCTCTATCCATCCCCTTCTTTGAAACTCTTCGGTATTACGGGCAGCACAAGCCCTAGGCCATCGCATTCAGTCCTTGCGCACAGTCCTTGCCTGCAGTACAGTCCTTGTAAAACAGGCCATGCGGAAAGCACACAGGCGGCGCTGCAACACGCAGCCGGCCTCCGTCCGCCCCAGCCCTGTGCTGCCGTATTGTAACTTGTCTGTCCAACTGCTCCTTAGCCCACACCTGAGCTAACATTGCAGCAGCTTCCTCACCTCACCACCTCCATGCCCCCCCACTCCAGCACTGCCATGCGCGCCCCCTCGCGCCGCAGCACTCCCACCCGCGCCACCTCCACCGCAAGCTCCCCCCGCACCGCCACCGGCGCACTCAGCCGCTCAAACATCATGAACAGCCGCACCAGCACGTCGGGCTCCGGAACCACATGCAGCGCCGCGGCCGCCTGATAGACCCGTGGGTCGGCGAAGCTGATGAGCAGCCAGGCGGCGCCCTCCATGTACGGCAGCCAGTACGTCAGGAAGTCCGTCCTCTCTCGTACGGGCAGGCCAAAGGCAGTCAGGGTGCCGTACAGCCAGGCCTCCACGTCAGCACCCGCCACGCAAAACGAGTGTGCGGCGTCAAAGTCGGGCAGCGGCAGGTCAGGCGGCGTGGGGCCCAGGCCGGGGATGGGGTTGGCAGGTGCGGGCAGCCGGCCGATGATGACGTCATACCCTTGCTGCTCCTCTGCAGCCGCTACCGGCAGCAAGCTCTGCTGTCTCTCCTCCTGGCCGCCGCCCCTTCCGCCCTCCACCTCCCACCCAACTGCGCTGCTGCTGCTGGCTCCGCTGCCTGCCCTCCGCAACCCTGCCCCCGCCACCCCCTCCCTCGCCGTCCCCTCCGTCAACGCCTCCCAGAACAGGTAGGTGTACTGTCGGCCGCCGCTGGCATCATGCGTCAGGGTGCCGTCAGGCTGCGCCCTCACCCGCCACTCCGCGCTGCGGCCGCCCACCACCCCCGCGCCACCTGTCGTACAGTCGGGCCGCGGCACCAGGCTGCTGAAGGCCCAGCGGGGGGAGAGCTGAAGGCGGACGGTGGCGTCTGTGGGGGCGGCGGGCCACATGCAGATGACGGGCTTGCCGCCCCTCAGCTTCAGAACCAAGGTCAGGGTGCTCCCTGAGCGAATGCCAACCTCAGCGACGCTATGACCATCGTCCGGGTGTCTACCAGCAAAGATGAGGTGCTGCTGGTAAGGCGGGATACCCTCCTTGTCTTGTATCTGAACGGGGGAGGATACCGGGGCGTACGTTCTTCAGCACAAGTGCGACTAATGAGCAAGGTCAGTGGATTCGCAAGCTGCAGCGGTGCACTACGTAGGGGTACCCGTGCTGCACCACACAAAACCCGCAAGCGACCATTCCATCCTAGGATCACCCTGCAAGAAACGTTCGGAGCACTGCTAGGAGACACCTCCGTTCCAATGCGCGCGCAACTCAATCCCCCATAACCTGCCAAGCCTCGCAGGACCCTCCATACCATGGCTGGCCTGCATCTCCCCGCATTCCAGGTCAGCAACCGTCAGCTCCAACTCACCATGCCCTTCACGTATTCCATGGACCAAGATGGGTGCACTTGTAGCGTAATGGTCTTGCCCGTCATCGTCTTTATGGTTATGTCCAGCAGTTCAAGGCGCGCCGTGCTGAAGCGGGCCTCTCCCGCATCGGCAATCGCCGAGCCCAGAAGCCAGTGCTGGCCGGAGTGCAATGGAACGTCATTCGCCGACAACAAGTATAGCTGGTCGGGCGGGGGCTGCAGCCTTGAAAGCACGTGTGCCTGCGGCAACACATATACCCAGCTTTAGGATTGCTATTTATTACCGGTAACATGCAAGCTCAGCCCCGCGGTCGTCCTGCATCGTGTCGAAACGTTTCTCCCTGTGCGCTGTGCTTGTCTAGGAGCGTAGTCGGGGTTGGACCAAAGCACAGGTTGGCACCGCATGGTGCAAACAGCCAGCATAATGACGCATTCCACAAGCAGACCTCGCCAGGGGCTTCGTGTACAAGCTCAAGGAGATGACAGACGTGTGCGCGTGATCGGGCATCCCAGCAGGCCCAAGGTGTCGGCACTCAAAAGGGGTGCTGCAGGTGGTTTAGAGCCACATGCTACGGCAGGATCCGGGGGACCCTCAATCGTGGAAGGCCTGTCGCCAACCTCAAGTGACCCACGGGTCATCCAGTGAAAACGCACCCGAAGGTCACTGTACGTGCTGTTGTGGTTGACAGTGACCTTCATCGCCAGATCTTTGCCCTTGCGGTAGCCCTCCAAGAAGACACGCAGCCGACTGCTCTTGGGAGCTTCCGAGTCGTACACGTAGAGGGACTGCAGCGGGTGAAGGCGATGTGACCTCATGTTGACAAAGGTTTCGGAGGGAGCCGTAGAAGCTACGGTACGACGCGGTCAAACGTCCCCGACAGTCTGAGGCACCACTAGCAGCACTGGCAACAGCATTCGGCCCACAGCACACGGACACAACAGTACTTCAACCTCATCTTTCGGCAATCACAGTACGTTTCGCCTCGCGGCCAGTTATTTTAACACAACAGTGTTTCCACGCATGGGCAGCAAGACAGAACCCCACATCCTTCCTGCTCGCGCCCACCCCCGCAACCACACTCACCATGTCTCCACACTCGCTGCCCAGGCCCCTGATCAGCAACTCCGTCGTCACGTCTCGCATTCCCCCGCCCCCAACTGCCCCCTGCAGGTACCGCCTCCGCGCCTCCGGGATGTCCGGCAACACCCCCGACATGGCCTCACGGAACACCCAGGGCAGCAGCCGCCAGCGGGCATCCTCCTCCCGCTCCATTGCAATCTCCGCAATGGCCGGCCGCCGCACCCGCAGCCCTTCAACCAGGAACACATGGGCTATGGCAGGCTGCGTGCGGGCGGCCCTTGCATGCATCATGAGCCGTCTCTCGTCTCCGCACTCGTCAGCTTCCGCCGCGTTTCCGGCCTCTGCTGCTGCTGCTTCCCTCCCTTCTTCCTGTGCCTCTGCTTGCGGCTGCTTCCCTTCCTTCTCCCTGTGCCTCTGCTGCTGCCGCTTCCCTTCCTTCTCCCTGTGCCTCTGCTTGCGGCTGCTTCCCTCCCCTCTTGCTGTGCCTCTGCTTGCGGCTGCTTCCCTTTCTTCTTCCTGTGCCTCTGCTTGCGGCTGCGGCGCCAGTCCCTGCTCCAAAGCCGCTCCCAGCGCCGACTCAACCAGTGCTAGCGCACCCGCGGCGGAGGGGCGGTGGTGCGGGTCGGGGCGGAGACACCAGTGCAGCAGGTTCCGGAGCGGCGCGGGCAGGTCGGCAGGGAGCTCGGGAGAACAGCGCCGCACGCCAACCTGCATGGTAACCTGCGCTGCGTTGAGTCCCAGCCAGGGCGGCTGGCCGCTGAGCGCATGCAGCATGGTGGCTCCGAACGCCCAAATGTCGCTCTGCGGACGGACCACCCGGTCTGGCTCCTCCAGTGAGAACTGCTCTGGCGCCCTGCACCAGCAACCAGATGATCTTATCAGATATGAGAGAGGGGGGCTCACCTTGCAGAGTTTCTGCCAGTGTATTCCCTAGCAGAGAGGAGGGGTTCTTCCAGAAATCTTATGCAAATGTATCGCCTCAGGGCATGTAGGACCCACAAGCCGCCCTACGGCTCATCCACACCACCCTCCGTATGAAACCCACATGAAATTCAAAGTGCCCTGCGGAGGTGAGGTCAGGTGCCCGCCCACAGTAGCTGCAAACGCGCGCCGCAATCCAACGTCCGCAATCAGCGGCTGCATGCCAACTGACGCGCCTGCTGCTGCCCTGTTTCCATGCACTGCCGCCGCCGCTGTGGCCCCATCCAGTAGCACGTTGCTGGGTTTCAGATCGCCAGCCACCAAGCCCAGCGCGTGCAGCTCACACAAGCCGCGCAGCAAGTCGCGAGCCAGCAGCAGTGCAGCAGACGGGGGCAGACGGCCGCCTGCGCGGGGGAAGGAGGACAGGGAAGCCAGGGGACGCGGTGGCGCGAAGGAAGGAGGACAGGGCAGCCAAGGGACGCGGTGGCAGGCATCAGAGGTGGTCCCGTCCTATTGGTGGAAAAGCAAGAGGAGGGCGCCAGAAGGAGGGCGCCAGAGGCGTAGCAGCAGGCACTGCACCACCCACCTTGCCGCTGCTGCAGCACCTGCTCCAAGTTGGCCGGATAGCGCTTCATGACTAGCGCCAGTCTGTCCCGCTTGTCGTTCAGACTGACACCTAGCAGCCGGGCGGTGTGGCGACAGGCGGCGGAGATGTGCACCAGCAGCTGCAACTCCTCTTGAAGTGAGTAGCTGGACACATCATAACTCGTCGGCGGCAAGCGTAGCAGCTTAACGGCTACCTGTTTGGGAAACGGTGTGTGGGAAACGGAGGAAGGGGTTACTGAGATGGGGTTCTGCGAATAAGACGGGAAATGGATGAGCAGAAACACTTTGTAGGCTCTGGATCGAGAACATATGGGGTGGACAGATGTGGGGGAAAGGAAAGGCGGCAACTGTGCCAGAAGTGTGCTGTTGAGCCCAGCCGGCAAACGAAGGCCTGTCTTCTGTCGTTATCGGTGCTCGACCCAGATCGGGTGGCCACTTTGGAGCCTACCCCACCTCGCGCATTCCCCACTGCCCGACAACCACACGGCCCAGGCCGCCTCCGCCAAGCTCTTCATCCGTCAGCCGCAGCTCCTGAAAGGGTATGTCGGCCACTCGCTCTTGGTGGAAACCTAAATTACTTAAGATATCGAGGAGGGACCTGTTACATGGCATGGCTTTGCGGTCCTCATCCGGCGGAAGCGGCACGCTGCAGAAGGGACACGCAACCAGCTGCTGGTCGGCCAAGCAAGTGCTGCATATGGTATGGCCGCAGGGCGAAACCATTGGCTGCCGCCCCCAAACGCCGCCCCCAAACGCGTTCAGGCAGGCGCCACATGCGGCCATGTTGGGAAATTTCCCGAAGCACGCCCTAGAGGCTAGCTCAGTGCCTGTAAGCACGAAGAAGCGCATACGAGCACCGAGTAAGGATTCAGTTTTAGGGAATGCAGGAGGACGGCGTCAGCAGGAAGTGGAGTGCCGATGGAACCCTAGAGTCCGTTACCCACTCTAAGGCGCCTTAGACATTTGCAGAGTCGAGGTCACCAGATGCTAAGAAGACACTCCTGATAAGGTAACTTTTGCAACGCAGCCGTCCAGCGGGTTGCTCACAACGAGTACATTAACTGTACTGTAACATTAAGCAGTATATAGCGCTGCCAGTCTGGTCCATATGGTTAGTGGGATTAACCACAACATTAAGTCGTGAGGCCTTGGTATGCGATTTTTACAGGGGCGTCCGAAGGCCTTGGGGCGATCCAAAGGGTTTACTTCCGTACAAATACTTTCGCAACGCATCCGTACCCTTCGCTGTGTACCAAAGAAGGTTTGACAGGATGTTTTGGCAGATAGATACCTGGCGTTTCAGTTAGTTAGGAAGGGAAGTCGGCGCAGCGCTAAAGCGTGCAGCTTCCAGGATGCCGCGATCTCCGAGCCCAACAACCGCTGGCTTGCGCCGAAGACCAGTGACACCGCTAGTGTTGAAGTGTAGCTCTGCTGACTGCCGAAGGTTTAGCAGATTCCACGCGATCGCGCACTCCTGCAAACGCAGCAAAGCAACGAAGGTGTAAAAGCAAGCAGGCCAGCAAGGAGGCTGGCGGACGCATCCACACGATGTTCTGCTGGCTATTGTAGACTTGGTTGTTTGGAACCACAATACACGCATCGCATGCCTTAAAACGGCATGACCCGGGGTCAGTGTTGCTTGTCCAACCGGGACAGATGTGGTTAGATAAACGTTACAGTGCTTTCCTTGACAAGGGCAAAACAACCCAATCTTCACTGCGAGAAGGACCGAGTATGCCACGTTACTATGTGAGAGGCCTCATTGGGCGAAGCCCATACTGACCATTTCCTACTGACCCCAATCCTAGCGGTTCCGGTATTGGTGAGGCCCCCAGGGAATGTCCACATTGGCATGGATCAAGGTGATAACACCCCAGAGGCCTGCCTTGGTTTCAACATAAGAGCCTGTCGAGGCCCATGCATGCACCCATGACAGCAAGTTGCCGGTATGGGCGTATGGCCCCCATCCACTCCGGGTCTGCATTCTACACTGAATGAATGGCCGTTACAATGGCTCCCTAAAAGGGAGCACAGGTGATGAACCCGCCCCTACACTGCACGCAACACACCGGAAAGACAATACCACACACTGCACTGTCTCTGCCATTTTGCTGTGTCACGCTATGCCATGCCACGCGCGACAGCTAGGTGCTCATGTGCATGGCAGCAGCAGCCCCTTCCTCTCCTAATTGGGCCATGCAACAACTGCGGACGCTAAGGACAGCACCACGTTTACGGAACGCGGGTCCTCCTACATTGGTGACACTGCTACGGACCACACCTTCTGGACCATGACCAACCCACGCACAGGTACAACCCAAACTCAGACTGTGCCATGCATGAGGACGCATCACACGTAAGGCAAGCCGAGCTATCAAATGTCTGTCACGGACCCAGTGTCACACATGGCGAGACACATAGTAGAGCATGACGCGCACAACACAGCGCTTTGGCGCCCGCAGCAATTCCAGTACCGGCACCGCCACCTGACTAAACGCCACATCCCTCCAGCAGGTACCAGCAGCGTTTGTCCAGCGCACCGTTTCTGCCACTCCGCATGACAGAATACCATGCATGGCTGCACAGCCTGAAAGGCACCCTAACGCCCCACATACACCGTAACCCTCGTAATCATCCCCTTCTTTAAAACTCTTCGGTATTACGAGCAGCACAAGCCGTAGGCCATCACATTCAGTCCTTGCCTGCAGTACAGCCCTTGTTAAACAGGCTATGAGGAAAATCCACAGGCGGCGTTGCAACACGCCGCCCGCCTCCGTCCGCCCCAGCCCTGTGCTACCGTAACAAAAATTCAAATTTGGCTGTCCAACTGCGTCTTCGTTTCCCATAACCCCGGAATGCTTCTGCGACTTCTACAGGTAGCAGAGGCTGGAAAAACGTCGATTGCTTTCTTCGTCCGTCAGTCTTCTGCACCCGCAGCAGCCTGTTTTACCCCAGCTCTCATATCCCACGGCCTTAACACTATCATCATTCAAACCCAAACCAAAGCCGACCATGTAATCGAAGACCCGGCTTCCCTACATTGCACCTACAATGCACCGTCTTGCCAGCCTAGCAGACCTCCCAAGTCCGAGACCGCAATGCCACACAGCATCCCGGCCGGCAGCCCCGACCTGAATGATTGACCTTTACAATGGTTCCCTAAAAGGGAGCACGGGTGATGAACCCAACCCCACCCACCCTACCCTACCTGCACTACCGCACCACACCGCACCTAAACCTGCATCAGCATCATGTTCACGCCTTGAACGGCGCGCTGGCCGCTGTCAGCAGCGGCCCCAGCTGCTGCCCCACCTGCGAGGCCAGCGGCCCCAGCAGCGGCTGCAGCGGCTCCAACAGGGCCCGGTAGTTGGCGCTGATGGCCTGCAGCATGCGGTCACGCAGGTCGCTGTCCCTCTCGATGGGCGGGATGAACAGCCGGCCGGCGGTCTCCTGTGGCGGCGGGGGCGGCGGCGGCGGCGGCGGCAAGTGCGACATCAGCTGCCAAAACTTACAAACAGTTACAAACAGGCGGCGGCAACGTTGGCGGTGACGGAGGCGGAATGGCGGAATGGCGGCAGCATCATGGATGTGGCGGTTCAGACGTGAAGACGTGAAGGCGTGTAGGCAGAAGCAGTGCGAGCAGTGGTGGTTGTGGGCAAGCGTCTTGGCCGGGTCCATGTATGCACAGTACGGCACATGCGACATGCCGGTATGACATACACGTAAATCCCCCACCCGCCCCCCCTCTTACCTCGATCACTGCATGCGTGAGTGCGATCCGCAGCAGCAGCGGCGCGTGCAGCCCCGCCCGCCGCATGAGCCGCCCCAGATAGGCCTCGGCGGTCATGAGGGGAGCCTGCAGGTAGAAGAACAGACACCACTTCCAGCCCCACTTGCCGCTGAGGGGAAGGGGAGTTATAGGGGCAAGGGGAAGGGACGAGAGGAGGAGGAGAGGTGAGGTGAGGAGGCAGGCGGAGGAAGATGTAAACAGCCCGGCTCTAAGGTTGGTGTGTCGGTAAGAGGCGATGGTGGTGTTGGGGAAGGGACTTCAGGGCTGGCGGTTGGGAGCAGGGCCCTGGTCGCTATTACACGCCCCTTTCTCCTCCCATGCTCGCCGCACGTATCCCCACAAAGGTCACACCCCCACGTTAAACCCATGCATCTACCGTATGTCAGTCTATGTCCTACTGAGCACGCACTCCCCCCGTTTAACCGCCTGGCCCAGTTCATCTTGTACGATCCCCTCAACCACCGGTAACCCTGCACCCCCTCCTCACGTGCGACTAACAGTCCAGCCCAGATACTCGTGAATGATGCCACTCGCCAGGAAGGAGGCATGCAGCCCCAGCTGCCTCCGAAATATGCTGGGCTTCGTCCCACGACCCGCCACTGCCCCCGCCCCCTGCTGCTGCCTCCCCAGCCCCTCCTGCTGCGCCGCTGCTGCTGCTGCAGTGGCTGCAGTGTCTGCTGCATCCCCGCCATTGGATTCTCCCCTCAGCGGCTTGGCCGCAGGGCCAGCGGGTTCCGCAACCGCCGCCGCCGCCGCCGCCGCAGCAGCAGCAGCATCAGCAGCAGGAGGAGGACGAGGTAGTAGCCCGACGGACGGCTCTGTCTCTCCGGTTGCAGCACCGGCGGGGCAGCGGGCGCCGCTACCCAGCGGGGACTCCGCCGGACTGCTTCGCCGTGGGTTGATCAGCGCTCCGTCCACGATGCAATCGTACAGCAGCACCCGCAGCACGGAGGAGGTGGTGATGTTCCAGCGGCGGCCCCAAAAGTCGGCCAGCGAGCAGCTCTTCCAGGGCTCGTCGAAGGTAGGCACCAGCGGCAGCCCCAGCGCCTCCACCGCCAGGGCGGCGGGACCGTCCATCAGGGACCCAACGAAAGCGTACAGCGCGAGGGCTGCATGACGTACCAGATAGTGGTGCGGGACAGAAAAGGAACAGGGAAAGGAAAAGTGCGGCGAGCACAGTGGGAAGGACCTTGGATGCCCGGTACCGAGAGGAAGGGAGCAGGACCGGGGGTGCGATGTGCCGGCCGCGGGGGCCGGCCGGACCGCTCCCACAAAACACAATGCCCCCCAAACCCACCCACTGCACACCCCCAAACCCACCCAATGCACATCTCCATGCACCCCCTTCCCTTCTAATCCAGGACCCACCATGCACGTAGTGCCACACAACGCGGGGCATTCGGTCCGCGTAATTCATCATGAGGTGGCCGAGCAGACCCAGCATCACTGCACGCAGCGACATACCCAGCAGGTTTGCTGGTCAGCAGTGGTGGTCCCGTATCGGGTGGGGTTGTGGGAGTGGGTGCCGCCACCATTCACCATCAATCCGAACGACACCCCCGTTCCGTTCCGTGTCACTAACGGTAGTGTCGCAAGATTCGTGTTCATCAACCGCAACCGGTGCACTGACGTAAGATGCAGGTTGTGGGAAATTTGGAAGGGGTTTTGCGCTGGTGACCCGCGGGTCAGTCCGTGCAACAACGTACCGAATTTGCCAATCCATCTGCCTGCCAGCACCCAGCCCGTCCCCGCGGTGTCATGCAGGCGGCCCACGGGACCCGTCTTGGCGCGCTCAGCTGCGGAGAGGGTGAGGGATGACGTGAATAGGGTTAACGTCTTCTCGAAACCGATTGGTGCAACAAGTAGGGAGGTGGACGTGATGGGAGCACGAAGGATATGGCGGGCATGCCCCAGGTTATTCTTCAAGCATGCGGCCGCACGGGGCTCACAAGCCGTGCGTGTCTTCGCTGTTTTAAAGGCTGCTTACGTGGCTTGGGGAAGACGGGCAGCATCATGACTGCCGCGATCTGGGGAGCGGTCATGTCCTCCTGCGGGTGCGGGGCGACAGGGACAGACGGGGAGGACGGTGGGACACAGCTCTAGGAAGCCAACCTACGTGGTCAGGACTCAAACGAGGGGTGCAGCGAGGATGGATGGAAAGCGAGGACCGGGGCATTGATGAGTGGTGAATAACTCTTGGACGGGTCTCCAGACAGGACAAATATACACTTTCCGCACGGCTTACCCGCAGCGGCGACCTCCCCAGGCAAAACGCTAGCACCTTTGCGGGAGAGACAACATGGGGATGGATTAGGCGGGCAGGGGGCATACCCGGTAGCGTTCCGAAGACCTATTAAAGTCCCCTCTCGGGCCCAGCCGTAACCCGTAACAGTTGCACAACCGCACAGCCGCATTACTATTGGACAGTAAACCGGCTGCGTCGCTTTTTGTAATAACCAACAGCTGCCGCGCATCCAACATTCAACAGTCACCCGCCAGTCGCCAACTTGCAGTCGCAAAAGTACCTTGAAAGTGCACAGCCATGAGACAATGAAAGCCGACGTTCCACGTGTAAGCAGCTCGCCTTCTTGGTTGAACAGCCATGGGAAAACGATGTTTGCGATGAAGATTGGCATGCAGAGCGTGAACCGCGTGATGCCGACGGTCGCGCGCCCCACAACATGCTTCACCCAAACGGCAAATCCAGCGTACAGGACGCCTAGTAGCAAGATGCGCAGCCCGAACGGCGTGTCGGTTTGGAAATACGGAGCCTGCATGGTTGGTCAGTCATGTGCTAGACGCCTAGACCCTCAGGTATGTCAGCGGTGGCATCGGTTTGGCGAAGGTAAACGAAAAAGTGCTAGGGATACGTCAAGGAAGACTTGGGGCGAAGCTAGGCAACCTTTTTACGAAGCGCGGTGCACGAATCCGACTCGGTCTTGGCGGCCTCCCCCAAAATGGGCTTTTTACTGACAAACCTTGATTGGCTTTTGAACATAACTCATAACACAACTGACGAGAAATATGGTCCTTGTACGCAGTTTGATGACCTGGTAGGTCGTTGCTGCGTGTCATCGCTGTAGCACGACTGGGCTACTCGATCTTTTCCCATCGCTAACCATGGCATACCGGAAATTTAAAAGTCTAATAGCACAAGACGCGACGATTGTACTCTTTACAATTGTTGTCTAGCACACGCCAACAACAACAACAACAACACCCGTGTTTTCTTAGCTCCGTACTTGCCGTGTATCCACTTGTTCTTGCACTAACGCACAAAATGCCTCCCATTTCCCGCGATGGAGCTCTGCTGCACGGCCAAAACACAGCCATTGCATCCGCAGCAACGGATTGGTTTAGGCGGTGTGGGGCAGCTTCCCACCCGTTGACTCTTGACCTCTTACTCCTTGTGCACCTCATAAAAATCCTCACCCTCATATTTGTTCATCATCACTTGCACGCACATGGATTCCAATCAGGGTCGCAACAATGGAAGGCCCACCATGCTGACAACAACAACAGCAACATTGCAACACCCCCATCCAGTAACTACGGTACTACTGGGAGCCATTGTTTCAGGTTGCATGCCAGCGCCCAAACGTGGCCCATAATTTGTAGACATATATCTGCTTATATAACACCAATGCTTAGCTTGCTATGACAATAACCGTATTCCTGGCCATCATGCTAGCGGCTCCGGTCAGCTGCCAAGCTGTTAGCCCGCACTTGAAATGACAATGCAGCAGCTTCCTCACCTCACCACCTCCATGCCCCCCCACTCCAGCACTGCCATGCGCGCCCCCTCGCGCCGCAGCACTCCCACCCGCGCCACCTCCCCCGCAAGCTCCCCCCGCACCGCCACCGGCGCACTCAGTCGCTCAAACATCATGAACAGCCGCACCAGCACGTCGGGATCCGGAACCACATGCAGCGCCGCGGCCGCCTGGTAGACCCGTGGGTCGGCGAAGCTGATGAGCAGCCAGGCGGCGCCCTCCATGTACGGCAGCCAGTACGTCAGGAAGTCCGTCCTCTCTCGTACGGGCAGGCCGAAGGCAGTCAGGGCGCCGTACAGCCAGGCCTCCACGTCAGCACCCGCCACGCAAAAGGAGTGTGCGGCGTCAAAGTCGGGCAGCGGCAGGTCAGGCGGCGTGGGGCCCAGGCCGGGGATGGGGTTGGCAGGTGCGGGCGGCCGGGCGACGTTCACGTTGTTATGCCCTTGCTGCTCATGAGCAGCCGCTACCGGCAGCATGCCCTGCTGTCTCTCCTCCTGGCCGCCGCCGCTGCCGCTTCCGCCCTCCACCTCCCACCCAACTGCACTGCTGCTGCTGGCTCCGCTGCCTGCCCGCTGCAGCCCCGCCGCCGCCGTCCCCTCCCTCGCCGTCCCCTCCGTCAACGCCTCCCAAAACAGATAAGCGTACTGTCGGCCACCGCTGGCATCATGCGTCAGGGTGCCGTCAGGCTGCACCCTCACCCGCCACTCCGCGCTGCGGCCGCCCACCACCCCCGCGCCACCTGCCGTACAATCAGGCCGCGGCACCAGGCTGCTGAAGGCCCAGCGGGGGGATAGCTGGAGGCGGACGATGGCGTCTGTGGGGGCGGCGGGCCACATGCAGATGACGGGCTTGCCGCCCCTCAGCCGCAGGATCAAGTGAATGGTGCTCCCTGAGGGAATGCCAACCTCCGCGACGCTGCGTCCATCCTCCAGCTGCTTACCAGCAAAGAGGAGGCGCTGCTGGTCAGGTGGGGTACCCTCCTTCTCTTGTATCTGGGGAGCGGGGGAGGGATACCACGGCGTACATTCTTCAGCACCAGGACGACCAGGGAGCAAGGTCAGTGGATCCGCAAGCTGCAGCGGTGCACTACTGTAAGTAGGGGTACGTACGTTAGGAGCACTGCTAGCTACGACCTACGAGACACCTGCGTCCCAATGCGCCTGCAACTCACTCCCCCAGAACCTGCCAAGCCTCGCAGGACCCTGGCCATACCCTGGCTGACCTTCACCTCCCCCCTCACTCCAGGCCAGCAACCGTCAGCTCCAACTCACCATGATCTTCACGTATCCCACGGACCAAGATGGGTGCACTTGCAGCTCAACGGTCGTTCCCGTCAACTTGACTACGGTTATGTCCAGCAGTTCAAGGCGCGCTGCGCTGAAGCGGGCCTCCCCCGCATCGGCAATCGCCGAGCCCAGAAGCCACTGCTCGCCGCAGTGCATTGGAACGCCATCCGCCGACAACAAGTACAACTGGTCGGGCGGGGGCTGCAGCCTCGAAAGCACGGATTCCTGCGGCAACATAGATACGGTACAGCCAGCTTTAGGGTTCCAAGCTATTACCGGTAGCAGGCATGCTCAACCCCGCGGTCGTGTTGAAACGTTTCTCCCCGTGCGCTGTGCTTGTCTAGGAGTCCGGGTTTGACCAAAGCACAGGTTGGCGCCGCATGGTGCAAACAGCCAGCACAATGACGCATGGCAAAAACGCATGGCAGGCAGACCTCGCCAGGGGCTTCGATACGAGCTCAGGGAGATGACAGACGTGTGCGCGTGATGGGGCATCCCAGCAGGCCCAAGGCTTCGGCACTTAAAGGGGTGCCGCAGGTGGTTTAGAGCCACATGCTACGGCAGGAGCCGAGGGGACCCTCAATCGTGGAAGGCCTGTCGCCAACCTCAAACGACCCACGGGTCATCCAGTGAAAACGCACCCGAAGGTCCCTGTATGTGCTGTTGTGGTTGACAGTGACGTTCGTCACCAGGTCTGTGCCCTCCAAGAAGACATGCAGCTGGGTGCTCTTGGGAGCTTGCGAGTCGTACACGTAGAGGGACTGCAGCGGGTGGAGTGGGGATATGGCCTCACATTGACAAAGGCTCAAGGAAAACACCGGAGAAGCTACGTAATAACACGGTCAAAGCATTGACACGACAATCTGAGGCACCATTAGCACCGTATAGCAGCACTGGCAACAGCATTCGAGCCACAGCACAAGAGCACAAACGCACGGGCAGCATGGCAGAATCCCACATCCCTCCTGCTCGCGCCCAACCCCGCAACCACACTCACCAAGTCCTCATACCCGCCGTCCAGGCCTCTGCTCAGCAACTCCGCCGTCACGTCCCGCATTCCCCCCACCCCAGCTGCCACCTGCAGGTACCGCCTCCGCGCCTCCGGGATGCCCGGCAACACCCCCGACATGGCCTCGCGAAACACCCACGGCAGCAGCCGCCAGCGGGCATTCTCGTCCTGCTCCATTGCAACCCCCGCAATCGCCGGCCGCCGCACCCGCAGCCCTTCAACCAGGAATACATGGGCTATGGCGGGCCGCATGCGGGCGCCCCTTGCATGCATCATGAGCCGTTCCTCGAGTGACATGGGCTCCGGAAGGTCTCCGCACTCGTCATCTTCCGACGCGCTTTCGGCCTCTGCTGCTGCTGCTTCCCTTCCTCCTTCCTGTGCCTCTGCTTGTGACTGCAGCGACAGTCCCCGCTGCAGTGCCGCTCCCAGCGCCGACTCCACCAGCGCCAGAGCCCCCTCGGCGGAGGGGCGGTGGTGCGGGTCGGGGCGGAGACACCAGTGCAGCAGGTTCCGGAGCGGCGCGGGCAGGTCGTCAGGGAGGTCGGGAGAACAGCGCCGCACGCCAACCTGCATGGTAACCTGCGCTGCGTTGAGTCCCGGCCAGGGCGGCTGGCCGCTGAGTGCATGCAGCATGATGGCTCCGAACGCCCACACGTCGCTCTGCGGACGGACCACCTTGTCTGCTTCCTCAAGTGAGAACTGTTCCGGAGCCCTGCAGCAACAGCAGCAGCAGCAGCAGCAGCAGCAGCAGCCAAATGATCTTATCAGATATGAGAGAGGGGGGCTTCTTGGACTCGTATCAGGCTAACACGCTCGCCTTGCAGAGTTTCTGTCAGTGCACTCCCTAGCAGAGAGGAGGGGTTCTCCAAGAACGGGCAGCATCCATATGTGTGTAAAGGCAACCCTCAAAGAGCATAGAACTGTGGACCGTAATCCCACATCGTGTCAATGTATCGCCCCAGGGCATGTAGGACCCACAAGCCGCCCTATCATCCACACCACCTCCGTAAGAAACGCACATGTAATTCAAAGTGCCCTGCGGAAGTGAGGTCAGGTGCTGGCCCGCAGCAGCTGCAAACGCGCGCCGCAATCCAACGTCCGCAAGCAGAGGCTGCATGCCGGCCCCATTTCCATGCGCAGCCGCCGCTGCTGTGGCCCCATCTAGTAGCACGTTGCTGGGTTTCAGATCGCCAGCCACCAAGCCCAGCGCGTGCAGCTCACACAAGCCGCGCAGCAAGTCGCGAGCCAGCAGCAGTGCAGCAGAGGAGGGCAGACGGCCGCCTGTGCGTGGGAAGGAGGACAGGGCAGCCAAGGGACGCGGTGGCGGGCATCAGAGGTGGTCCCGTCCTATTGGTGGAAAAGCAAGAGGAGGGCGCCAGAAGGAGGGCGCCAGAGACGTACCAGCAGGCGCTCAGCACCTACCTCCCGGCTGCTGCAGCACCTGCTCCAAATTGGCCGGATAGCGCCTCATGACCAGCGCCAGTCTGTCCTGCTTGTCGTTCAAACTGACACCGAGCAGCCGGGCGGTGTGGCGACAGGCGGCTGAGATGTGCACCAGCAGCTGCAGCTGCTGCTGGAGTCTGTAGCCGGGCCCAAAAGAACACGTCGGCGGCAAGCGTAGCAGCTTAACGGCCACCTGTGTGGTGTGTGGGAAAAGGAGGAAGCGGTTACTGGGATTGGGTTGTGCGAGTAGGATGGGAAAGGGATGAGTACCAACACTTTGCAGGCTCTAGATAGAGGACATGTGGGGATAATTTTTTATAGTGAAAGACGGCCACTGTGCCAGGAGTGTGCTGTGCAAGCCGAGATGGCAAACGAAAGCCTGTCTTCTGTCGTTATCGGTGCTCGACCCAGATCGGACGGCCGTCCTGGAGCCCAGCCCACCTCGCGCATTCCCCATTGCCCAACGACCACACGGCCCAGGCCGCCTCCGCCAAGCTCTTCCTCCGTCAGCCGCAACTCTTGGAAGGGTATGCCGGGCACTCGCTGTTGGTGGAAACCTCCATTACTAATGATATCGAGGAGGGACCTGTTACATGGCATGGCTTTGCGGTCCTCATCCGGCGGAAGCGGCGCGCTGCAAAAGGGACACGCAACCAGCCGCTGGTCGGCCAAGCAAATGCTGCATATGGTATGGCCGCAGGGCGAAACCATTGGCTGCCGACCCCAAACGCCGACCCCAAACGCGTTCCGGCAGGCGCCACATGCGGCCATGTTGGGAAATTTCCCGAAGCACGCCCTAGAGGCTAGCTCAGTGCCTGTAAGCACGAAGAAGCGCATACGAGCACCGAGTAAGGACTCAATTTTAGGGAATGCAGGAGGACGGCGTCAGCAGGAAGTGGAGTGCCGATGGAACCCTAGAGTCCGTTACCCACTCTAAGGCGCCTTAGACATTTGCAGAGTCGAGGTCACCAGATGCTAAGAAGACACTCCTGATAAGGTACCTTTTGCAACGCGGCCGTCCAGCCTCCAGCGGGTTGCTCACAACGAGCACATTAAGCAGTATATAGCGCTGCCAGTCTAGTCCATATTATAAGGATAAGAAGTTAGTTGAGAACGCTTTGGCGAAGTAGTATAAGGAGCTCCGAAGTCTTGTGCTCCGAAGGCTGGACGACAATCTCCCGTATAGGGATTGTGCCGGCGCTTCTTAAGCCTAGGATCAGTGAACTATTGTAAGCTCTGCCCTGCGCTGCCTGTCGCTCATCAGCTGACGGAACTTTCGCTCTGTGAGTACTTGCGCTAAGCCATTGCAGACTTCCTAGCTGTCGGCCATACGGCTAGCCCTTGCCTTTTACATATGGTTAGTGGGATTAACCACAACAATAAGTCGTGAGGCCTTGGGGCGATCCAAAGGGTTTACTTCGTACAAATGCTGTCGCAACGCATCCGTACCCTTCGCTGTGTACCAAAGAAGGTTTGACAGGATGTTTTGGCAGATAGATACCATATCTGGCGTTTCAGTTAGTTAGGAAGGGAAGTCGGCGCAGCGCTAAAGCGTGCAGCTTCCAGGATGCCGCGATCTCCGAGCCCAACAACCGCTGGCTTGCGCCGAAGACCAGTGACACCGCTAATGTTGAAGTGTTAGCTCTGCTGACTGACGAAGTTTTAGCAGATTCCACGCGATCGCGCACTCCTGCAAACGCAGCCAAGCAACGAAGGTGTAAAAGCAAGCAGGCCAGCAAGGCTGGCGGACGCATCCACACGATGTTCTGCTGGCTATTGCAGACTTGGTTATTTGGAACCACAATGCACGCATCACATGCCTTAAAACGGCATGACCCGGGGTCAGTGTTGCTTGTCCAACCGGGACAGAAGTGGTTAGATAAACGTTACAGTGCTTCCCTTGACAAGGGCAAAACAACCCGATCTTCTCTGCGAAAAGCACCGAGTATGCCACGTTACTTCGTGATGGCCCTCATCGGGCGAAGCCCATACTGACCATTTCCTACTGACCCCAATCCTAGCGGTTCCGGTATTGGTGAGGCCCCCAGGGGGGAATGTCCACATTGGCATGGACCAAGGTGATGACACCCCAGAGGCCTGCCTTGGTTTCAACATAAGAGCCTGCCGAGGCCCATGCATGCATCCATGACAGCAAGTTGCCGGTATGGCCCCCATCCACTCCGGGTCTGCATTCAGCACTGAATGAATGGCCGTTACAATGGTTCCCTAGAAGGGAACACGGGTGATGAACCCGCCCCTACACTGCAAGAGAAGCGCAACACGCCGGAAAGACAACACCACACACTGCACTGTCTCTGCCATTTTGCTATGTCACGTTATGCCATGCCACGCGCGACAGCTAGGTGCTCATGTGCATGGCAGCAGCAACCCCTTCCTCTCCTAATTGGGCCATGCAACAACTGCGGACGCTAAGGACAGCACCACGTTTACGGAACGCGGGTCCTCCTACATTGGTGACACTGCTACGGACCACACCTTCTGGACCATGACCAATCCACGTACAGGTACAACCCAAACTCAAACGTTCTGTGCCATGCATGAGGACGCATCACACGTAAGGCAAGCCGAGCTATCTTATGTCTGTCACGGACCCAGTGTCACACATGGCGAGACACATAGTACAGCATGACGCGCACAACACAGTTTCCTTAACACAGCGCTTTGGCGCCCGCAGCAATTCCAGTACCGGCACCGCCACCTGACTAAACGCCACATCCCTCCAGCAGGTACCAGCAGCGTTTGTCCAGCGCACCATTTCTGCCACTCCGCATGACAGAATACCATGCATGGCTGCACAGCCTGAAAGGCACCCTAACGCTCCACATACACCGTAAACCTCGTAATCATCCCCTTCTTTGAAATTCTTCGGTATTACGAGCAGCACAAGCCGTAGGCCATCACATTCAGTCCTTGCCTGCAGTACAGCCCTTGCTAAACAAGCTATGAGGACAATCCACAGGCGGCGTTGCAACACGCCGCCGGCCTTCGTCCGCCCCAGCCCTGTGCTACCGTAACAAAAATACAAATTCACTGCGTCTTCGTTTCCCACAACCCCGGAATGCTTCTGCGACTTCTACAGGTAGCAGAGGCTGAAAAAACGTCGATTGCTTTCTTCGTCCGTCAGTCTTCTGCACCCGCAGCAGCCTGTTTTACCCCAGCCCCCATATCCCACGGCCTAAACACCATCACCATACAAACCAAAGTGGACCATGCGAAAAAAGACCCAGCTCCGCTACATTGCACCTACAATGCACCGTCTTGCCGGCCTAGCAGTTCTCTCAAGTCCCAGACCGCAATGCCACACAGCATCCCGGCCGGCAGCCCCGGCCTGAATGTTTGACCTTTACAATGGTTCCCTAAAAGGGAACACGGGTGATGAACCCAACCCTACCTACCCTACCTGCAGTATCGCACCACACCGCACCTAAACCTGCATCAGCATCATCACGCCTTGAACGGCGCGCTGGCCGCTGTCAGCAGCGGCCCCAGCTGCTGCCCCACCTGCGCGGCCAGCGGCCCCAGCAGCGGCCCCAGCGGCTCCAACAGGGCCCTGCGCGCATGAAGGAATGCATGAAGGTGGTAAATACCAGTACAGTAATCCTGTGTCATTAAAAGCACGCCACGAGAGCGCGCGTGATGAACACGACCCCCAATGCCTGTTGAAGTATATTCCAAGAAGACGAGAATGTCATTTTTGTAGGAAAGTACCACCCTGACCCTGATCCTACAGCCCCGACCCTACAGGTAGTTGGCGGTGGTGGCGCGGATCACTCGGGCAGCCAGGTCGGTGTCTCGCTCCACGGGCACGAAGAACAGCGGGCCGGACATCCGCTGCGTGTGTGCCATGTGTGCGTCAGAAGGGAGGGGTCAGAAGGGAGGGGCCAGCAGCATGACTGCATGAGGTAGTAACGATGTGTGTGTGTGTGTGTGTGTGTGTGTGTGTGTGAAGGCAACATGGAGGCATACCGGAAGCTGGGATGTAAGCGGATGGGAACAGGGCATGTGACAGGAGCAGCGACCCGCCCGCCCCTTTTACCTCAATCACTGCATGCGTGAGTGCGATCCGCAGCAGCAGCGGCGCGTGCAGCCCCGCCCGCCGCATGAGCCGCCCCAGGTAGGCCTCAGCGGTCATGAGGGGCGCCTGCATGTAGAAGAACAGACACCACCTCCAGCCCCACTTGCCGCTGCGGGGAAGAGCAGAGGAGGAAGGAGGGACAGTGCCCGGGGCTGGGTAACGTGTCCTCCCAAGGAGCAAGGGAAACGGTGCCGTCCCGCAAAAATGGAGAGCATGAAGGTTGCATGCAAGCAAGCAAGCACACACACGCGCGCGCCCTTCCCATGCCCCAACGTGTTTCCAGACCCGCCAGGCCCTGTAAACCCTTCCTCACGTGCCGCTGACGGTCCACAGAATGTACTCGTGAATGAGCCCACTCGCCAGGAAGGTCGCATGCAGCCCCAGCTGCCTCCGAAACATGCTGGGCTTCGTCCCACGACCCGCCACTGCCCCCGCCCCCTGCTGCTGCCGCTGCTGCTGCTGCTTTCCACCTGACTGCTGCCCCTCCGGAGCTGCATCCTGGGCAGCTGGTGTTGCAGGAGTCTTGGCAGGCGGGCCGACGGGCTCTGCCGTACTGCTTCGCCGTGGGTTGATCAGCGCTCCGTCCACGATGCAGTCGTACAGCAGCACCCGCAGCACGGAGGAGGTGGTGATGTTCCAGCGGCGGCCCCAAAAGTCGGCCAGCGAGCAGCTCTTCCAGGGCTCGTCAAAGGTGGGCACCAGCGGCAGCTCCAGCGCCTCCACCGCCAGGGCGGCGGGACCGTCCATCAGGAACCCAACGAAGGAGTAGAGCCCCATTACTGTGGCGGGGGGGGGATTCCGGGAGGTAAGGGTGAGGTAGGGGTGATTTGGCCGCACCGGACGGGCGGCGGGCGACCCAAATGCAGCGGAAGGCGCGTAGAAGCCGGGCTTGGTGGGGAACAAGGGAGTACCGGCAAGAGATACCTCTCACCTAGCTGCCGGAAGGAAGCTAGTTAGCGGCTAAGTACCGGTAGCCAACAGCACGAACCAGTTTAAAGCTTGCCGCCAGACGCACAACGCTTTCCCTCCCACCGTCCCACGGCCAACGCACTATGCATGTAGTGCCTTAGAACTTGAGGCAGGCTGTCTCCGTAGGTGAGGGCGATGTAGGCAATGAGGCCGAGCACGACTGCACGGGCAGCAGCAGCAGCAGGTGGGGCGGGCGGGGAACGACCCGGGGGTTTCGGGTACATGCGAGCAGCAGCATGGCATGGCCCTACAGCAGTACCCTGCAGCCCGCTCCACCACACCTCCGTTACGGTACATGTTTACATCAGCTACTGAGTCTGCGATTTGGGTCTGCTACGTGGCTTCATGGCTTACATCCCGTGCACGGGTGGATAGCCGAGGTGGTGGCGGTTACATGTGGTTTGGTCCTCCTTTCAACCGCCCTTTGAAACCTCTAGCGATAGTATGCGCCATGCAAGCGACCCGCGGGTCAGTCCGTGCGACAACTTACCGACTTTGCCCATCCATCTGCCTGCCAGCACCCAGCCCGTCCCCGCGGTGTCGTGCAGACGGCCCACGGGACCCGTCTTGGCGCGCTCAGCTGCGGAGAGGGGGGTGTGATGGATGGGATGGGAGGATGTCGGTTGCGGGCATGGGGACGAGGGCAGCGGTTATTGGGGACGAGGGCAACAGTGTTGTTGGTGAAGGCGTATGGGATAAGGGAGACAAGGTAGCACGGGCTGTGGGGAACGGGGGCAAGACGGACCCATCGGATGTGGGTGGGCGCAGATGCTGACAGAGGGTGTAGCGATCACTCCTGTCAGGGGGTGTTACTCGCGGCCTCGCAGCTGCTTACGTGGCTTGGGGAAGACGGGCAGTATCATGACAGCTGCGATCTGGGGAGCGGTCATGCCCTCCTGTGAGGCGGAATGATGGGTGGAGGAAGAGGGGAAGTTAGGAGGCATAGGGTGCATTGGATGGCAGCTTGAATACCGATATTGCCTTGGGTGATCGGATTGAGTGTCTGCAGACATACATCCTGAAACACACGCTTGTCGGTTATGGTAGCGTGTTTGACAACACAAGGGGAGCACCCTAATGGTAATGGTGAAGGGCGTTGAGCCATCCAGCATTCTGACCGCCCAAACATGTTACGTCACAGTGGCAAACCTACGATGACATTTTGGCACCAAAGACAGGCTGTAAGACAATACTTACGCGTAGCGGCGCCCTCCCCAAGCAGAAGGCCAGCACCTAGGAGGCAGCATGGGGCAAGGGTCATCGGCATTTCCAAGATCTACCCAGAACCAAACCTTGGTTCGCAATCCTGACGGGACCCAAATATACTGCGCTGATGAGGCTGGATTGAATGCCAGAACCAACAACGACACTCATAGCCAGTGACCAACAGCTGTAAGATGCCACAACACACCAGCCCCGGACGCACCTTGGAGGTGCATAGCCATGAAAAGATGAAGGCACAGGAAATTCGTGTGAGCAGTTCATCGTTGGAGTTGAACAGCCATGGGGACGCAATACTGACGACAAAGACTGGTATGGAAAGTATGAGCCGCTGGAAGCCAACTGGAGAGCGTCCTATCACATATTTGACCCATATGGAGAAAGCAACGTAAAGCACGGTTAGCGTCAAAACGCGCACACCAAAGGGTGTACCAGTATCGATATATGGGGGCTGCATTCTTGTAACTAATGTTAACCTTGTCACAGAAGAAAAATGTAATCCATTTTCAACACAGTCGCCCACTCCACGCCTTGCCTGTCAACCTACACTGTCACCTTCCCGTACGGATTTGGATTCTTCGCGCGAAAAATCGTCGGTAGACGGTAGTGAGTTTTCCTATGTCGTGTCTATAGGTGAAACTTTTTTACCAATACTGGCAGTATGTCGAGATGATTGATGCATTCTGTGCAGTCAACGGCTTTCCAGGTAGGCTACAGGCCGAAATTGGACCTATTCCAGGCCTCTCTATCTAAACTATTGCCGGTAGACCATACTTAGTTAATGCATTAAATATGCAGCGCAACGAGAACAATGGGTTGCCAGCGCAAGGCCAGCGGCAGAACGCTGGCCTGGATGGGCAGGCGGCATGGACTGCAGGCCTCTCCTTCATCAGTAGCAAATCGCGGCAGCGAAAGCAACAACGTATGTCCCGTCCGCTTGTGGAGATAAACGGTTTTCCGCCTTCAGCACCCCAGGCGATGGGGCGGACATCAAACCCCGGTCTGTTCGCTCAGCACGGCCAGCAACCGCAACAGGCGCAGCAAACGCAGACACCGGCAGCTGCACAGGCAGCGCAGCCACAACAACAAAGTTTTGTCGAGCAGCAGCGGGCTCTCCTTGCCGCGCACCAACAGCGGCAAGCCCAGCGCCAGGCCGAGCAGCAAGCCCAACAACAGCCATCTCCACTCTTACGACAGCCACAACCGCAACCGGCCGGAAACAGAAGCGCGCAAACCGTGCAAACCGATGCCATGGATGACGGGATAGGCGATGGCGTCGAGGACAACTGCTTTGCTAATTTTGCAACGGACGAGCTCGAAGCAGCCGGCCTGCGACCACATCCCGACAAGATTGCGGAGACGAGCGCATTAGCTTCGGTGCCGGTACCGCCTGTGTCGTACAAGACCTCCTTCCCGGCCGAAATCGTCACAAGTGAGTCCTAAGTGCACATGTTGACTTTGTCGTGCCTCCCAAGTCGCTTTCCGCTAGCCCAGTAGCAGTACCACTAAGCAGCAGACGTTTAGCCCTTTACTGTCTTTTGGGCTGTGAGTGGATAATGGTAGAAGCTGCGTAAGGGGAAACGATTTGGGTCGGGCGCATTCATACAACACAGGCGCGAAACCACCTGAAACCCTGTTTCAAGATCTCACACCAACCCAGCCAGCTAAGTTTATCTAACCTAGACTTTTGCTCCCCAAACCTCTCTGCTGCATGTGCACCCTGTTCCAGAGGGCCTTATCTCAGCAGCACAGTTCATGGCTGTACGGCTGGCGTGTGCCAAACACGAGACGCTGCTCAAGGACGGTTCACGCGCGGGGTTCTTCCTGGGCGATGGTAAGCAGTACTATTGTCAAATGTCGATAACTGTCGACGATTTCCTGTTGTCACGACCCCTGGGTCAGTTGCATGATGTGGGTCATGAACGTCGACCTGGCCTTACCAAGGAGCTCAAAAGATGGAGCAGAGATTGGAAAGCGTAGTTTCATGAGATACGGTAGCCCCTGCTCGCGCTAGCCTTGGCCCTTTCGATGCCGTTTATTGCTTGTTGTCGTTATAGCGCCACAGGGCTGGGTAGCCCTTGCCCGCATCAGCCCTCTCGACTGTTGCCATGGAGGCAAGAGCGGCTTTGCTTACTGGTATCTCCTAATGCACAGGTCCTGGCGTGGGCAAGGGGCGGCAGATTGCGGCGACCATTTTTGAAAACGTTTCAAAGGGACGCACCAAGGTAATTACCACAGCCACATGGCTACCGTAACGGTAACACTGCTCTCATGCCCGTGTGCTATGTCATTCAGTCTCCTTTTATCCCCATGCACTTACAATGATAACCATGTTTCTACCGTACCTTCCCCTGTCTTACCATCCCCCATCTTACCGCACTACCAATATGTCCATTAACCTCCCTTTCCTCATTCACTCAGGCAATTTGGCTGTCTGCCTCGGCGGATCTCGTGCACGACGCCGAGCGGGACCTGGAGGACATCGGCGCCAAAAAGTACCGCTCTGCGGGGCTGCAGCTGCTGCCCCTCAAGAGCGTCACGGCGGGGGAGCGCAACCTCTCACGCAAGCCGGGTAAGAGCCCAGCAGCGGGTACAGGCAGTCTGGAGAGCAGGAAGCGTGTAGGAGGGGTCGGGTCTGCGGGGCGTGTAGGAGAGCTTTTGCCAATCCTGCTCTCTCCTGTGTTTTACCGCTTGGCTGACCAAAGCGCACCCCTTCTTGGTTGCCTGCTCGCCCGGTCCCTCTCCTCCTCCTTCTCTGTCGTGCCTCCTTCCATCATTGTGAAGGCTGGGAGAAGGGCATCGTCTTCTCGACCTATGACCTGCTCATATCCGGGGAGGCTGGTCGAGGGAAGGCGGGTGGCAAGCGGAGGGCTAGCAGCGCCGCCGCCGCCGCAGCAGCAGCAGCTGGGGCGGAGGGAGTCAAGGAGGAGGCAAAGGAGGAGGAAGAAGACGAATTCGGTGGGTTGCATGATGGCCTCGCGGGTTGCAGATGTTTGTGATTGTAATCACACTTCTCCGCAGCTCCTCGGCAACACTCACGGGCGCTGGCTTGCTGTTCAACTCCTTGAGTCTTGCCGACCACCTCCCATCATCCCCTCTTAACCCCCAACCAACTCCTCCTCCCTCTCTCCTCCAGGCGAGGGCTCCCGCCTGGCCCAGCTGGTGGAGTGGTTTGGCGGCGCGGAGTACGACGGGCTCATCGTACTTGACGAGTGCCACAAGGCCAAGAACTGCCTGCCCAAGGAGGCGGAGACCAACGACGGACGCAACCTGAAGCAGAAGGAGAGCAAAACGTCCAGGGTGAGAGACGGTGGGAGGAGGGGAGCCTGCCTGGAGCGGGGATGGATGGTGAAGGCGCGACTGTCCCCTCTCCCTCTCTCCCGGGATCTTACTATTCCCATACAATCCGGCAACGCGGCGGACACCCGTATCGGCAGATGCCGCTAACCTTAATTTGTCTTACGGATTGGGGCCTTATGACACCCTGTCGCCATTATGTAATCCCCATGGCTTTATCCTAGCAGGGTCTCTGGTCTCTCCCTCTCTCTCTGACCTCGACCCACGTTACACTCGCCCCTGTTACACTCGCCCAACTGCGCGCAGGCTGTTGTGGAGCTGCAGCGGCGGTGTCGCAACGCTCGGGTGCTGTACGTGAGCGCCACGGGAGCCACGGAGAGCGAGAACCTGTGCTACATGGAGCGGCTGGGGCTGTGGGGCGAGGGAACGGCGTACGGCAGCAAGAGGGAGTTTGTCAACATGCTGAAGACGTACGGCGTACGTGAGTACCGCGGAGGGACGCGCAGAACTCCTGCTTGCAACCCTTGCATGCACGCGTTCATGCGCTTGCGTGTGTCAGTCCTGGTGTCGCCCTGCATGCATGCTTGGGTGCTGCGGTTTTGACGGTTGTGTGCGTAGGGGGCCCCTGGCAGCACACAATGTCAAGACCTAAGGTCTAGCTCCTTCCCACCTCTCCTCCCCAGGCGCCATGGAGTTGGTGGCTATGGAGCTCAAGCAGAGCGGCTCCTACCTGGCCCGTACACTCAGCTATGAGGTGCGGGGGGGGCTCGGGGAGGGAGGGCAGGGGGCTGGGGCGGGATCTCTCGGCTACGGGGTTGCAAAGGGATGCCTCAGGAGCAGCTGCTGCGCGACTCAATTCCAGAGTTGGCGCCATTCTGCGACTACCTCTTCCACCCACCCACACCTCTTCCATCACCCACGCACGTCTCTTCTTCACTTGTACCACACCTCTTTCTGTAGTGAACTTCTGACGCATGGACTTTCCCCAGGGTGTACGGTTCGACCTGGTTCCGGTGCGCGTCACGGGGGAGTTCAAGCAGCTGTACGACCGGGCCGCGGGGCTGTGGCAGGAGCTGCTGGAGGCGGTGAAGGAGACGGCGCAGTTTGCTGACAAGAAGGCGGTAGGAGGGGGTGGGGGGCGGGGTAAGGAAGTTGATTATCGGTGGTCATCATCACAAGCTGGGCATGGGGGTTTTGCTGTTTTCCGGGTTTTGTTGTTCCTCTGGTTGAGACTTGCAATGGATCAGTACGGAAGGGCCTCTTGTCGTGTTACCCTCTGCCTTTTCCTCCTTCTCCTCCTCCGCAGAAGAAGGAGATGTTTGCTCAGTTTTACGGTGCGCAGCTGCGGTTCTTCAAACAGCTCTGTACGGCGGGAAAGGTGAGAAGGGAAGGGAGGGGAGAGAAGGGCACCCCAACCATGTTGCACCCCATGGTGGAGCCCAGGCACAGGGTAGGTTTTCCCCTTTTACCAACCCCTCCTGCCACCCTCAAACCCTAAACCTCCTGCCACCCCTCCAACCCTCAGGTTGACGAGGTGGAGCGGCTGAGCAAGGAGGCCCTGGCGCGGGGGCAGTGCGTGGTGATTGGGCTGCAGTCCACAGGTGGGAGAGGGCCATGATGTGTTGTATGGTGGGTGGTTGTTTGGATGGCTGGGGCCATTTGTCACATGTGCCTGCACGGCTGTACATGCTAGCACGCCGCATGCGGCGGTACTGGTTGTTTATATGGAACCCAACCCAGGGAAGTTCTGAGGTACCAGGGAAGTACCTTCCCTTTCATACACCCCGCTGTCGCCAACCCCCATGCCTCCCGCCCACGCCTCCCTCCTTGCACCCTCCAACCAAACCCTGACCCCCCCCCACGCCTCCCTTCCTGTGCCTCCCCCATCACCACCACGAGCACAGGCGAGGCCCGCACCGCCGCCTACGTTGCGGCGCATGGCGGCTCCGAGGCGCTGTTTGAGAGCTTCTCCTTCGAGACATCGGCGCAGGAGATCCTGCTGGACCTGATTGGCAAATACGTGGTCAACAGCGGGGCGGCGGAGGAGCTGAGGAAGCGCGCCAGGGAGCTGAGACTGCCTGGGAACCCGCTGGTGGGTCGGGGGTAGGAGTTTGGGGGGCTTGGGGGATTCGCGTAGGTTGAACCGCAATGTTGTTGATATGTAAGGGGCTTGGGTGGGGACACTGAGTGCTTCCACAGGGTACGCAGGTGATGCATGAGTGAGGGCAGAGGCGGATGAGTCAGGGCTATAGACCGCTGTCTCGTTGGTACCGTTACCCCTCACCTTGCATGCCTTCCCCGGCCCCTTCTCGTGCCCTCCCTGGCTCCTCCGCACTCCTCCACCTCCCTTCCTCACTCCCTTCCTCCCAATAGGACGACCTGATCGACCGGCTGGGGGGTCCCAGCCAGGTGGCGGAGATGACGGGCCGCTCCAAGCGCATGGAGAGGCAGCCGGGGGGAGGCTTCAGATACGTGGCTCGCAACGCGGGGAGCAGCCTGGATAGGGTAAGCGGTTGGTGGGGTGAGGGTGGGGAACTGGGACGAGGGTGGCTGGGTGGCTGGATGTTCAAGTAGGACACTGAGATGCGGATGCGGATTACCGTTAACTGGTTGGTTTGGCTTCATTCATGTCCTGTCGCCTCCACCTTTTGCTTTTCCCTTCCACCATTGCCTTTCGCCTTGTAGGCCAATCTGGACGAGAAGGAGTCCTTCCAGAAGGGCGACAAGCTGGTCGCAATCATCAGCGACGCGGCGTCCACCGGAATCAGCCTGCAGGTGTGTTATAAAAAATTGGCCGTGAGTCGGTCTGTGTGTAGTAGTGACTCAAGTCCACGTGAGTCGGTCTGTGTGTATGAAGAAAACTGGCCGCACTGGTCTGTGTGCGTGTGTTAAATAACTGGCCGCAAGGCGAAACGTACTGTAGGTTTGAAAAGAGGGAGGTTACAGAGGAAGAGGGTTGGAGGGGAGAGGGGAAGTGGGTTAGAGGGGAAGAGAGAGAAGGGCCAGGAGCAGGGAGAGCCTTGACACTAGGGGTGCGCGGGGAGAGGAGGTGCATGCTGCCTAACCCTTGCGCTTAACCCTATACGCACTACCCCCCTCCTCTCCCCCATTCCCCATTCCCCCACGACCCCCAATGCCCGCCAGGCTGACCGCTCCAAGCCCAACCAGCGGCAGCGGGTGCACATCACGTTGGAGCTGGCGTGGAGCGCGGATAAGACGGTAGGACTGGGAGGGAACGGGGGATTAGGTAAACTGAGCCGTGGGAAACCCTGACCCTGACCGTAGTATACCGGGGGATGGCTGCTGGTGGATGATGGCTAAGCCTCATGGTATGCCTTCCCCCCCCTAACCACCCATCATTCTCATTTATCCCCCCCCCCCGCCGCACACACACACACCTGCCCTCCCAGTACGTTTCGCCTTGCGCACACATCTGGTTCTGTGGGGACTTCATCTTCCGACAATCACAGTACGTTCCTACTCACGGCCAGTTTTCTTAACACACCTGCGCCCCCACCACCCCTCCACAGGTCCAGCAGCTGGGTCGCACGCACCGCTCCAACCAGGCCCAGCCGCCGCTCTACCTGCTGGTCTCCTCGGACGTGTCGGGCGAGCACCGTTTCGCCAGCGCGGTGGCGTCGCGGCTGATGCAGCTGGGGGCGCTGACGCACGGGGACCGGAATGCGGTGTCGGCGGTGGATGTGCTGGCGGGGAGCAACTTCCATAACACGTGAGGGAGGGAGGAGGGAGAGGGAAGGGAGAGGGTTACGGCGAAGAGGCCGGGGTGCGGCCGGCTGCTACCAATTGCAGCCATGGTCGTGTAGCTATGGTAGTCGAAAAAAGTTATAGCTCTTATAGGTTTTTCTTTTGAGGCGGGACCTAGGTACCTCAACGCCCCTTTGCTTGTACTTTTGTTTTTTGTTCTGACGTCTCTACCCATGCCTGCTCATGTGGTGCGGCCGCAGGTACGGCCCCCGGGCGCTGGGCAAGCTGTACCGCATCTTCCGGGGCGCGCTGTCCTTGTTCGACCCCATCTCCCCCGTGTACGGCATCACCCCCGAGTGGCTCCGGAACCAGCTGACGGAGGCGGGACTTGAGCAGGGCTCCAGCGCCTGGCTGGCGGAGCGAGCCAAGCAGCTGGAGGTGGGGAGGCGCGTGTGTGTTGGGAAAACTGGCCGCGAGTCGGAACGGAAAGGGATTGCCGGGCGATGAAGTCAGGCGCGTGTGTGTTGAGAACCCGGCCGCAAGTCCATGCTCGCTTCACCATGTGGGTTAAGAAGGCAGGAATGTGAGTCTTTGGATTAGTAAAGGATGTTGCAAGTATACCGGTAACCCACCCCTTCATACAGCTCGTTCGTTGTTTTCCTCTTGTTAACCTTCCACTACTGCGACGTTTGCCCCTTCTGCTGCTCCTGCAGCGCTTCCTGGAGAGCGCTGTTGGGGAGCTGGAGGCGGTGGGGCTGCTGCGGGAGGATGCGGAGGGCGGCCTCAACGTCACCAGCGCCATGATCAAGGAAAAAACAACAGAGGTGGGTGGGGGGCCGGTTTTGGGTGGGACCGACCCGTGGGTCACGCAGGGGTGGGCATTCCCCTGGGTTCATCCTGCCCTGTCCAGAACTGCACGCCTGCGGTATTCTGCTTCCCGGCATGCAATGTGCACATGTACTCAGCATCTGCGGCGCTTTCCTTAATACCGACACCGTTACCTCCTTGCATTGGCAAAATCGCACGCATGGGCGTAACAACCCTAACCGTACAATTATATCATCTTTCCACGCCGTACACAGGCTGCCGCCCAGAACGGCGCCACCGGCGGAGTCAACCGCCTATTGAACCGGCTGCTGGCCATGCGGGTGGATATGCAGCAACGCATCTTCCAGCTCTTCAACGCATTGCTGGTGAGGAAAGAGGAGGAGGCAGAAGAGGAAGACCGTGAAGGCCCCGAAGGCCGTGAGGACATCAAAGCTGGGGGTTACTTTGGGGGCGTTGGGTGAGGGATGCGGATGCTAGGGTAAAAGGGCGTGCAGCACAAACAACGAAACAAGCACTGCGCCAGCGAGCCTGCTACAAACCCGCATGAGTGGTACCATGTTACCCAGGAGCAACGTCATACTCCTCTCTCGTTGCCGCCCCTCGCTACCCTCCTTGTGCCAGGATGCGGAGGTGTTGGAGGCCAAGCGCAAGGGGGAGTACGAAACGGGCATTGTACGGCCCACATGCGGAGACATCAAACTCAAGTCGCAGGAGGTAGGGAACAGCAGTTGGCATGTATCACGCGGGACGCCCTGCAAACCCAAGTATTAAAACATCCCATCCTCGTGAAGCTTCTTTCGGCGCGCTCCTTTCATAACCCATCCCTCCCCCTCCCGTTCCCACACGCGCATGCTGCCCTGCCCCCGTCATGCTGCCCCCCCCCCGTCATGCTGCCCCCCCCCCGTCATGCTGCCCCCCCCCCCCCCGTCATGCTGCCCCCCCCCCCCCCCCCGTCATGCTGCCCCCCCCCCCGCCTGCACCCATCAGGTCATCCTGTCCGCCCCCGACGGCCGCTGCTCCACCACCCACTACGAGTTCAATCTGGACCGGGGTGTGCCCTGGGAGGAGGCGATGCGGATATACAACCAGGAGGTGAGATTGGAGGGAGTTGGGCATGGTTTTGGAGCTCGGAAGAGGCGGACCCAATGCTGGTTCCAATCCCTCTCCTCGCATTACTTGGTGTTGCCCGACCTCGCTTTCCTCCTCTCACGCGTTCTCTTCCCCTTGCCCCGTCCCGTCCCTCCCCAGAAAGCCGACGACCCCGAGACGCACACACACTTTGTGTTCACCGTGCACGACCACAACCAGATGGTCTTTGTATCGCTGGTGGGTGCTGTGCTGTGGGGTTAAGGACGCCGTTATGGGGACCAGGGAGTAAAAATTGTCTATGTCGGTGTTAGTGTTGGGTTTGGGTTTCAAGCTTACAATGCTTCAGGGAAGAGATGGAAGCTGATGATGCGATGAAGCAGTCCCACTTGCTGGAGCTGCCCCACTGCACCAGTGCCCATGCGTTCCCTTCACTTTCCTACATGCGCTACCTCGCCCTCGTCCGACACCTCCGCACCTCCCCTCCTTAGGCCATAGAGCGCAACGAGCGGGGTCGCAAGGTGCAGGGCCGCGGCCGCAACCGCACCTCCCAGCCGCTCTTCTTTCGGCTCGTGCGCCCGGGGACGGGATACGCGGGCGGCGATATTGACCGAGATGTGAGGAGCGAAACGGGGGTGAAGGAGGGGGGAATGCCTTGTTTGGGAAGGAGCCGGGGTTTGATTGGGACTTGGTTTGCCTTGGGACGTGTTGCCCGGGTGGCTAGGCGAGTGAATCCGGATGTCACCGTACTGATAACCGCTTTTGCGTGTTTGTCCTCCATCCCTTCTCCACTTCACCGTGTTTCTTGTCGTACGGCGCCACCGCAGGAATGCCGGAAGAAGTACACGCCGGTTTCGGAGGAGCGGATCCGCAACGGCTGGCTGCGGGCACGCTGGCAAGAGGAATTCAGACGTGCCCAGTGAGTGGGGGCGGGAAGGGATGGGATGCGTCCGGGTCGGGAGTTTCCGCGCATGCCGTAGTTGCACAGTTGCATATCGCGTTGCTAGGTTGTGTGAAAGGGCTGTGCTGAACAAAACTGAAAATAACCCATGCCACCCATTCATGTACCTCTCCCCTCCCCATGCACTCATGCATGCACACAGGAATGTACGGCAGCTGCCGCTGCACCTGGTGTCGGGTTCGCTGCTGCCGCTGCTGCCCACCCTGGATGCTGCCATGCGGAATTACAGCCGGAAGTAAGGCCCACGGGAAGGAGGAGGAGCAGGTGTTAGACGGAAGATTCCCTGCTCGCTTGCGCATGTCTGCGTTTACAACTGTATGCCTCAGTCCTTAATAGGGTTTGATGGATACGTTTTGAGCCCCTCCCTTCCCCTCCCGTCTCGACAGGAACCCGCTCAAGGTGATGCGGGTGGCTACTTCGGATGGGGCCACTCAGGTGCTGGGAATCCACGTGGAGAACCACCGAGCTGCTGACGTGGTGGCACGAATACGGCAGCTGCAGCCGTACAAGGGAGCGGCGCGGGGTGCTAAAGGTACGAGGCGATCAAAGATGGCATGCTCGGGTTGGCGGTTGAAACGCGCATAAAGGTTTGGCTCCTTCGATTCAAAAGCATCGCATGCAGCATTCGACTACACTCTGCGACAGCCGTCTAAATGCGCCTGTGTCATCTCTTACGTATTACCGGTATTCGTACACACCCTAACACACCCTGCGTACGTATGTGTCGCCTGCTCCCGCAGCCGGCGAAGGCGAGGCAGGTGCCGCCGCCGCGACCGCAACTGCCACCGCCACAGCAGCAGCTGGAGCGATGCCGCAGGCAGGCGTGCAGGGAGCCCCCGTGGCGGCTGGACCTGCTTCTGCAGCCGCTGCTGCTGCCATGCCGTCTGGCAGCGGGCTTCATGCTGGCAAAGGAACGGCCGACGGCGGCAACGGCAGCGACACGGACGGGGATTTCATTGACAGCAGCAGTGGTAGCGAAGATGAGGATGTAGCAGCGCGGAAACAAGCGCGGGCCGCTGCAGCTGCGGCTGCGCGGAGGAGGCGTGCGGGGGGAGGTGCGGCGGCGGCTCAGGTGCAGCGCGGCAGACGAGCCCCTCGAGCCGCCGGAGCTGGGGAGGGAGAAGGCGCAGCGAGGGAGGAGGAGGAGGAGCCGGTAAGCTTGGAGAGCTGGCTTACTTGGTGGAGGGGTGCATGTGCGGTGGGACGACAGCCAGGGACGCTTCTGGGTTTTGGGGTCCATGTTGTTGAGCCATGTGGCATGCTTGGAGCTTTCAGTTTGTCTGTGGTACGGGAGGTGCGAAACAAAGCCGAACACGTCGTGTTCAGCTCATACCCAACACGTCGTGTTCAGCTCATACCTGGTGGCTCCCTTCCGTCGTCCCCTTAATGGTCCCCCTCCGTCATCCCCATCCATTGACCCCTTCCATAAACCTTCCATCTTCCTTTCCCTCGCATCGTACAGGAGTACGAGCGGGCCCGTCGGGTGGAGGCGCTGCAGGGCGCGGGGCTTTGGGAGGAGTCGGCCTTCCTGACGCTCAACAAGGAGGTGAGAGAGCTTCGGGCACGTGAGGATGGTTTCCGCTTAACGGCTTTCTGATGACCCATGGGTCAGTGCGACCGTAGCACCGGGTGGAAACGATGCGGGATCCTGATTGAGAACTGACGGCGAACCTGAGGCGTCTCGCCGAATCCCTTGCCGCTTCGTGGTCTGACATGCCGTACTTTGCTCTCGCCCATGTCTGCTAGGACGAGGGGGATGAGTGGGCGGCCATGGCGACGACGGGCACCCGGCGCCGCGGCAGACCACCCAAGGCTACCCCGGCTACAGGTAGGGCCTCCGCTTTGGTGGTGTGGGCAGAAGGCAGAGTTCTGCATTAGGTTATCCGGGGCTAGGTCGGGCTTCTTGTCATGTTCTTTTTATCCTTTTCGGCTTTCCTAACATCCTGCATGCTTTCTTCCTGCATGTTTTCCGCGGCCAGGAGGAGCACAAGACAACAACAGCGGGGGCAGAGGTCACCGTCGCCGCCGCTCGACTCTGGACCCGGGCTCCACCGTCAAGGCTCTGCAATCGGAATTGCAGTCGCCATTCGGGTTTGGCACCACCGGGATGGCGGCGAATGAGGACGAAGAGGGCGGACAAGGGCAGGCACGTTCACGCGGAAGGCGGGGGGGTGCCCGGCAGCAGCCGGCACAAGGGAGGAAGGGGCGCGGCAAGGGAAAGCATGATGACAGTGAGGAGGTGGAGGAGACGGATGCTGACGATGAGGAGGAAGAGGAGGAGGATTCGGACGTCATGGTACTCGATGGTGATGATGAGGAGGAGGAGGAGGCTGCTTCTGAGGACCGCAAGGCTGCGTACATGTGCCAGCAGCAGCAGAACGAGGAACAGGAGAGGGTGGAGCAGGCAAAGATGGAAGCGGATGATGAGCCCCATCCCGCCGCCCTGCTCTGCCCGGGCACCACCGGGCGGCGTTCCGCCAGGCGAGGCCGGCGCTCCTCTGTTTCCTTCACCGCTGCTGCTGAGGCTGCTGCTGGCGTTACCGCTGCAGCTGGTGCCATACCGTCAGCTGCGTTTGCGGGTGCGGGCCTGCAGGCTGCATGCACTCCTGGAGCGCACACAAGGACGCCACTCAACGCGGCAGGGCCGCCCAACAGCTGCCGCGGTGATAACAACAGCAACCCCGGCAGCGGCGCAGGCGCAGCACGCAGGACCAGCCGCTCGGGCCGGCAGATTCGGCCCTCTGCGCTGCTGGTCGCACCTGATTTCATTCGCCTTGACGCGATCAAAGACGACGACGATGAGGAGGGGGATGAGGAGCAGAAGGTGCAGCAGCCCCAGCAGCAGCAGGGTTTGGACGGACGCCAAGCCGCTGCTGCTGCGCCGGCGGAGGGGAAGACCCCGCAGCTGCAGCGGCAGCCAGTCACACCTGCTGGTGCTGCTGCTGCGCCGGCGGCAAGGGCAGCGGTGGCCACGGGTCCTGCGGTTGCTGGTCCAGCCCATGACATTGCGTACGACACGGAAGGTACGGGCATTGACAGCGACAGCGATGTGGAGGTGCTGGCTGAGCCGCCGCCCAGCGCTGGCAAAGGCAGCCAGGGGAGGAGGAGCCCGGCGGAGAAGAGGTCGCCGGTGGTGGTTGGCGCTGCTGCTGACGTCATTGACATGGTCGTTACGGAGGATGAGGTGGAGGGCAAGCTCGGCAAGCAGGCGGAGAGGGCGCAGGTAAAGCAGGCGAAGGAGAAGGAGGAGGAGGAGAAGCGCAAAGTGGAGGGACAGGAAGAGAAGGTGCAGCGGGTCGGAAAGGAGATGGAAGACGACGAGGAGGAGGAGCAGCAGCAGCCGCGTGGCAAGCGGGCCAAGGCCGGGCATGGGCAGAAGCGCCGCTCCTTTGCTGTACTATCCAGCGACGAGGACGATACCTCTGAGGACAGTGCAGCGGATGATAAGGCTAAAGCAGCAGCCGGGCATCGAATGGGTGGAGGGGTTAGAGGAGCTGCGACCGCCTTACCTACCGGTATATCGGAGGCCGCGGCTCCGGCTGCAGCAGTGACCCACGGGTCGGACGACGATTACCACGACTCGGAAGACGACATCCCGCTTGTGCCTCGCAACCGCAGCGGCACCGCTCCGGCTTGCATCGCCACCGCTGCTGCTTTGCCTGCTGCCCAGATGACATCCCCTAAAGCCCAGTCCTCGTGTGAACCCAAGCATGTGGCTGCTGCGGCCCTGCAAGCTGCAGTGCAAGTAGAGCGCCAGCAGCAGCCGACGCCAGTCCAGGCACGACCAGGTCCGCAGGAGGAGGTGATGCAGCGGGCGGGTCCAGCAGCCGCGGCAGCTGCCGCTCCCCCCGCCGCTGCTGCCACCACCCCCGCCGCAGCTGCCGTGGCGGACGTAGCCATGGACGGCGCGGATGTCGTTGTTGCATCCTTGGACGTCTTCCTTCTACCCAACGCTGGCGCCATGCCGTCACCCTTCAACGCAGCAGCGATGCGAGGTAGCAAGCGCCCAGCCGAAGCAGCCGCCAGTGCGGGTGATGCCCATGCAGCCAACGGCCTCGCCAAGCCCTCAGCTTCCAAAGCACCGCGACTCTCCGAAGCCGCGACCCCGTCCGCTGCCGCTGCTGCCGCTACAGCAGTGGCCATGCCAACGACAGCAGCGGTAGCAACGCCAGTGGCAGCGGCACCGAGCCATGTCAGCACGCCCGCTCGCAACCGAGCTGATCTGCTGCCACCGCCGGTTGCCCACCTGGACCTCTCACCCGGCTTCAAGCCGGACTCAGACGCTGCTCGCGCAAGTGTTGATCGCTCAGCCGCCTTGCATGGGCTACGGAAGCCGAAGCAAAACCAGCAGGAGAAGCGGGTGGAGGAGGAGCGGCAGCAGCAGCACCGGGAAGAGGAGGAGCAGAAGGGGGAAGGGTGGGTGGCAAAGCAGAGACGGCTGCAATTGGAGATGTGGAGTGCAAGGCTTGAGGAGGAGGAGCAACGTCACGCAGCTGAGGTGGCGAGGCTGCGTGAGGAGCATGCCAAGGACCTGAAGGCCAAGCTCGTCATGGTACGTAGGTGTTGGGGGCTAGGTGACTAGGTTTTGGGGAGGTGGCTGCTATGTGAATGAGAGACTGTTATAATGGATCCCCAAAAAAGGGAACACGGGTGATGAACCCAACCCTATGTGGCTGCCTGTGATGGTACGCGTTGGCTAGGTATGGCCGGATGGCCGCTTGCATGCATGTGATGTGGACCTAGTGTCATCCCTACAAGCCCACATGCACATGCTAGCATGCCCCTACACCCTTGCTCACATCCCGACCCATCCGCCATGCCATGCACCGGCGCACAGGCACGTGACATGGGCCGCGAGAAGGCGCAGCGGGAGGCCGCCGCACGCACCGCAGAGCTGCAGCAGCAAACCCAGCAAGCCCGTCGCGAGGCAGAGCTGGCGCAACGCATGGCTGAGTCTCACAGGGCGGAGTCCCACCGCCTGGAGCAGCACGCCAGGGCGCAGCAGCAGGAGCTGCAACGGCAGCAGGAGGAGGTTCGAAGGCAGCAGGCGGCCACCGCGGCTGCCGAGGCCAGGGCGCAGTCCTTGGCGGAGGAGCTCGGTCGCATGCGGGCGCAAGCGGAGGCGGCGCAACGTGCCATGCAGCAGGAGCTTCAAGAGCTTCGGAGGCAGGTGTCGCAGCTGACGCGAGGACAAGGTCAGGAGGCGCAGCAGCAGCAGGTGCAGGTGCAGCAGTGGACGGACGCCCTAACGCCCCAGGCAGCGGGAAGATGTGATGTCGTACAAGGCAGATGCGATGCAGGCCTCATGCAGGGCGGTGGTGGTATCACTCGCACGCCCTCCAATGCGGCGTCGGGTATCGTGGGCAGCGTGAGGAGCAGCCCGGTGGTGATTCCGGCAATGGCGACACCTCCCATGGGTCGCGGTGGCGTTATCGCCACGCCGCAGGCAGCTGCTGCCTTTGCGGTGAGCCCGGTGGACCGTCGTCAGCTGTTGACCCCTCCGCAGCCTCCTAGCAGGCCTGCGGTGCTAGCAGCATCCGTGCCCGCAGTAGCAACAGCTGTAGCTGCGGCCAAAGCCAACATGGCTGCTGCTGAACCAACTCCGGCCTCCATCCGCTCTTTAATTGAGGCGCATGGGTCATCTGGCGGTATTACGGCTGCCGCGTTGGTACGGCACTTTGAGGCGGCGACGGCAGGGTGCGGTGTGACCCCCGGGTCGGTGTCACGTGGCAAGGCCATGGAGATTCGCAACTGCGTAACCAAGGCGCTTCAAGATCTGGTGGACGACTTTGAAGTGGTACGGCAGGGCGTGGGGGCTAACAAGCCCTCCGTGGATGTGACTTGTGAGCAAACGTCTTACTTGCTGATGTGATGCTGATAGGGTGCTCTGCAAGTGATGCGAGGTGAGTGTGGAATGTGTAGGGGAGTAACGTGAGCAAGAGAGCTGTTTTACGGTGATGTGTGTGACATGAGGAGAGGTGTGCCCGCTTGTGAGTCTAGGTTTATTTAACGTGACGTTCAGAGTTGGCTGCCCTAAATGAGTGGTATCGCAATGCTAACCGAGTTGCAGGCTCGTGTGTGTTGGGCTCCTTACGCCCCAGCGGGCGCTAGCCAGTTGCATGTCGCTCATATATTCCGTTGGTTGGTTACCGAACAATCGCTAAAGCATTGCCTCTTTACTAGCTTCACAGCAATAGGGAACATGCTTAGTTAGCTCTTTAGTGTGATATTGCGCTTTCTTTGCAGCACTTGTAGCCCGTCTAGCCTGTGACGTACATACGGAAGTACGAACGCATGATCTATGCGAGGCTTCTTAGGTAACGGTCTAGACATTTACCATGTAGAGCTATCCGCTGCTGGCAGCTTGCTTAGGACTCACCGCTAGTGGCCGTTATGACGTTTGGAGAATTTGCGCTTATGTTGGCTCTAGTTTAGGTTGATGCATCATAACAATAGGATGTCGGCTTTTGATTGAAGCCATGTGATGAGAACAAGCCTGGGAAAAAGGCACGGCATCAAGGAGGCTCTAAGCTGTAGGGTGCCCTAGTTTTTTGGTGACCCATGGGTCGTGTGTGTCTGTCATGCTTGGCTTTCTGATGCGTGAACGTAGGGATGGATTTGACACGTTTACAAACCAGAGTCCAAACTTCATGTTGACCAAGTATGGCGTTGGGAGGAAGGCTGCCGTCCTGTAAAAGGATCCTGGCATTCGTTCTGGTTGGATGTTCAATGATCAAGGTGTTACATCGAAGGTGGTTATGTCTCGGTGCCTGGGTCAACCCTGCTTATGACATGCAGGCAGGGCGTACAGGACATGAACGAAGCGACGGGAAACCGAATCACAGCATCGTACTTAGATCAACAGGGGTCGGCCGTACATCACCCCCCACAGGAGGGGGCCGGTATATGATCACGGCGAATACGGTAGCATGCTAAACCGCATCGTAAAGTCCCGAGAAACACCTCCTGGTATTTCTACTGGTAACCCCTAGCCAATGTCCCAACAGAAGGGGCGAGGACGCCCGCTGAGCATAACCAATTGCATGATTTGCATTGCATATCCAACAGCATTCCTGGTTGGGAACTTGGGATGGTTCTGGGATTGTCACAGAACACCGGTACCCGTGCGTGTGGTCGCATTATTAATACGTAAGGGGCTTGGGTGGGGACACTGGGTGCTTCCACAGGGTACGCAGGTGATGCATGTTGATGGCAGAGGCGGATGAGTCAGGGCTATAGACCGCTGTCTCGTTGGTACCGTTCTCCCTCACCTTGCATGCCTTCCCCGGCCCCTTCTCGTGCCCTCCCTGGCTCCTCCGCACTCCTCCACCTCCCTCCCTCACTCCCTTCCGCCCAACAGGACGACCTGATCGAAAATGCCATTTGGGTAACCTCTTTTGCAGCTCGACGACCTCACACGCTGCAACACAGCGCTACATGTAGCCACTCGACCCGTCACTAAAGAGGGCGTCTTATCCAGCCGTGTGAAGGCGCTAGACGCACTCCTATGCAAGTCATGGACGCGTCAGGAGGTGGAGCAAGCGCATGTGAGTACGCGGCTATGGACACCGCATTCAAACTTCGTAGCGTTTGATAATTGGCATATACAATCGAGCTCGGTCTTTGCCTCTTCGCCTACGGGCTAGATCCCCTAAAACTCTCCACTATACGCCTCAAAGAGCCGTTTCGCATGCCTCATCAATTGTTCACCTCCCTGTCCTTTCCTCACCTGCAGGTGCAGGGCTATTTCCGGCGAATGCTCCCCAACCTCGGGGTAGCTGAGCTGCAGTGCCCCATGGCTCTGCTGCTGGCCTGCTGCGCCAAGCTGCAGCCCGCCCTGCTGCCGCCCCTGACGCGCGAGGTCTGCACCGCTTTACCGCACCTCATCACCAACGGTCGCGCCGACACACGCCAGGTGGGGAAGGCACTGACGGCTATGAAATGTGGGCCAGCCGGGTTCCCTGCCCCACAAGCGATGCCCCCAATCTTCTCATGTCCAGCATCCATCCATGACGCTCACGATGACTTTACCCCTATTACTCCATCTCCCATTCCCCCCATCCATCTTCATTCCCCAGGCCGGCTTGTGCCTGCTAGCCTGCTCTGGAGGACCGCCGGCAGCGGCCCCTCGCAGCTCCACGCCCACATCCTCGCCACGCCGCGACTTCTCGAATCCCTCACGGCGCGCGCAGCGGAGGGAGACCTCGACACGCTGTGGGCCGTACGAGAGGTGGCGGAGGACGCCGGCGGCGCTGTGGCGTTGGAGGGCAGCGGCACGCTGCGTGCCGTATGTGTCGTACTGCAGGGTCTGGTGGTGGCGGCGGCGGCAGCGGAAGGAGGAGAGGGTGATGGTGAGGAGCGCGGGGACGGGGGCCGCGGCGGCGGAGCCGCTGCAGGCGGCAAGAAAGGTGTACGGCGAAAGCTGCGGTACAGCAGTGGCGGCGGCGCTGCTGAGGTGACGTCGCAGGGCATTAGTAAGTGAAGCGGAACGACGGGGGGTGGTAGTGCTAGTGCTGCTAAAGTGAAGGCCGGGAGCGGTGGTACGGCTGCTGCTGCTAAGGCGGTCACTGGCAAGGGAGCGGGAGGAGCGGCGGCAGCGGTGGAGGGTGCGGGTGTGACGGAGGGCGGAGAGGCGGTGGAGAGGGCGGCGAGGGGCATCCTGGTGGCAGGTGGGCGGGGCTTCCCTGGGACCTGGCTGATGGGGTAGGGGCAGGGGTGAGCAAGAGGGCGGCGGGAGGAGGGCAGGGGCAGCTGCTTTGTATGGTGCTTTCTATTTTGGCCGCAAAGCAATGTGACTGTGTGAAGTGCTAGGACAAACGTCGCCACCTGAACTTCTGCCATGCTGTACCGCCAATGCTCTAGCTAATCCTCATCCGCTGCCCTCTTCTGTCTCTGCCCTCCTCCTCTCTTCCCACAGACTGTCTCGCTGCCTTCTCTGACGTGCAGTGCGGTACCGTCGCCATGAGTAAGCCCTTCACACGCTACGGAACCCTTAATCCCACCTACGCTCCAGAGCGCCTTGTCGCACTGCTCCTGCACACCAGGAGCTCCTCCTCCTCCGGATTCTGCTTGGTACGACCCATGGGTCACCCCCAGCCACAACAGCAGCAGCCTGCTGCAACCGCCAGTAGTGGCGACTTGGCTGAGGGCAGTGGCAGTGTTGGTTCCAGAGGGCGCACTAATGAGGATGCCGGTTCGGAGGCAGGAGCGGCTGCTGCTGCTGCTTAGATGATATGGAGGCTGCCTCCGGAGCAGCGCTGCGGGCTGCAGCTGAGGGAGGCGCTGCTGCGCTGCTTGCATGCGCTGGTGTCGTGTGGCATGGGGCGGGGACCGCTGGAGGTATTGGGGGCTGGGAGGGAGGGGGAGGAGGGGGATTCACCTGCTACGATTCTGTATGCGCAGGGGGAGGGCTTCTGCGTCCCTGGACTGTCTTGTTGTGCCTGGCTGGCCTTGTGCCCTTGCTGATCCTTGTTAAACGCCGTGGTTCTGTCACAATCTTTCACTCACTGCTGCTGCCTCTGCCCCCCTTCCCCCCTTACCCCCTTACCCCCCTTACCCCCTAAGCGCCATCAGCGACTCCGTTCAGCTCACCTCCTTTATAACTTCGGCCCCAAGAGGCTTCAAGGCCGCCTCGTAAAATTTCTTTGACTCCTCATAGTTGAGGATCTTGAACATACCGTGGTCAAGCATTCTGTAGGGTTTGCTCCTTTACCTTATATTTATTGCAATACAGGTAGTACAAAGAAAAGGTCTGCGAGCCAATTAATCATGCGCATGTACCGTATAGCGAATTAGCGATGTACAGCGACATGCAGCTTGATGTTTGGCGGGTACATTCGAGCCTCTGCGCTTCATTCAAACCTATACCAGCCTAGCATAGTCTTGTGTGCCGTAGCGTCCATTTGCCATCAGGATTCGCTTATTATTGTATGTGATAGGCATGCCATGCTGTGCCCTACACCAGATGAGGTGGGCTGCTCGCAAAAGCAAACCAGGCAAGACTCCCATGGATGAAGGCAGGTGGTAAGCTCCACAGCATGGGCCATCCTCTTGGTATGTTTTAGCCAAGCAGATGCTCCGCCCGCTGGTTAGGGCACACAACCCCCTGCCTGGTGCTGTAACGCCAACACAACTTCTGCTGGTGTTGAACCATATCCTCCTCTGAGGTGTAGCTTCAGGAGATGCGGAAATGCACCGGCACCAAACGGGCACCACTGTGCACGAATGTAGCCGTGTGGCAGGAATGTCAAAGTCAACTGCCCAGCTGATAACGGAGCCCAACTTCTATTTCCATGTCATTGGCTAGCTGCCTGCCCTGGTTGTCATAACACTGCATTCGTTCCATTTGAAGGGGTTGCGTGTCACCTTGACGTGCTGCAACATCTCTTTTTGAGCCTCTCGTTACACATGTCCCACATTTGCAAGCTCAACCCTCATCGTCTGAAGTCACAATCCGCTCTCCTCCACTCCTCTCATCCTCATTGTGCATAAAAGCATCCGGCATGTTCCCGCATTTAACAAAACACACTAATTTCTGACAGCCTTGCGCAAAGCACTGCTATTATACTCAAACAGCGAATGGGAACCTGTACATGTGCCCCCGCTCTTGACCGTTCCAGTCACACAACTAGTGGTGGACATGTGTTTATACAGCAGGGTCCAGAAGTGTCCGCCTAGCCCCTCCTACCCCTTACTCCTCAACCACCACACTCAACTCAAAAGATCTCATCTCATCTGCAATTGCTCGCAGTCTCGGCGTGTAGCACCGCCTCCTTTCATATGATAGCACCGTACAAATGGCGCAGGCGACTTCTGTGACAGTGTTGGGAGTTGGCGGAGTTGTTGCTGCTGGCTCCGTTAAACGTCACACAGCCAAACCTGGCAGCCCGTGCAGAGTTGGCAGTGTCGCGTCTTGTTACCGGCATGTGCATTCTACCAGCATTGCCCATATGGTCATTGTGCTTGTCTCACAGCTCAATTGTGTTATGGGCGTAGTTCAGCGTATGTATGTTACATGCTGTTGTGCTAGCGCCTTTACATTGGGTGCTGCCTGTTTCTGGTAGTTGTGAGTACAGCATAGCCGCCCAGCCATACAGCCACCGCTCCTCTTAGACTGCGCAGCCCTGTGACTCAGGGCTGTGCACCTCTCACAACCAATGCAAGCATGTAACGATGGTGTTTGATCGCCACCTGTTGTGGCCCTGCTAGCAGGTCACCGGCTTGCATGTGACGTCGTGTGTAGCCATTTCTGACTACCAGTGCAATCTGATAGCAGTCTAGATTACCGTCCCTCACAGGCCTGGTCAGCCTGTGGCCCAGTCGCCTTGTGGCCGGACCCCAGCCAAAGGTGCAAGGAGGGCTGGGTGGTGCTACCTAGATCTCGCAAGATTTAGGTGCACCCCCTTCCTGTAACAGGCAGGAAGCGAGCGTGGGGACCAGTGCGGACCCCGGTGACAGCAGAATGCCCACCGGTGTGTGGGTGTGACATCATAATGCTTCTCTAGCTTACTATGCACCAAACCAAACTTGCCCATATCTCTTAACAAGTTACGCGTGCTCGCCTTACCTTCACTTCGCGCAGGCGCCCAGCTTCTGCTCCAGAAGCTCCTTCGTCTCCTTCGCCAGCTGCTTAATTTCCTTCTCCATCTCGCTCTTAATTTCCTCCTTGTCGGCCTTCATCTCGCTCTTAATTCCGTCATTGTCAGCCTTCATCTCTAACTTAAGAACCCTTAACTGCAAGCCGAAGACCAATTGGCTGGTGGCAAATAGGCCGCCGCCAGCCTTCAGGATGTCCTGATGTGTGGTGAAAAAGCCTCGCAACGACGCCATCTGTTCGCTGGTGAAGCCGGTGAAATGTGGCCAAAAACCACATTTCAACGGCTTCACCAGCGAACAGATGGCCTCGTTGCGAGGCTTTTTCACCACACATCAGGACATCCTGAAGGCTGGCGGCGGCCTATTTGCCACCAGCCAATTGGTCTTCGGCTTGCAGTTAAGGGTTCTTAAGTTAGAGATGAAGGCTGACAATGACGGAATTAAGAGCGAGATGAAGGCCGACAAGGAGGAAATTAAGAGCGAGATGGAGAAGGAAATTAGCAAATCGCCTGCCACCCCTCCGTTCACCGCCAGAGGCATTGTACGACTACCCCGGCACGGAGATAGCCAGGAGACAAGCGTTCCTTATCCTACAACACAGTTCATCTTTGTTTATGTAAAGTTTATGACTGGTGCTTTTCAGCGAGTGAAGCCTTGCAAATTAGGGACACTTTCTGTATCTTGCGAGTTAGCTTAGTTAATAACAATTTCAGAAAGCCCTTTTAAGCAACCTTGAATCATGCGCAAGAATTTAAGCAGTAGACCTTAGGCCATGGACATCGCGAGAAATGCTGAGACAAAGTTACCGTATGGCGACGGTGCCATTGGGCTATTGATAAAACGGTGAAGATGGCAAGCGCCTTTGTGCGTGCAGGCGCAGGACAGCGCGTGGAAGGATGCAACCCCAGCCTGCCCTACCCCAGGTTGCTCCTGTATCCACCTGCCTTTCCCGGTGCGGCCCCATTCCCTTGCCCGTGCGGCCGCCCTTCCACATGCGACGCCCCCTTGCCCTTCGTGCGGTTCTTGCCTCCCAATGTATTCCCTTTTCCGCGCGGCTGCCCTGTGCTGCACCAGCCTCCCCATGGCTGCTCCATGCGGCTGCCATTACTCGCGCAGCGCATGCTTGCCTTCCAATGACCTAACCCATGCAGCTCCCCTTTCCCGCCGGGCGCCTGCCGCCCCGTGTTCTTACCCGTGCAGCGCACTTGCGGGCTTTTTGCGGCCCACTGTGGGGCCTCTCTGTCCTTCCATGTGCAGTGCCTGCCTCCCCACGCCCTCCCCATGTGCTTGTCCTTACCCGCGCGGCGCTTGCCCCCATGCCCAGCTCCTGCTTCCCCATGCCCCCATTCCTGCGAGCATTTGCGCCAATTTGTGAGCAGGGCGGGGGCGCTGGTTCCATGGCCGTGGGTGGTTGTGTAGGATGGGGGTGTGTCATGCACGCATTGGTGTTGGTACTTGGGCAGAGCGGGGATGCATGCGTACATAAATCGGGAGCAGTGGTAATTGGGCGCGGTAATTGTGTACCGCGTGGCCGCTGGTAGTTGGGCATCGCGGGTACACATGCATGTAACAGTGCCGGTTTATGGGCCAGGTGGATATTGCCGGGTCGGTATGCATTAACACATCAGTGTCGATGCATGCGTGGGTACGACAGGGATGCTTGGGCGCAGGTGGTTGGGAAGGGTGGTGATGCTTGCATGCATGGCGCCAATTTCCGTCAGGACGAGAGGATTTCTGCACGCATAAGCACCGATGGGCGGGGATGCATGTCCATGTGGGCGTCGCTAGCTCGCGGGGCAGGGATGCCTGCATGCATGGGTTCAACAGGGCGATGGCTGCACGCCCGGGGCTCCCGTACTTTGGTACGGCCTCTCCTCGAGTGTTTATGCGAATGGGTGTGTGTCACGCATGCACACAATGGATAGCCTTTATATGTTGTGTAGCTGTGATCCAAGCAGGGAACTGGGAGGCCTGGAGTTGAGGAGGCAGCTACATGGAGACAAATGCAAGCCAGGGTGCAGCAGCAGGAGTTGCAACGGCAGCAGGAGGAGGTTCGAAGGCAGCAGGCGGCCACCGCGGCTGCCGAGGCCAGGGCGCAGTCCTTGGCGGAGGAGCTCGGTCGCATGCGGGCGCAAGCGGAGGCGGCGCAACGTGCCATGCAGCAGGAGCTTCAAGAGCTTCAGAGGCAGGTGTCGCAGCTGACGCGAGGACAAGGCCAGGAGGCGCAGCAGCAGCAGGTGCAGGTGCAGCAGTGGACGGACGCCCTAACGCCCCAGGCAGCGGGAAGATGTGATGTCGTACAAGGCAGATGCGATGCAGGCCTCATGCAGGGCGGTGGTGGTATCACTCGCACGCCCTCCAATGAGGCGTCGGGTATCGTTGGCAGCGTGAGAAGCAGCCTGTTGGTGATTCCGGCCATGGCGACACCTCCCATGGGTCGCGGTGGCGTTATCGCCACCCCGCAGGCAGCCGCGGCCCCTGCGGTGAGCCCGGTGGACCGTCGTCAGCTGCTGACCCCTCCGCAGCCTCCAAGCAGACCTGCGGTGCTAGCAGCATCCGTGCCCGCAGTAGCAACAGCTGTAGCTGGGGGCAAAGTCAACATGGCTGCTGCTGAACCAACTCCGGCTTCCATCCGTTCTTTAATTGAGGCGCATGGGTCATCTGGCGGTATTACGGCTGCCGCGTTGGTACGGCACTTTCAGGCGGCAGCAGCAGGGTGCCGTGCGTGGTGCGATGTGACCCCTGGGTCGGTGCCACACGACAAGGCCATGGAGATTCGCAACTGCGTAACCAAGGCGCTTCAAGATCTGGTGGACGACTTTGAAGTGGTACGGCAGGGCGTGGGGGCTAGCAAGCCCTCCGTGGATGTGACTTGTGAGCAAACGTCTTACTTGCTGATGTGATGCTGATGGGGTGCTCTACAAGTGATGCGAGGTGGGTGTGGACTGTGTAGGGGAGTAACGTGAGCAAGAGAGCTGTTTTACGGTGATGTGTGTGACATGAGGAGAGGTGTGCCCGATTGTGAGCCCGCTTGTGAGTCTAGGTTTATTTAACGTGACGTTCAGAGTTGGCTGCCTTAAATGAGTGGTATCGCAATGCTAACCGAGTTGCAGGCTCGTGTGTGTTGGGCTCCTTACGCCCCAGCGGGCGCTAGCCAGTTGCATGTCGCTCATATATTCCGTTGGTTGCTTACCGTACAATCGCTAAAGCATTGCCTCTTTACTAGCTTCACAGCAATAGGGAACATGCCTTGTTAGCTCTTGAGCGTAACTTTAGTGTGACATTGCGGACCACAAACGTCTAAGCGCTTTCATTGCAGCACTTGTAGTCCGTTTAGCCTGTGACGTACATACGGAAGTACGAACGCATGATCTATGCGAGGAGGCTTATTAGGTAACGGTCTAGCCATTTACCATGTAGAGCTATCCGCTGCTGGCAGCATGCTTAGGGCTCACCGCTAGTGGCCGTTATGACGTTTGAAGAATTTGCGCTTATGTTGGCTCTAGTTTAGGTTGATGCATAATAACAATAGGATGTCGGCTTTTGATTGAAGCCATGTGATGTGAACAAGCCTGGGAAAAAGGCACGGCATCGAGGAGGCTTTTGGCTGTAGGTTGCCCTAGTTGTTTGGTGACCCATGGGTCGTGTGTCTCTGGCATACTTGGCTTTCTGATGCGTGAACGTAGGGATGGATTTGACACGGTTACAAACCAGAGTCCAAACTCATGTTGACCAAGTATGGCGTTGGGAGGAAGGCTGTCGTCCTGTAAAAGGATCCTGCCATTCGTTCTGGTTGGATGTTCAATGACCAAGGTGTTACACCGAAGGTGGTTATGTCTCGGTGCCTGGGTCAACCCCGCCGTTAGCGGTTACGACATACAGGCAGGGCGTACGGGACATGAACGAAGCGACGGGAAACCGAATCACAGCATCGTACAAAGATCAACAGGGGTCGGCCGTACATCACCCCCCACAGGAAGTGGCCGGTATATGATCACGGCGAATACGGTAGCATGCTAAATCGCATTGTTAGGTCCCGAGAAACACCTCCTGGTGTTTTTACTGGTAGCCCCTAGCCAATGTCCCAACAGAAGGGGCGAGGACGCCCGCTGAGTATAACCAACTGCATGATTTGCATTGCATATCCGACAGCATTCCTGGTTGGGATGGTTCTGGGATTGCCACAGAATTCCGGTACCCGTGCGCGTGGTCGCATCGCAGCACACATCGGGCTCAGCAACACACAGCTGCTCTGGTCCATCTGCCCCGCACTTCAGGGATGGCCCATTAGCCCGTAGCAGATGGCGTATTGCTGCTCATCACACTTGCGCGGGTACGGACCGCCTGCATTAAAGGGAGTTATGGGGTATTGGGGGAACAACAGGGGGCACGGCGCATGTTCAATGCCGTTAGCTCGGAATGTCTTGTGTGGGAAGGAGGCCTTTTTGGTAACGAACTTAAGATAACGGTAGTGCCGGTAGTCCCCCAACCCTCACCGTTGCCGCTGGGGTCAACGTAGGCGCAGTAGCTGCCCATCTTGCCAGCAAGCCAGCACCCTTGTTGGTTGGAGTAGCAGAGCTCGTAGGTCGGCTCTGCGGCGTGTTTGCAGGCGCAAGGGAGGTGCAGCGTGGGCAAAACACAGTTCGGTTAGGTATCACCGGAAATAAAGTGGTTTTGCTCCGGGCCTTGCTGTACCCGAAGAGGGGGGAGCGGGTTGGAGTGAACTATACCGGCACCGTAGGACAGGTCCGACATTGCGTCGCTATCAAACAAACGTAGTCATGTGCGCCCTAAAACCTGCGCGCCAAACCAGCATTATGAAGGTGCATGCTGCTGCGGACTGTACGGCAGGAGACTCACCCCTCAGCATCTTGTCGTCGTACGGCACCATGTTGTACCCATTGTTGTCGCAAAACTTCCGAGCATCATCATGGTTGTACTTCTCGTTTGAAACCATGTAGACGTACTTGTTCTTGTACTTGTAGACTTTTTGTTGCTTGCCTGCGTGTGAGCGGCAGAGTGGTGTATGTATGGGCAGCAGCCCTAGCTAAGCAGTTCTTATTGCGCCGCAGTCCTTCTACATGCATGCCAACGAGCATTGTTTAGGGCTGGGGAACGCCGTAAAGGCGGTTGATGGAGGAGCGAGGATGGGACTTACGGGGTGAGGGCGGTGGGAATGGTGGCGGGGACCGCATGGGGACCTGCGGAGGCAGGTGGCCAGCAGCGGATTCAGCAAGGGAGTGACTGCGTGTGCATGGTGAGACAGGACGCAAGCTGCAATTAACACGTTTAATTGCTTGGGGGTCAAAGAAATACCAAACCACAAGGGATGGAGGTCAAGGCGACAGGGTGCCACAAGACATGGGCCCCGGGGTGGTTAGACCTTACCTTACAGCAGGGCTTAGTCTTAGACAAGTTATGCATGGTTGCTCAATATGCAGCATGACAATATATGAGAGCCGCCGCATGCATAGGACAAGGGCACCTAGCTTGTCATGCATCCCAAACCGTGTTCCCGCGTGCAGACAGCAGGCCGTGTGTTATACGAAACAGGCTACCTGTATGTGTATTGTAAACCGCTACCGGCGGTAACCCCCACACCCACCGGGGAACGGGGAGCGCGGGGCGGCCGGGGGCTAGGTGGGGATGGGGTGGGGCTCGGGGGCTGGGGACGGGGTGGCGACGGGGAGCGTGGGGGCCTTGGAGAAGGCGGGCGGGGCCGAGGGGGTCGGGGTGAAGGTGGTGGCGAAGGGCTGGGTGGCGGAGGAGGCTGCAAGCGAGGCGGGCGGGCATGGAGGGATTGTTGGGTTAGCTGCGACACTCGGCACATGAGGTAGTGAGTGCGATTAAGGTAATGCATGAGCAGTAACGGTGGTTAACAAAGGTTCCATTTGCAAGCCACAGACACAGCACCCAGTCAGGTCTTGTTATACACCGGTACCGTGCTTGTTTCGCCCACGCAATTAGCCATGCAAAGGTACTACCCGGGTTGCGTGTTTGCGGACCATGCACCGATGCATGGACGTACGTAGGGGTACACATTCGACGGCTCAACCGAAAGGAAGGCTCAGCGGCTCACCGAAGGAGGGGGCGGTGAGGGCGACGGGGGCTGCGGCGGGGACTTGTTCTTCTTGGGGTTCCAGAATTTGTCATTCCCGAAATGGTCACCGACGCGTTTGCCGAATTCCCCCACACTCTGACGGAAGTCGTCAAGTGATTGCACCACCTTGTCTACGGCTCCGTGTGCGGTGTCCGCCAGGTTGGTAACAAAGTCATCATCACCACTGCCCCCATGATGCTCATATTGGTCGTCATCCGCCCGAGCTCCTGATGGCGATGAGGGTCATTAGAACCAGCAGCAGGTGAACAGTTGTAAGACATGAGGTGACAGCGGTAGCAAAAGGTGACGACGGTCATGCATGGAGGCAATCCGGGTACGCAGCTAAGTGGAACTGCGTGGCCTTGCGTACTGCTACAGGTCATGTATGTATGGACGCGCCTTGAAGTAAGCTAAAAGCCTGCTGGGGCCGCCTTGCTTCCGCTTACCTATTGGGCAGCAGCAAAGGAGTGTTGCCACAACCAGCAGAAGCATGGCTGGGCCGACCCAGCCGCCGCGGCCCCGAAGACCACGCTGCTGCTTCATGAAGCCAGCCGCCTTAGCCAACGCCCGAACGACTTACAGTGTTTGTGCAGCTCACAGTAGAAGAACGGTTGGCTCACGGGCTAAAAGGCCATGACCTACTTGGTCTTATAAATGTACGTCCTTGTGCCCTCCTTGTACTAGTAACATGAGAAGGCTGCGACGCATTTATGCCTCGGATAGCAGCGGCCTTGTTAACGTTCACTCGTACTGCCGCTCGCCAACCGCCGAACGGTATTGGATTGGCCGATCGGCTTTGCGCCCGGTACTCACTCGTGGGCTGTAGGCAGGTGAAGCCGGCAGAATTCCTTTTGAGTGCCGTTCGTAACCGGGGGGTCTATTCCTAATTCACATAGCAAACACTGGGCACGGTGCTATGCCGCAGCAGGCGTCGTTGCAAGCCCTTCACGGAAGCTGCTGCCCGAACGAAGGAGTCCTCAGTAAAGTCCACTTCAAGTAATTGTACTGGCAAGCTTGCGTAAACATGTTTCGGAGGATGCTGCGTGCGTTGCATGTAGCAGGATGATGCGTTGTAAGACTGAGCTTTGCTGCGGATGCGTGTGCATGCATGGCCCGCCGGTAATAAGGTCTTAGTAAGCCGTACATAGAGGGGTGCAAAAGGCAGCAGTGGGGTACTAAAGGGGTGAGGTGGTTTCCGGAGTTGTGCTCATGCATCTGGCAAAGAAAGCAGTACAGCGGCAGGTAGAGGGGCTACACGCGTCGCTCAATAAACAAATTGTGCTCAGCGCAGTTGGCCTGGTTGCTTGGTCATATTGGTATGACCCATGGGTCACCTCTGGCATCCTTTTAACGTTTCCAGCAAGCTGTGAACCGGGGAACCTTCTGTGGCGGTTTGAAGTCTCGGATGTCACTCAAAGAGGAGAAAATGCTCTACCAGGCGTTGTAAGTACTGAGTAGGTACAACTAACAGGTAGCGTGCGGCAGTGTTACAAGTTGGCTGCGGTTCACCTCAAGCGTGGCTGATTGCCACTCAGGAGCCAGTTATCGGGAGTCGTTAGCGCAATTATTGTGCATTTCCAACCGCATGCCAATCAACAGGTTGATTGTGGTCATCAGGAGCTTCAAGAGCTCGTATAGGTTTAATTGTCCTTCATTCATTTAGCCTAGCTAGGGCTCGTAGATCACGACGGCCTGCTGTGGGGATCAACATGACCCCACAGCAATAATTTATAATTGGAATCACAGAGACCGGATCACTTCAACGACAACACAGGTACGACGACGCCATGCACGGCCAGCAGGGTTCCTGAGCCGAACCTGACGCTGCAATCCCGCACCATGCATGCAACGTATTCTCATGCACTACAGGGCACCATACAGGGCGCCGTACATACACGGGGTTGCGTTGCCACGCCGCCACCATCGCTTTCAGTGCCATGATTGATCCACCATTGTTAGCTACCTTCAAGGGTAGTACTTCCCGTAGCAAACCGCGTACTGCTTCTCGTCGCACATGCGCGCGTAAGGACCGCCTGCACGGACGGGTAAGGGAAACAGGCCAGGACATTCCTTGGGTTAGGCGATATATAGCGTGTACGACAGAGCGGCAGCAGAGGCAGCAGATACCGGTAAGAATCAAGGGTAGGGCAGCATGCAGGCAGCCCGACAGTAGCCGTACAACATTATACGGCAAACCAACAAGGTCAGCTGCAGCGTAAAGGTCCGCACCGTTGCCGCTGGGGTCAACGTAGGCGCAGTAGGTTCCCATCTTGCCGCCGAGCCAGCAGCCCTGCTGATTTGTGTAGCAGAGCTGGTAGGTCGGCTCTGCGGAGCGCAGGCAGGGAAACGAGGTCCTTTAATATTCACTACACCACGGGTGACGGGCGCGTACTCAATCTCGCAGCCACGCAACCTTGCAAATTTGCAAAGTTCTGGACAGTGGGAGGAGGTAACCCCGTCAACTACTGCGTCCGGCTTCGGATTTTGGGAGCTGCTTACCCCTCAGGGTACGGTCGTTGTACGGAATCATGGTGTAGCCCTTGTTGTAGCAGAAGTCGTACGCCTCGGAGTAGCTGTACTTCTGCTTGGAAACGATGTACACGTACTTGTTCTTGTACTTGTAGGCTTGGTACTCCTTGGCTGTTCGCATGCATGCA